TATTTATGTGCAACCTGTACTGCTGACTTTTCTCCTTCTCTCTTAACCAACATAGTTTTATCGTCATGCGTTTGGAAATAATTTTTTTGAGGGTGTAAAAGTGATAATCTTAATATGATTGTTCCACATGTCGTTCACTTCAAATTCTGAAAGCAGAGGTTTCGGGTAGTGAGTGTCCTTTGGATATTTTCTCTAGGTCATGCTGGTGTGATGGGAGATGAGCAGGCAGACAGATTGGCTGGCTCTGCACCACTTGGTGGTGAATTGATGTATGACAAGCTAGATGTTGTGAGGGCCCTTTAGAAGTGAGTGAGGAAGCACGAATAGATCATTACGGTCTGAGGAGAATGACACTGTGGGGAGTTACCAGGGGATCTGGCTGACGCTCACCACTCAAGGGAAAGGCGAGATGGATGGAAAATCAGACAGTTACTGGTACCATCAGAATTGGAACTCTTCGCTTGCTGATGAAGATGGGGATAGAGTGCTTATGGGAGTGTCCCGAGTAATGTGATGTTGATTCTTAATTCAACATTCTGAAAAATAATCCTCACGAGCATCATATTTTGCTGGCCATTTCAGATTATCTTATTGCCATGTAACCCCTTTTGTCCAGTGAAAATCTTAAAACATAACCTTTTCAATAATTAAATTGTTCAAAAAGAAGTGCATCCTTGTAATCCTGTAAAACCCCACCCTAAGAAATTAGTGGAAGAAAAGAAGTCAAAATGTTAGAGTCTTTTTTTTTTTAAATCTTTATCATTCACAGATACCAGAAAATTATTTTTTTTGTAAGTCAAGAGAAAGAATCACTAAATACAGAGTAAAGAATTAACTGCTATCCTTTCTTTTAACCATAAGAAACTGACTTCGCCATGTCCAGCAAATTGTCATAATCATGAGATTATTATGACACCACAATTTTCATATGTGGTTGTTTTTTTTTCCCACCTCAGATTTGTTGTGGCTGTTCTACAAACACTACAGCAAATTATATAGTTGTCCCCATGTGTGATGCGATTTTTTGTTATTTTGAATCCCTACCCTGGTTTTTGCCAGGGACCCTAAATATAGCCAGGTCTTAAATATGGCCTAACGGGGTTTTCAGGACCTCTCCACGGGTGATCCTCATCCGCATGGTGGCACGGGGTGTTTATGCTTGTGTGATGTCCTGGTGGGGTACAACTTACCTACCTGCCTACAACAGCAAACTGCATATACTCTCAGTACTACTTCAAGGGTGCTCTATCAGTTTGTATTCTCACCTCTACTACAAAATGGTTCAGTCATGTTACAACATTAATTTCATTGCTGAATCCTCTGGCATTGACATTTAAGTAATTGCCCTCTTAAAAAAGGTTTGCATCTGCTCAGGTAAGGTTGGTGTAAAGACTTAACTTACAAATCAGTATACCTCTCCAGGACTGTGATGCAGAGCTCTTTTATCCCTCTCCTCCAAAGAATGCCAGGAGGCACAACAGGATATAACCTGGACAGAAGTCAGCATGAGGACATAGAGACTGGCTGAGATTAAGGCCCCCCCCCCCAAGGTCTTTAGATATCTTAATGTCTTCAAAGAAATACACAATAGAAGTATGCGGTAACAATATATTACATTATATTATGTGTGTATAGTCTGGGGGATTTATCTGTAATAGCTTGTTCTAACACAGTGGCTCTCAACCTTCCTAATGCTGCGACCCTTTAATACAGTTTCCTCATGTTGTGGCGACTCCCCAGACAATTATTTTCCCTTATAACTTCAATAAATATGTGTTTTTTGATGATCTTAGGCGACTCCTGTGAAAGGGTTGATCGACCCCCCCCCCAAAAAAAAGGGCGTGACTGGCAGGTTTTAACATATATTGTTTAAAAGAAAAATGCATAATTATCCATAGCTTGTTTTTATTAGACAGGAAAGCCTGTGTGCATAAAAACTATCGATGACCCAGATGCAAAAGAACTGTCTGTCTGATTGGCTGAACCCAAAGGTATTTTTATGTGTAATTTTAACAATTTTGGTCATTTAATTAAAAAGATTTTGAACGTCAAAATTATGTTTCTTTCAGTAGCTATAGATTTCTTTTTTTCTGCCAAGTAAAGCACCATCAGTTTTTTTTTTTTTAAACTGCATACATTATTTGTCCGGCACACTACTGCTTGAGAAGCAGCACCTTCTTTCTTAGCTGCACTTGTTTACTGTGTTTATTTAATATTAATAACATCATATACTTTGTACACTGATGATGTGCCAAATGTCTTTTCCCTGCTTGTGTACCCTCCCAAACCAAACCTGCTTTTTTGATTTGAACGGTAGAATTCTGTTTTGGATTTTGCATGGTTCATTTTTATGTGTGCTTAAGAGGATCATGTGTTGGTAATACTCCTACAACAAAACTAGCGTGGTTGTTATATTACAAGAATAAATTCATTATATATATATAATGTTTCTATATTTTTTTGGTTTAAAATTCACATTTTTTCAGTTTATTATATCAAAGCAATGTTCCCCATTGTGATTTTGAACAAAGAAGACGCCAACAATAGATTGCACAATTTATTGCCTGGCATATTTCTGCTGTATCTCATCAGGTGCATACTACAATAACAACTGATTAAAATGAAGCAAATGAATGAATCCTTCGAACTGAAACACTATGAGAATCATACTGTGGAAGAGATTTGGGCCTCAATATGAAATATTCCCAAAGATAACAATGCAGATAATACTTTTTAAAACATATAAGCAAACAATGTAATAAAACCAATTGACTTTTCACCTAAAGAACTGTAGACTGTGAGTATGTGCATCATGATGACCAGTTTACCTGCATGGCAAATTATGACAGTAACGCCCAAACACCAGAATACATTTATTCAGATTATTACTGGGACAAGAATGCATTCATCCAGATTATTACTGGGACAAGAATACATTCATTCAGATTAATATTGGCACAAGAATGCTTTCATCCAGATTAATGTTAAGACAAGAATACATTCATTCAGATTATTATTGGGACAGGAATACATAAATCCAGATGATTATTGGGACAAGAATACAGAAATCCAGATGACTACTGCGACAAGAATACATTCAACCAGATGATTATTGGGACAATAATACATTAATCCAGATGATTACTGGGACAAGAATACATTAATCCAGATGACTAATGGGACAGGAATACATTTATCCGGCTTGTCTATAGTGATCTGTTAACGTGATGCACAGCTGGCTTTTTTTCACACCCGCGCAAACCCTTTGGAGGCCAGGATATGAATACATTAACCAAAAACAGCATTTAGGAGTTTTTCCTTCCAACCAAATGGTTTTATTAAAGCCAAGTAGATGTCAAATTTTCCCATAAACCTCAATGATATATGTCATGAGGTCATTGCACGTGCCACCCAAAACATGTTTTTTAAGCCCTGGGGAATGTATTCCATTTAATGCTTCACCCCGTTCCCGTTCTGTAAACGGATCGCTATTAGAACAATTAACAAGTTTTTTTCTCACTAGGACATGTAGTAACAGCTGATGGAAGAAGCGAAACAAATAAAAAAAAAAAGAATAGGAATGGCTAAAACTGCCTTCAATAAGATGTGCTAGTTACTGACAGCTCAAGAGATAAACAAACACACTAAAAATGAGAATCATCAGGTTATGTATACCCAATCCTGCTATGAACAAGCAACCAGAAAATCCAACCGAGTCTCTGGAGATGTGGATATACAGAAGAACAGGTCGTATTTCATGGAAGTAGAAACAGTCCAATACAAAGGTTCTGGAAAGGCTACAAATGAAAAGAGAATTATTGAAAGAAATAAAAAAGAGACAACTGAAATACTCTGGCCACATCAAAAGACATACACTTTTGAAAACCTTACTGGAAGGAAAGGTCGAAGGCAAGAGAGCAAGAGGTAGGCAATGATACAAGTGGGAGGACAACATAAAGAGATGGATGGGCAGCAGTCTGAGAGAGTGTACAACCAAGACAAAAGACATAGCGTGTTGGAGATCCATTGTATCCAACCTTCATTGTGGAGCGGCACGCAATTGATTAATTGAATGATTCACCCTGTTCCTGCTTATTGATTTCATCCTTCATTTATATATATATATATATATATATATATATATATATATATATATATATATATATATATATATATATATATATATATATATATATATATATATATATATATATATATATATATATATATATATATATATATATATATATATATATATACCCCTAATCCCCACAGTTACAAATGTAAATAACAATTTTCTTTTTGAATTTATTAGCAACCTTTGTAAAACTGTTGGCTTTTTAAAGGATTTTCCCCGAGTTTCTTTTTTTTCTTCTTTTTTTCTTTATTGTTAGTGTTTTCTGGGCGAGAGGATTAAGATGATGGTACAAATATGTATAAAACAATCAGCCGGTTCATTTTCCATTGACAATTATGTCAAAACCAAAGACAGACTTTCAACGTTATTAAAAAATATGGAAACAATTTGAAAACACATGAGGAATAAAACACCACAGAAGAAATAAAAGGCAATTATAATTTAATTCTCATATAAATTCATTCGTAACAAACATTTCAAGCAGATAACAGATAAAACATCTGAATATAAATAGATGTTTATTATTCAGTTATGTGTGTTTCTGTGTGCATGTTCATGCATGTATGGATGCATGTTTGTGTGTGTTTATAAATGGATCACAATATACATCCAGAATAACAATAAATTTATTAAAAAAGAGACAGACGCTGAGTAAAAAGCACAAAAATATTATATTTGCTTATAAATTATAAGCTACTGATTTTGAAGGCATCTTGGGGGGTGGGGGGCGTGGGTGGGGGATTGTGGATTTAAAACTGTATAATAAGCATTCTGATAAAACAATTACACACTTGAAATTCAAAGGTTCTGGATTTGCATTTGAAGCATACAATGTTATAAATAATACATTACTATCTGGCAATCACGCTATTTCGGTTGGGTCCCAACAATAGTGAGCTTGCTGGTCTAAGGCAGAAAGTCTGCTCATTTGTTGTTCTGTCAGCGAAAAGGAGAAAATGTCGATGTTTTCTGCAATGTGTTCAGGATTTCTTGACATGGGCAAGACACCTGTAACAAAAAAAAACACATGTAATATACAAAAAGATAAAATAAGACATTTGTAACAAAAAATATTTGTGAGGTTTCCAGGGCATCTTTGTAGGGTAAACAAAAATAGACCCACTTCCTCCCCAACAAGTATGTCGTAGGAATAGACTAATTGGGAGCTTCCTTCGAAATTGAAGTGCCTCTGCCTGAGCGGCAAGGAACAAATAACTTCACATAAATAAGCCAGTAAAATGAATGTACACGCAAAACTTAGGCCCTGAAACAAAGCCATAGTCCAAACGGATGAACAACCAGGACTTTCCACCGGAGCTTACAGCTGGTGAACAAAGAAGAAGAGGAAGTAACACATACAATTAATAAGTGAAAGTAGAAGTCTGAATCTATTTTGACCTTAAACCCTATCACCCAGAGAAGGATGTTCTTCCAGTAGTGATGGGTTTTTGCAGATTGTATTTTATAATCAGTCTGCCGACAGACACTGTCTTCTAATTATTATGGCCTGGAGAGAATGAGGCACCTGGGTGTAACTAGAGGGTCTGGCTGGCTCACTACACTCAGAGGAAAGGCAAAACGGACATATAAACAGATTGTGACCGGTACCATCAGTATTGAAACTCTGCACTGGCTGCTGAAGATGGGGACAAAGCATGCAATGGAATGCCCCGAGTGCTGTGATGTCAATTCTTGACTCAACTCAACTCATCTCAACACTGTCTTCTAACTTCTAATATCTGAGTTTGCAACACATGTTTCACTAGCAGAATCAAAGATTTGGTAACATCAGTTTCTGGTTAACACTGTTTAGGTTATCACTGTTTTGGATGTCTTTCTGCAAGTGAAGTATGTTTATGTGTTCTGCCATTTTGTGAGCTCAGGGGGTATTACACAGTAATTTTTCACAAGCCTCATATGCCAGAGGAGTCACCGTGGCGTAGTAGTTAGATGCTTGCATGCAGATCGGAAGGTCGTGGGTTTGCTCCCTGGTGGAGCTGGACTTTTTTTTTCAAAAATGACCTTGACTCACAGGTTGACACAGCCTTGAGTGGGTACCGGGTGCAGTCCCTGAAAGCAAAGGCAGCTGGCATGATGCTGACCACATCACCCATCTTGTGCTGTTTGGTCTATAAAAAAATATAGGTCTAGCCCTATTTGCCCTATACCCCTAGAGGCGTGGAAAAGGGACCTTTACTTTACTCATATGCCAGTTTCGGTCCATGAGCCATAGTTTGCCCACCGCTGGGCTAGATGCTTTCCTAAATGCCTAAGGTCTTGCTTGGCTTCGAATCTGCATCAAGTCTGATTGTGTGTTTTTGTTTTTAAAAAAAATGACTGGCTCCCACACTGACCCAGCTTTCAATATATAAATGCAAATGACAGGGCCCCATACATGTGGCATACAGGCACTGCTGTGCTAATTTATCACTGAAATCTATGGATACACTGAAAAAAGTGACTTACCTACACCCTGTTGGACTGCCCATCGCAGCAACACTTGTGCTGGTGACCTTTTTGTCTCTTGAGCTATGGCTGCAACAACCGGATCTGATAATACCTGAAACGGAACCCAACTTCAATGAATCAAAACATTTTTTGGGGGCATAGTCCAAGAGACAGATTACAATATAACACTTCCCCTTGTGGGTTCTGGGGCCCCATTTTGTGTGTGTGTGTGTGTAAATTCACTGCCCCCTAATTAGCATGTTACAAAAGTCAGCTAATTAGAAGTGTTTCCTTCGAAGTCTGAGCATCAGCATGAGAGATGAGGAACTAAGTCTACCTACTAGTAAGACAGAACCGTAAAATGGATGTGAACGCAAAACTCAAGTTCTGGAACAAGATTAAAGACTAGATAGAAGTGGACGAACAACCAGAACTTATCCACCAGAGTTTCCAGCTGGTGAATGGGAAGAAGAGGAGGGATATAACAATGATAAAGGTCACACTATAGCAGCAACTACTGTTGGGTTGTAAAGTAAAGTGTATGAAGCATTCACATATTCCAGGCCACAAAAAGGGGGCTGCGTGGTCTCGAGGCATGGTGTCCGCCTCGAGTGTTGGAGGTTTCGGGTTCAATCCCTGGTAAGGGCTGTGATTTTTTTCATGTGGACTTGGACTTCTAGTAATTCCCCCTGGTCTCTGGGTAGTGAGATCGGACGCCCGTGTGCATTGTTGCACACGTGAAAAAACCTTGGCAGTTGGAAATTAAAAGGAGTAGCCTAACGGCGCTGCCCGGGCAAAATCTGGAGTTAAAAATCTACCCAAAGTATTTCAGGATCCTCGCTGGTGCTACAGAGCCTATGCACTTGCTGAGCTTCTTTGGGCTCAGACTTGAGTTAGAAGAAGAATGGAGCACTTATAGGTTACTATCCGTGTGCCATGATGTTGATCCATTGTTCAAACTTCACTTCAGACCACAAGAAATAAGTTGGAGTGTTCAGTTCCTTTTCTCACACCTTTCCTTACCAGGGAATTCTCAGAAAATTCTGAAAATTGTCTAGTACCATTTTTAAAAAAAAGCTTAGTCCATCCCAAGTCGTACTGGTAAGAAAAACTCAATCCTGTCTCCCCAGAAGATCACACCCAGATAAGTGTTAGTTTGGTGAGAACAAAAATGGAAGTTTGTGTCCATGGAAGAAGATAGAGGGATCGACCAGCAAAACAATGGACACAGGATATCAAGGAACCCCAGGCATCAAAGTTCATGAAGCAGGAGACCAAGTGACTACCACATGTAGATCGGCTACTTCACAGTTTCCTGGCAGTAATCTCATTCTTCACTAAACACCCTGAGCCATCACAATATTTCGGGACCTGAGTACATTAACAAAGTCCACTAACAGAAAAACTCCTCACACACACTGGAAGACTTTCACCGCCCGGGGGTGGGTTCTGAGGCTGCTCATTTTGGGGGGAAATAATAGACCCTCCCCCCACAAGCATGTCATAAAAGGCAAGAAAGATGTTTCCATCAAAGTCAGAGTGCATCTGTCTGAGAGGTAAGGAACTATCAGTCTGCATACAAATAAGCCAGATCTGTAAAATGGATGTGCCTGTAAAACTCAAGATCTGGAAGAAGACCCAAGTCCAGAAGTGGACAAACAATCAGAACTTTCTGCTGAGCGGGAAAGTAAAGAAGAATCCAAAAACAGAATAACTCCTCACATGCTGGAAGACTTGGGTCTGAATCACGTGTATGAGTAGATAGCAAGTTTGGGTCATAGAAGAGCAGGAAAGTGAGTACTTCTAATTTACTCCATGTCATGTAACCCACCATGCATTTGCTAGTCTATTCATCCATCCATTTATGAAAAACAAAACCAAAAATATTGACCACGTTCAACCTACTGCAAGCAGTATCAGTTATAATTGTGGTCTGGTTTCTTTGTGCTAATTATGTTGGCTAAGAAATGATAACTGCACCAAAACTAGTGGCTTGGACCGATACTCTAATACCTATTGAGGGTTGTTGGAAGTTTCTTCATCTTCTTCTCATAGTCTATGCTATGTGGCATTGGTAGCCATGTCTATCTACAACCTTCTGTCTTGTGTACTTTCAATCAGACACAGATGGTCTTCCATGTTATGATGTTAAACTGTCCAGCATTTTCTATCTTGGTCTACCTCTGCCTCTTTTTCACTCCAACTTAACCACCGTCATGATGTAACCCAGTTTTCTCCTTCTCATGACATAATCAAAGAATGTAGATTGTCTTTTCAGACAAGGGCAATCGGTTCTCTTCGTGAGTCAGTTTATTTCAAGACGTCTTCATTACTCTTTTTATCTGCCCAGGGTATTCTCATCATTTGTCAAGTTTCCACTTGTGGGATATTTATTCATTTCTAAACTAATTGTCCAGTTGTTATATTAACCCACTTTGTCCTAACTGTTACTTTAAGGTCTTCTTGTCATACTGCTATTATTTAGCTCCTGGAGACTCAAAGTTTACACAACCATTTTGCTCTGAGAAGATGACATAACTGGCTGGGTCCAATTTCCCGTAAATGTTACTCTTCTGACTTGTATATAATGATCTGTTTATGAGATGCATAGTTAATGCGACCGGCTGAGTTTGCACCTGCAAACATTTATGAGTTCAGGATATAAATACATTAACTAACAAAAGCATTTGGGGAGTGGGGGGTTGCCTTTAAGCTAAAAGGATTTTTTTAAAGATAAACTGACGTCAGACTTTCTCATAAGCCTCAGTGATAAGGTCACAAAGTCATGGCATGAGTCTCAGTGATAGAGGTCACAAAGTCATGGCATGTGTCTCAGTGATAGAGGTCACACACAAAGTCATGACGTCACCAAAACATGTGCAGTTTTTTAAGACCGGGGGAAAAAAAAGGGGGGGGGGGGGAGTGTTCCATTTAATGCTTCACCCTGTGCATGTTTATTGATTTCTCCCTTCTCCTATATTTATATTTTTAATAAAATATTTTTTTAGTGCAGAAAAATACATTTGTAACTAATTAATTAGTGACCTGTGTAAAAATTGTTTTACGGATTTTTTTCCATAATTCTTATGGGGTCATAACCTATTTTATTTTAGGATTAAGAATGAACAAAATAATGCAACATGCTGTGATGGTCATAAAAAATGAGTGAATGATTACATACACATTATTTTTAGTAATAGAGAAGATAACCATACAGATTATAAGAGTAGGTTGCGATGAGGCCTTGCCTGCGCTTGGACCAACTATAGCTATCACTCTGCAACAGATGAAACACAGTTTCAAAGCTCTGAAGTTCATGTACTTGATCTATCTCTGCAGAACGCTAGCCACCCGGCACAAAGCACAATCCTCATAGCTCCAGCAATGATTCCCAGAATTCTCTGTAAAAATTGCACTCATGAACCGAACAATACAGCCTGTGAAATATACCCACAACCTTGTGAAGCAAATGGCTTCATAATCTAGTCCCAAAGACTTCACACAGTTTTATAAATACATACCCTGTTGACAGCCCCAGATGTGCCCAAGGAGGAGTAGGCCTGTAGGTGAATGCCATGGTCTTGGCAACATTTCTTTACAGCAGACTGGTCAAGATGTGGATGAAACTCTGTCTGCTCATGAATAATAAAATGTTAAATTAGATACAGCTGTTAACATAATTTCAGGTTAATATGATGTGGGATAGGAAAATAAGCCAGTTCTGTTAAATGGATGTGAATACAGTCAAGTCCTGGAATGAGGCCAAAGTCCAGAAGTGGATGAACAACCAGGACCTTTTGCTGCAGTTCAGAGCCAGTGAAGGCGAAGAAGAATTTATAGGAAGTAAAGGTAGTGGCATGATATAGAATATAGCAAATCCAGACCCAACTAAAAATAGGGAGTTAGCACCACAAACACTCTTGAATACCGGCCAAGAAGATTTTTTTTTTTAATGACCTGGGCTCCTATTTTTAAGTCAAACTAAAACAGGTACCAGAAAATGTTCTGGGAAATAAAAGCAGCTTATGTAATACTGAATGTATCACCCATGCAGTGCCGATTGGTCTGGAAAAACAAAGGGCAAGCACCATACGTTTAATATGTCTCATTGCATGGCAACTGGGCATCATTGTGTTTAACCATATCCCCAAAATGCCTTTAGAAATCAAGAGGGACTCTTTACAACTTGCTGTAAGTTTAAGAAAAAAAAAATCACCTGTAGAACTGCAGGTTTCATATGGCAGTAGGTCAGTAGCTCTTCAATGTGCTTTGGCAAATAATTGGACACTCCTAGAGATCTCACTTTACCTAGGTGACAATAGTTACATTATTTTACAGTTGCATGACTAACTAATCAATCAGACAAAATGAACCCTATTTTACAGCTGTGTGACTAAATAACCAATCAATATCTTACTTTACCTAGATGACAATGAATATATTATTTTACAATTGCATGGCTAACAAATCAATCAGACAATAAGCACCTTATTTTACAACTGTGTGACTAAATAACCAATCAATATCTTACTTTACAAGGTGACAATAATTATATTATTACTTTGCATGGCCAACCAATTAATCAGATAATAAGCATCTTATTTTACAGCTGTGCGACCAAACAACAAATCAGGTAATCACATTATTTTACAGATGTATGACTAACCAATCAGACACATAAAATGTCATTATTTTACTGCTGTATGACTTATCAAATCTATCAAACAAATAATAATCCCATTATTTTTTTTTACAAGGGTATGACTAAACAACCAATCAATCTGACAATCACATTATTTTACTATTTTACAGGTGTATGACTAAACAACCAACCGATTAGTCACAAAACATCACGTAAAATCAAACAGTCAATAACTTCATAAACTACCATAACTAAAAACCATATGAAGAAAACAGTTTAAGGCAAGTGAGAAAGGATTAGACAGTGATACAAATGGGAGGACAACGTCAAGAGATGGACAAATAGAAGCCTAAGAGAGACAATACAAAAAAGACAAGATAGACAATGTTGGAGATCTATTGCAGCCAACCTCCACTGTTCAGATGACACCTGATTGACTGACGACGATAGACGTGTTTTACTCACCCTGTTTGTGAGCTTCTTCCAGCTCTAACCAGCTTTCTTTGCGAAACTGTTTCTGTTTGACATCACCAGGCTGAAGTTTGCTTGTACCTGGCCAGTGTATGAGGTATAAATCCAAATAATCACAGTTCAGTCTTTCTATGGAGCCTAAACAGGCTTTCAATGCATTTCCTTTGCCTTGCTCATATGGTGCTGTGAAATCAAAACAGATAAATACATCAAAATCTGAAACACTTGCCTCAATAATAATTTTCTCATATGATATTGTGCTTATGAATTGTAATCACACTTTAAGAAGAAAATGAGGTCTTCTTACATTAATTTTATAAATTAAATAATCATAAAAAATTATACATACATTTTTTTTAAAAAAAAGCAATTATTACTGATTTCCAACACTGTGTATACCATTTTGGTTGTACTCTTGCTTAGACTTCTCTTCATTTAGCTATTGATATTATTCCGCCAGAGTTTATATCCGAGGTACACGGAGAAGAAACTATTACTGATAATTAAATAAAGAGTGACTGGCAATTTAAAACAAAAAAAACACACATACAAATAAAAAATCTTCGTGACCAGGTACAGCATTTACTGACATTATGTGAGATATTTTAAAATACAAGATCAACAAATTTGTGAATGGTATGACATTTTATAAAACAACAAAAACACAGAATAAGATTTCTTCCTCGAGTTCACCAGCTATGAACATCAGTGGAAAGTTCTGAGTGTTCATCCACCTCAGGAGTCTTGTTCCAGAAACTGAGTGCTGGGTGCACATCCATTTCATAGATCTGGCTTATTTGTATGCTGACGCCTCATGCAGATGTACTCGATTTCAAAAGATATCCCCATTATCAACTCCTACAACTTGCTTGTTGGGGAGGCGGGGGGGAAGGGAGTGGGTGTATTATAGTTTTCCCCCACAACACACATGGGGAATAGTAACATTTTAAAGAAAATAAGTCTAGATTTTCTATGAGAGACTGCTGAATTAATAATTGACATAACAGCACTCAGGACATTCCTATAAGCTCTCTATCCCCGTCTTCAGCAGCAAGCATAGAATTCTAACTCTGATGGTATCAGTAACAGTCTGACTGCATATCCATCTCATCTTCCCCTTGAGTGTTGAGCGTCGGCCAGATCCCCTAGTCACCCCGTGTAGCAACATTTTCTGCAGACCGCGATGATCTATTTGTACCTTCACACTATTCATTCGCCTAAAGGATACCTATAACATCAAGCTTGTCACACATCAGTGTTTTGTATGGTAGCTACTGCTTTCAATTTTTATGTGTTTTTTTAGTGTGTCTCACCCTTAAAACATCTGGCTTAACACACATCGGTGTTTTGTATGGGGTAGCTACTATTTTTGATTTTGTATATTCTCTAGTGTGTCTGCATATTTCTACTTCTTTCTATGAGTCCCTAATCAATACATGTTAATTTTCTTATCATACTGTTTCTATGGCCTTTAGAGTTCCCTAACTACTTATTTCAGAAAAAGTGGGGTGTGTAAGACAGTCACAGGAACTTCATATCTGTGGGAAGGTACTGTAGGATGTAAACAGATCATAATATAGCACTGCTCATTGAGACAAGCTGGAACTAGGCCTGGTCTGGTAATGTTTTCTCCATAGCTTTTAAGATTTCACTGTCCACAAACCTAACCAATTCACAAAAGAAAAGTTATATATAAACATACAGAAAACCTGTAAATGACAGTAATTTAGGTATAACAGTGATACATATAAGTAAGTGAATAAATAAAATAAGTACCAAGTTTGCTGGTTATAAAAATATCTTTCCTCTGTAAGTTGTATTTTGGTAGGAGCTCCTTCAAAATCTTGCCTATATCTTGTTCATTTCTGTATACTGATGCAGTATCTAAAGGAAGAACAATAAGCCTTTAAAAAAAACCAGAACTATGACGGTTTTGTCAATCTTAAATTTGCATGACATCAGTTGGAGCAAGAAAAAGATATTTAAAATTATGTATTTAATCTGACATTAATAATCAATGAGAACATAGTAACAAATAATAGAATTCACTGGTCAGTTTATATTTAAATCATGTTAATTCAGGTCATTTGCCATAGATGGTATAAATGATGCTCAATACAATGCATTAGTGACGCTTTTTCTAAAATACACTACAGAAAAATATTGTACTTAGGAAACAAAACAACATACATACTTAGCTAAAATTAAACCAGTCAACAAAATCCAACAGAAGTAATTCATAGTAACAAATAACACAATCCTAACTTTTCTTTGGAATGTGTTAGTTTTCTATGTTTTTTGTGTGTTTGTTGTTGTTTAGTTTTTTGATAAAGATGTTGAAACATTTGCTTGTTTCCATTTACATTTTTTCTTTCCTTCCACTGACCCTCATGATCATATTTTTTTGTTTTTTTAGTTGTCAGTATCAGCTCCACTGCAGTCGCCCCTATTTTTGACACCACTTTTAGTATCACACCTTACAGATTTTAAACTTTTAGTTTTATAACCCTTACCAAATGAGCGATAGCCAGACCTGAGTGCTGCATCTATGGCCTTATGCAGCAGATCATAGCCTTGCATCCTGTAGGTACCAACTGAAATCAGAAATGAATATACTGAAATAATATGTTAGCTCGAGTGAAGATAATTAGATACTAATCATCATTATATTTGGGAGAACAGAAAGCTCATGATTAAAACAAAAACTCTTGTCTATCAGGCTTGTGTTCTCAGCACTCTGCTTTATGGCAGTGAAACTTGGTCTACTTATTCGCACCAGGAGAAACGGCTAAATAGCTTTCACGTGCGATGCCTAAGAAGAATACTTAGCATTAAATGACAGGACAAGATCACAAACACTGAGGTAATGGAAGAGCAGACCTTACAACAGTCTTCTCAATGCTCAGTCTACGTAAGCTCAGGTGGCTGGGTCACACCTGGAGAATGGAGGATGGCAGAGTCCCTAAGAACATCCTCTTTGGTGAATTAAAGACAGTTAGAAGATGTCAAGGCCAACAAAAGATGTATGCAATCGGGACATAAATGATACAAAATGCTATGAACCGTGTTGTGTGGAGGGAGTACATTAGGAGGAAGGGAATGAAATTGAAGGAATAAATGAGTGCAGAATGGATGAGCGCTGAGCATCTGAGAAGAAACAGACTGAACACAAATGCTGACAACAATGGTCCCAAAATCCCAGTCACTGTGGAAGACTTTTCTTAATGTGGGCGGGTTTTGATAATCACACTTGCCATCACCATGGGCTGTGAGTCTCATGCTTCTTCATAGCGCAATATAACACTCTCGACGGAAAGGCAGAAAAGTGCCAATCTAAAAACATCATCATTATAATATAGCAGGTCCTTTGCAGCCTATAACTCTGACCAAAACCTGCTAGAAGATTCTCATTCAGTTTCCTTACTTTAGGAAACAAGACTTGAACTTGATGCCGTTACACATCTGGCAGAGTTGCCATATGTCCTCATTTTGGTGGACATGTTCTCATTTCATGAGTAAATCTGAGCATCCACAAACAATTGTGGACATTTGCAGATTTATAAATCTACAGGTTTATCTGCAGTTTTACAAGCCAAGATAAAATTAACACTATGTGACTATATTGAAAGCTGTAGGAGTAATAAAATGTACTCTGAAATTGTAAAGATAGCGCAGTTCTTCCATCACACAATGCTTCTGTAGAAATCCTATTGTCTTTAACCCCTGCCAAATTGCCCAATAAGAGAAATGGCCTCAATGTGGATACAGTCAAGTAAATTTCACTAACAATTTTATTTCAAACATTTCACATTCAGGCAATTTTAGGGCGTTTAATGCAAAAAAAAAAGACAGTCTTAAAAAAAAAAAGATCTAGACATCAGAAAAATATAAATGGATCATCGTTTAAATGGAATTTAATGTTAGATGAAGGGCCCTCATTGTGGAAGATCAAAACATGGGAACCCTACATATCTGGCAGTGTCTCAATGAAACTATTCACACCCATATAAACTAAATTGTCACTAAAAATACTAGCAAATCTACCTGACCTGACAAATATAGCATGAAACCGGTTTCATACTCAGCAATTTTAATAGAGAATCCGGTATCATGATTCAAATTGTGCAGTCTTAAGAATTGGTTTTAAAAAGTTAACATTTTCTTTATTAAAATAGCTACCCTTCAGTTTTCATTTAAAGCAAATCTGTCCCCATAATTTTTGAAATGAAAAAAATTACAACTTAGAAACAAAGTAATTATAATAAATTAATACGTAATAAATAGTTTTTCCTCTTCTTCTATTCTACTGCTTAGATCAACAAGTGTTGCATACTGGAGTAAGATGTAGTTTCCTTCTTTTACTAGTTGCTTGCTTGTGGTAATGTCATACTGAGTTTCTTAATTGTCTCTTTTACTCCCTCCACATATTTCTTTCTTGGTCAGCCTCTTGCCTTGTAGCCTGCTGATTTCATATACTCGTCCTGATTTTGTTCCATTCTGACCAGATCACCAAACCATTTTCTGCTTTGATATTCTATGAAATCCTTTACAGGTAGTGTGCTTACCACTGCTCTTAGTTCTTCACTGGTAACTAGTTTAAATGCCAAATAAATCCAATCTGAAAATTATTGCCTAAATTCACAAAACAACACAACACAGAATTCACACACAAAATTCTGAAAAAAATAAATTAATTAAAACTTACATCCAATAATGGGCATTTCAAACCCACTTGAGAGTTTCACCACGGACATGCTTAGAAAATGCAGTAAACAAACAGGATGAAATGTGAGTATTGCGGTTTATTCTAGAAGTAGAATCTTGGCCTTCTGTAGCTGTCTGAAAAATTCAAAATAAAACAGTTGAAGTGGATGTCAAAATTAACCAAAGTAATTGATTAATATGAGAATCAACACGGAAAAGACAGAAGTAATGTCAATAGGAAAAAAGAAGACAGATCTAAACATAGCAATAGAGTGCAAAGGCATTAAACAAGCATCTGAGTTTAAATTTCTGGGAACTACATTTACCAAAGATGGGAAATTGGATAAAGAAATAGACATTAGATGCAGTAAAGCAAACCAAGTATTGGGACAGCTAGCTCCCCTCTTACAGCATAAGACAATCCCAATCAGCACAAAGAGACATCTTATTCAAAGCATATTTATTCCAACTCTGTGCTACCAGTGCCAGACATGGTCACTCACAACAAACCATAAAAGAAAATTGGTAACCATGGAGATGAGATGTCTGAGAAGGGCTGTAGGAGTGACCATAAGAGATAAGATCAGGAATGAGATCATAAGAGAAAAAGTCAGCACAGAACCAATTCTAAATTGCATACGAAGACAGCAGGTGAAATGGTTTGCCCACTTAGAGAGAATGCCTTGTGACACCATACCATACAAAGCATACATGGAAAGAGAAGAAGGAGGTAGAGCACGAGATAGACCAAGAACAATATGGAAGGATAACATCAGAGAATCTCTACAACAGCACGATGTGCCTATGGTCGAGGCGGCCAGAAGAGCTAGAGACAGAACCTTATATCTCACTCGACACCCACAGCGGTAGAAGAGGAAGTGAAGAAGACGAAGAATTAATTAACTGTTAACTTAAGACAATTATAAATTTTATAATAAAGTTCTGAAATGATTTGCCAGAGAATTATTACTAACAGAATATTTAAAATACACCGTCATCTTAAGGGGATGTCTATGATAAGGCATTAGAAAGACTCCAATTGCTTTGGTTTTGTAAGTAACAGCTGATTTTGAAAAACAAAAAATTCACTGAAGCTGCAGTACCTACATCAATGTTGTATTAGTTGACCAATATCACACTTCTGTCAATATCTGATTTAGTACTTAAGTACTAATATTATGAAATAAATAAAATATCTAATAGGTAAAAATATATCTCAGAAGTCGGGAGGGCTCAACACAGGGTGGTTTCAATTGCATTCACACATTACATAAAAATAAAATACTTCTTTCGTTCGCTTGAAATATATTATATATCTATATTATATCTGCAATGTTGTCTCTAGTAATACTAGTAGTAGTATGGACTTCAATGTCTATTGTAATTTAGTTAGCGATCCGTACCGCAATGTTTGGCTTGCACCGGTGTTTCTATATCAGATTCTAAATAAACTATCAACTGATTCATTTAACTGCTAATCTGAATGAAACAACCAGACGGAGCTTTAGTTTTACATTTAATACTTTCAGATTACGGATATCCCGATACACATTAAATTAAATGACGCTGACTGAACTCGTACCGGGAAGAAGGATCTTGGACATACTTATTCACCATGACATAGCAAATTACAGGGTCCGTGTTAATTTATAGCTTGTTTTTCCCCGTCTCCAGGATTATATTCTGAAAGATCAACATCCAGCGACTCAAAGAGCCACTAATCAGTTGAGAATCAAACAGGGGAAAATCCCAGAAACTCCACTGAACAGTTATATATTATTAGTGTATTCGATAATTACGAAATTAGTAGTCCAATAAAACTGGTGGGTATCATCGGTGGTCTGTTTAGTCTATAAAGTGTTATGTTATGGGGTACACATTTGTCTTTTTTATACCTCGCGGATTTAACTGTTTACCTTTCCAACCAGTAAAAACCGAAAGTAAAACCGTGCCTATGCGCTGGAAGTGTTGTCCCCTCTTAGCGAAAACTAAAACTTGTAACCAAGTCAACCGTTACGGGACTCGAGACAAAACATATTTTGTTTTCCCTGCAATATTAATAATATTATTATAGTTGTACGCACGCTTGCCTGTCAAGATCGGGAAGGCCGATGCAAACAAAAACATGGGAGGGGGGGGGGGGTGTTTGCTGTCACTCACCCTGCAAGACAAATGTTTTAAGTGGGGTAGGGGGGCATCAAGGGGGCCCGAACACTTTTGACCAAAATAATATACTTAAAACTCGGCTCTCATATATGTAACGATGACAGCTGCACCAAAGAATGTTCAATTAAGATTCAACATCACAGCACTTAGGACATTCCCATAAGCGCAAATGAAGAGTCCCAGTTCCGAAGGTACCAGCAACTATCAGATTGTATATCCGTCTTACTTGTCCATGGAGTGTGGAGCGTCAGCAAGATCCCCTGGTAACTCCCCGCAGCGCCATTCTCCTGAGACCGTAATAATCTATTTGTGCATCCGCACTGTTCACTCGCCCCAAAGGGCCCTCACAGCATCTAGCTTCTCATACTTCTCAGTTCACTACCAAGTGGTGCAGAACCGGCCAGCCTGTCTGTCTGCTCACTTCCCAACACACCGGCACCTAGAGAAAATATCAAAAGGACGCTAATACCCGGTACCTCTGAAGCGATTTCTGCACGAAGCATGCCTGTCTCCACCTTTCTCAACATGCCCTGTTAATCAGTTACAATTACGACATGTGTGTACAGCTGATTTTCAAGCCAGCGGAAAGCAACAGTGACTGCCTCCACCTCAATTCTCAATTGAGACGTTGTGATATCATATGCCAGATTGTGCTGCACTAAGCGACTTCCATTCGCTTTCACTATGAGCTCCCATTTCGTCTACCTCATCCCTGATAATTTAAGTCGTCCCTTTGTGGGATGCAATTTTTTTTTTTTACTCTGAAGCCCCACCGCGGCTTGTGCTCGAATATAGCGGGGCCATTAATATGACCATAACGGCTAAAAGGGGTTTCTGGGACCTCACCACTGGTGATCCTCATCCGCATAGTTTTACTTTGTGTCACTGGGTGTTTATCGCTTGTGTGATGTTCTGATGGGGTACAACAAAAGAGAGAGAAAGAGAGAGAGAGGGAGAGAGAGAGAGAGTGAGTGAGAGAGAGTCTACCTCTCAATGCAGAGCCATCTGTATAGATAATCACAGCGGAATTGCCATGAACAATTTGTTGAACTTCTGATCAAGACAAGACTTGATATGATAACAGCCTCGGTGTCTCACCTGAATACAGGGCTATGTTATTAAATGTAATACTTAATAGCAGTCAGGGTTCAATTTCCCCCTCCCCCACCCCCCCCCCCAGATATTGCATTATTTTTACCAAGTACAAAGCTGCAGTTTATACGTGTTTAGAAAAAAAACTGGTAGACCTATCACATAAGTTCCAGCATGTTCTGGAAAGGAAAGAACAAGCCGCTAACTTTACTTTTTACTGTGGCATAGAATGCGCGAATTCTTATCTCAGATTCTAGGAACGGATGGTGAAAGATAGGTTTCGGTTTATGGAGATTTAGGCCAGTTGCAACGGAGAAAAACAGTTGGGGAGCTCAGCCAAGCCTTCTTTGGATAAGACCTTGGCTCAGCTCAATGACAATGAAAGGTCAAGTCGTACCTGGTGCGGAAAATTTCCTGTCCACCCCCGCATACATATTTTAATGTTAAAAAAAAAAACATAACATATTTTGTATTGACACCCCTTGCAGCCAACACCCCTCCCACCGCACACCCCTTTCCTACGCATCTGACTCAGCGCCCCCAAACCGCCCCTGATTTGGGTAAAATGTGGGTGATGGGGGCTGAGGATAATTCTGTTAAGACAGCATTGGGTTGGGGTGGGGGGGGGGGTGGGTGGGTAAAGAACAGGCTGATAGATTTGCTGCTACTGCTCCTCTGGGTGGTGAGCTACTATATAAAAAAGCGGATGTGGTAAAGGCTCTATGGGATCAAAAAGATAGTGCAAATGAACAGAGAGAGAATCCATACACTGAAAGGCTAAATCAACGGGAGTGAGTAGATGTTCTTAAAGATGTTCAACGTTGGAGGAGAAGCAGAGGCGGATTTTTAATCAGGTTGCACCTGGCACTGTTAGCATGACAACTCTTCGTTGGTTACTAGAGAAGGGGTCGCAGCACGTGTGAGAATATCCTGATCGCATGATGTAAATTTTTGATTCATTCATTCATAAGGGGAGGGAGTTGGGTGGGGAATGGTAAGGCCAGCCACGGTTTCCCCACATAAGCAGCCATTGGATAGAAAGAGGTGGGGGGGGGTCATACCCTTTCAGCTCTCATTCCCTCACTAAATTAAGAAAACACTGACACTCTCAGTTCGGATGAGGCCGATACATGTCATTAACAGCGGTGCACGACGAAGACGTGCAACAGGTGTCTTGCATGAAGATCCTTACAACCAGCACAGAACCTGCTGTTTCGTCAGGGCGAGGTCCAAGTCCAAGTCCTTTTGAGAAAGAAAAAAAAAATGAAAAGCTCGACCACTTTCTGACTGCTGCTAGCTAGCCGAGGCTGCTAGCAGTCTCCGCCTATATTTGTGGTCTGGGTTATTTGTTTGCGTCATTTTCGTGACTGAATTCTAGTGTCTGTGCCATTTCTGGGCTTGATGCTTCCATCCGAATCAGACCGCTCGTCCTCCACCCTGTTGTTTGATACTTGTGCATGTCTTCCCTCGTCTTATTTAGTGTTTCCATTTTGTGTACACCGTAACTCCTTATATGCACATCACAGCGGCCTTAACTTTTCCTCATACCTATGATTGAAATCATTGCGCCACCTATACATACTATACCAGCAGATAATTATTTCCTTCATGAAATACAGTCTAATACTGCGAGAGAATAGAGGGCCAGCACCTGTGGGGGAAAAAAAACATGCAAACTTTTAACACGTTTCAACTGACACCATCAATGTCAGAACTTTTCGTTGGCTACCGAGGGAGGGGACCGAGGACATGCTGAAATATCCGGAGTGCGGTGATGTCAATTCTTGATTCATTCATTCATCTAGAGTGCGCAGGTGTGTTAGAAAATGTGACACACAGAATTGGCTGGATCTGCACCACTTGGTGTTAAACTGATGCACGTCAAGCTGGGGCGTTATCAAGGCCCTTTTGGGTCAGTGAATAATGTAGAAGTACATTAGGTAATTACGGTCTGACGAGAATGGTGCACTAGGGAGTGACTAGGGGATTTGGCTGATATGTTCTTGGGGGAAAGGCGACAGACATACAATCATGTTTGTTACCATCTGAAATGGAACTGCTTGGGGAAGTGCTTGGAGTTTCTTAGCAAAAGTTAATGGTAGACGTTTGGTGCAGGAGAACCTGGCATATGATACCACAACATCCGGCTTAAGAATGGAGATGGAGACGGTCACTGCAGCTGTGCGCTGGTTAGAGAACACGACACACACACACACACACACACACACACACACATCGTGATTGTAACTGACTCAGAAAGCATGCTGGGGGAAATCAGGACAAGCATGGTTCGTGCAGAGTGGCGTGCCTCGCTGCAGAGGATACGGGTGAGGTGTATTGTCTTGATTTTTACACCGGGTTATGCCGGTGTGTTGGGAAATGAACAGGCGGACAGATTGGCTGGCTCTGCACAACTTGGTGGAATACTAATGCATAAGGCATACGTGGTTATTGCCTTGTGGGAGAGCGTATACAGTTCGGAGGTGCAGATGGATCACCACAGTCTGGTAAGACTGATGCGGGGGTGGGGGGGTGAGTGGTGGGGGGGGGGGAGTCGACGAGAGGCTCTGGCAGATGCTTAAGGCTCAGGTAAAAGGCAAGACGGACATTTAATCAGAATGCTACTGGCACCACTGGAATCAGAACTCTTCGCTGGCTGCCGAAGATGGAAATGGAGCGCTTATGGCGTGATGCTGTGATGTCGGTTCTTGAATCAAATCAAATCAAATGGAACTCTGCGCTGGCTGCTAAAGATGGAACGGACCGCGTATGAGAACGTCTCAAGTGCAACGGTGTCTTTTTTAAAACTTAGTTCTCTTAACTATGAGTATAAATCAATGTAGTGTAATTTGGGAAATCATGAGGAATATGGGCTTTCCATCACATATAGTGCAGCTCATTAAAATGCTCTATCAAGATCAGCAAGCAGCAGTCAGAATAGATGGAGAGACATCAGACTGGTTTGGCATCAAGCAAGGAGTCCGTCAGGGATGTGTGCTGTCACCGTATTTGTTCAATCTGTACGCCGAAAATATAATGAGAAATGTAAGAGATGATATAAACAAGGAACAATATGATGCCTTAAACATCGGTGGTCATGAAATACCAGAAATTCGTTATGCTGATGATACAGTATTACTATCAACATCACAAAGTGGTTTAGAAAACTTATTAACCTCACTCCAAAGAAATAGTGAAAATCATAACTTATTTCTTAACATAGCAAAAACAAAGATAATGCATACAAACAAAACTGCCATGGAGAAGGAAATATATGTTAATAAGGAAAGATTGGAAGTGGTGGAAATTTTCGAATATCTTGGGTCACTGGTTACCAACAATGGTGACACAATGAAAGAAATTAAACGGCGACTATCAATTGCTCTTCAAAGACTAAAACAACTGAATAAATTATGGAATTGTACAGATAGAATTACAAAGGTCAGATTTTTAAGAGCATGCATCTTTCCCATTGCAACATACGCCTGTGAGACCTGGACACTTACTAAACAAGCGGAACAGGGCATAAATGCATTTGAATATAAATGTTACAGGCAGGTTCTAAGAATATCTTGGGTAAAGAAAAGAACAAATGCATCCATACTTCAAGAGCTGAATATTGAAGAGAGTTGGCTAGTAAAGACAATAAAACAAAAAAAATTGAAATATTTGGGTCACTTGAAACGTCATGGAAGTCTAGAGAGAACAATAATGGAGGGGTATATGCCTGGGAAGAGAGGAAGAGGAAGGCCAAGGAGAAGATGGGTGCAGGATGTGGCAGATGATCTCCAGATGGGTGTATCAGACGCAGGACATCTTGCTCATGATAGGAAGGTTTTCCGGAGGGTTGTTATGGCAGCGAGGTTCCGCGAGGGACATGCTACTGAATGAATGAATGAGTGTAATTTATTTCTGTCAATGTATCGCATGTACAGGTAATGAAATAATTTTTACAACCAATACAATCTGAACTTGGATTAACTGCAGAGAACCGGAACTCCGAGGAAAACAAACCATTTCTAAGTGGGAGTTAGGGAAGGTGTTAATGTTATATGCCACAGCTATAAGATACATGCACCCGTGAGGTGAGATTTCAGAAGAGTCGCGGAAAAGTTTTCTTTAGACTATCAGCAACATATTATCTCCATTTTAAACTTTTAACATCGTGTCTGATAAAAATCCTAGAAGATGTCCTGTACCGCGACTTTTGGTCACTGGTCCTCTTTGGTGGTGCCTTCGTTTTAAGTCTAGTTCAGACATGTTAAGTTGCTACCATTTTTTATGAACCTCTTAGACATAGCCAGACATTTGCAGTATATTATTATTTTAATTTTTATTCTCCTAACCTCAATTCTAGATGTAGTATATTTTATCAGTAGCAACTCAATAGCAGTGGATTAATTATTTAAAGGTAGCTTATTTAAACCTTGTCTCTGAAAGCTTTCGGATGACCATGACCACACAGTGACACACCTCTATGAAAGCTGCGGTGTTATCCATAGGGCTTGATTTTCACTAGAATGTTAATTGATTAGATCTGGGAACATTTTACTGCATGCAGAGAGCATGTCTGCAAAATGTATTCAGTATTCTGGGATGCCTGTTCACAAGAAACAATTTCTGAGTCCACAATTTTTAATTTCTTATTGAAAAACAACAACAACCTAGCAACAAATATTGAATGAGTTTTGAGTTGAGAACCAACATAATAATAGCACTCGAGACATTCCATTCAGCAGTCCAACCCCCATCTTCAGCAGCAAATGTAGCATTTCACTTCCAATAGTAAAAAAACAAGGTAAAGCCGGGAGATGTGAACCAGCATCATTGCACACGGTTATAAACCATAAGTGCTCTGCCACCATTATGGACAGCTGATAAAAAACTGTCCGCCTGTGTTGCCGTTCGCACATAACTCTGTAGCTACAGCGACGTTCCTTCATTAACCCCAGAGTGTCAACTCTGGTACCCATTTCCTAGAGGCTGGGTGAACCCCGGGTTTCGAACACCGACCATGGCTGCAGTGAGTCGCAGCTGGATTTGAAAGCGAGTCTCGTATCGGCTGCGCTAACGTGGCACTTCCAGTAGTACTAGTTACAGTCTGATTGTATGTCCGTCTCTCCTCTTCCTTGAGTGTTAAGCATTAACCATGATCCATTTGTGCCTGTGCTCTGTTTACTCACTCCCAAAGGGCCAACATCTAGCTTGTCAAGCATTGGTTTACCCCACAGTGGTACAAAACCAGCCAATCTGTTGCAAATACTGCATGAGAATTCAAACCTGGCTTTGAGAGAGTGGTTTAGCACAGTGGCTAGTGCTATTGCCTGCCTGCTTGGTGGTAATGCATTCTAATTCCTGCCAAGCTGGGCACCCAGCCTACAGATGGTACTTGAACATGTCAGAAACAAAGTTGACCTGTGTGATGTTTACTGCATTGCCCATTCAGTCTTAGTTGGTCAATGACAGTAGGGGAGCTAGCATCCTAATTAAATATGTCCTTTTTATACTTACTTTGCTTTGATAGTATTGGGAGGGATATTTATGTGAGAACTGTGCATACAGCTGTGAAAGTGACATGTGCATGTGTATATATACCCTTTGTTGTGTTCAACTTGGAAGTGGTAGTAGCTTGTGTGTTCTAATTCCCCAAGAGTTATATAAATGGTAGTGTACCTACTTATAGGGTCTCCCATGTCGGGTAGATCAAAGGATTAGGACGAGATGAAGACTGATATACAGCTGCTGCTTTGTAGGTAAACTAGGGACAGGCAGAGGCTTTGGGAGACAAACTTATAAAAATGGGCTATCCTCCCAATATTGGGCACATATTATGGCGGCCAAAAACAGGGCTTCAGTCATGTGTCAATTGCGCACTTCCGGCGACCTAATTTGCGGTTTTTCGGTGACTACCCCCACTGCCGAGAGTATCCCCCATGCCGCTCACGCGGCATGGATTGGGGCCAAACTAGATGGCTGGGACTCACGAGCAAAGCTGCAAGAGATGCCGAAGCTGTTGCGCGTGAGTCACAGCCATCTAGTTCAGCCCTAATCCACGCTGCGCGAGCAGCGTAGGGATACTCTCGGCGGTGGTGAAGGAAAACCACAAATTAGGTCGCCGGAAGTGCGCAAATGACACTTGACTGAGGCTCTGTTAGGGTGTTTTTGCGGCCACCATAATATGTGCCCATTATTCAGGGGATAGCGTAAAAATGTTTCTTGAAGTTATATGTACTGAGCCATAACTTTTTGACAGTACAGGGAAACAAAAATATCACTTTATGATGACAGACACACACTTTTAAACCTGCTGAAGAAAACACTTTTGGTGTAGATTTCCTTGGATTTAAACATAAGCAGTGTTTGCTTGGAATGGCCCATGAATCTTCTAGAAGTCTGAGTTTTAACACTCGCTACTGTCCATAAAACTTTATAATTTGCCTCTTCCTGGCAAAGAAACATACTTAAGTTATCTATCTGAACTCCTTTTATTACATGATAATATTTGTTTTACAAATCTAGGTGGATACTTAGTCCATTATGTCTTCTGATGGAGAAACTATTGATTCTGTAGAGAGAAACAAACTGGAAACCAACCATCAAGACTCCTGCATATCAAGTTCATTGCTACAGAAGGTAACGACTATTACTATCAGAGCATAGTTTTTCATCTCTAACAATTTGTATAATTTTTATGTTATGTATTTACTCAACAATGATGTTAATAAAAGTTTTTAAATTCCCCGGTTGAGTCTCGAGCCCCATTGTGGTGAAAACAAGAAAATACCCACTGCCTGCCCAACTAGCATGACATAAGAGTCGACTAATTGGGAGTGTAAACACCTCCTTTTAACTCAGTAACTGGTTGTCTGCTTGTTTATTTGAACCTAATATGTTATTTATTATAACAAAAAAACAGTTTTTTTTGACTTTAGTGACCCAGTGAATACAAAATAAGAAGACAGTGAGAAATAAATGCAATTGAGTGGTTAGTTTTTTATTTAATTAGTCAACAGATCGTCCTCATTGTACGTCAAGCCAATCAATCCATAAGTGCTCAGATCTTCTCAGTAAATCTTGCAGCCTGATAACACCAGTTTTTGTGTTTATTTATTTTTCTTCTTTGGCTTTCTGTATTATCTTGTCTAGCATCACATCATTGCACTTGCTGTTTTTGTAATCTGGCCATGATGGCAAATTCCCAATAATCACTTCATAAGGAACATCCATAATTAGTTGACTTCTATGACATCTTGATAGGGAAGCAATGAGTCTTTTTTTCCCCTTTTAAAACTGGGCCCTGAAACCTACATGGGGACAATGGATTATGATAAGAAGTAGAAATATACCATGGATTATGATAAGAAGAAGAAATAATACCATGGATTATGATAACAAATAGAAATATACCATGGATTTTGATAAGAAGTTGTGAGTTAGATTATCTTCACAGCACTCCGGACACATCCATAGGCGCTCAGATTCCCCTCTCAACATATTCATCAGCGCCGCACGGTTAATAGTGCTAGTCCTGTGTTGGTTAACAAGACTTCACGTGCATCCAGTGTGCTTCTCATGCTTGGCTGTGCCGATCTTTACTCCCAATTCTCGTATTCTTAGCAGTGATGTTGACACGTTGCTTCCAGAATCCTCAGAGCGTCCTATCTCTCTAAGAGCAATGACAATGTCTGCGTGATCCATGGGCCGGCCATCTTCAATTAATACAGCACCTGTCAGTCTATCAGCTTTTTTATTACCAACAACGCCTGTATGCCCTGGGACGAAAATGAAAGTAACTGCACACAAAGGAGAGTTTTGCAATGACTCAAGCCACTGTGTAACCAGCCTGCCTCTGTCCTCCAGATCATGCTCAAGGAATCACTCAGCACACACACACGTGGGAGTAGTCCTGTGATTCTAGCCACATAAAAGTTTGTGTCACCACCATCACCTCCATCGTCATGCTGCTGGTAGTCTTGGAGAAGGCACCGCTGGCTTCCTTAACTGTTCTGTCTGAAGAGCGAGCTGTAAATGCACTCTTATGTCCTTGTATAACAGACCCGTCTGTGAAGATCACCACATTTGTCTTATCTGACTTGTCACTGATAAGCGCACATACCTCGGCATTGACAGCAGCTGGATTCTGCTCCTGACAACTTCTATTGAGTGTCACGACACAGTAGAATGTGAGATTGGGCGCTTTAGACACTGGTATCCATTCCTCACCTGGATAGATATCTGTAAGGCTGCAAACCTGCATGATGTCATCCTCTGCCCGACCCAACCATGATTTGCCCCTTTTAAGCCTGTTGCCCTTCTTCTTGAAGAGCATGTGGTGCAAAGGGTGCTTTAGATCTGAGCTTATCTTGAGGTATGCATGAGTCCTCCAGATCTTGATTCTGTAGTTCATGGTAGGGAAGTCAAGAAGGTACCTAATTGCTACACAAGAGGTGTCTCCAGTGCACCCCAAAATAATGCGCATTGCTTCGTTTTGCACCTTCTCAAGTCTTTCAATCTGAGTATGGCTGATGGTGAGGATGGCTGGAGCATATTCGATGGGAGAAAGTACAAGACCCTGGAACAGAAGCAGAAGCAGTCTCTGCTCAGTGTTAGAGGTGGCCATCACCCTCATTGCTGACAGGCAATAAATATACCATGGATTTTGATAAGAAGAAGAAAAAGAAATATACCATAGATTATGATAAGAAGAAGAAGAAATATAACATGGATTATGATAAGAAGAAGAAGAAATATACCATGGATTATGATAAGAAGAAGAAGAACTATACCATGGATTTTGAAAAGAAGAAGAAGAAATATAATATGGATTATGATAAGAAGAAGAAATATACCATGGATTATGATAAGAAGAAGAAATATACCATGGATTATGATAAGAAAAAGAATAAATATACCATGGATTATGATGAGAAGAAGAAGAAATGTACCATGGATTATGATAAGAAAAACCATGAATTATGATAAGAAGAAGAAGAAATATACCATGGATTATGATAAGAAGAAGAAGAAATATATACACAAAATGTGACTGTCCAATGTTTTACACCATGCATGTGATGCTTGATGTTTTTGTTTTGTTTGCTGTGATTTGCAGGAAGTATTGAATAGCAGAGTTTTCACTGCATCAGACAACAGTCCAAGCAGCATGGATCACACTTCAGAGATCAGTAAATTGCAACTGAGCAACAAGCAACTTAAACTAGATCTGCAAGCTGAACAAGGTATAATAAAACAATGAGAAAATATTCATGCATATGCAAAATTTGTGAATCTATAGGTGGTTTTGAGGTTTTGAACAACTGATCAACATCATGGCACACGGTTGTAACCCATAAGTGCTCCGTTCTTCTTCTAACTCAAGTCTGAGTCAGAAGAAGCATAGCACAGTGCACAGGCTCTGTAGCACCAGCGAGGATCCTGAAATACTTTAGGTAAAATTTTAACTCCAAATTTTAACTTGGGCAGCTCCGTTAGGCTACTCTTTTTGATTTCCAACCGCCAAGGGATTTTTTATGTGCGCAACAATGCACATGGGCATCCGATCTCACTACCCAGAGACTAGGGGGAATTACTATAAGTTCAAGTCCATGTAAAAAAATCCCAGCCCTTACCGGGATTGTGCCTGGAACCTCTAGCACTCGAGGCGGACACCATGCCTCCTCACAGCCCCTGTGAATCTATAAAAATTAGTGAAACTTCACATAGCTGTATGTCATTGCAAAAAGCTTTTTTTTATTCTTCATAAATAATAAATCAATCGAAAATGTTTGGTCAAACACTGAAGCACACATTTGTTTCAAGGTAAGATAAAGGCAGCCAAAGACACATATTTATGTAGTGATATCCTCTTCTTCTTAGCATTCACCATCTATAAATTCCTGCAGAAAGTTCTGGTTGTTGATCTTGAGTTTTGCATGCACATTCATTTCACAGATCTGGCTTATTTGTATGCAGACTGTTTATTGCTTGCCTCTCAGGCAGATGCACTCTTGCTTTAAAGGAAACACCTCTGATTGGTTGCTTCCTACGAAGTGCTTGATTTGTAGAAAAGTGGGGCAGGGGTGGGGGGAGGCAGTGGGTTTATTTTTTATTTTGCAAAGTGGAACTACAGAGCCCACATAGGGAATTTAGTGATATAAAATGTTAGGTCTTTGCATTTAATAAGTCACTGCATAAATCATACAGGTGTTCAGTTCACACCAAAAAAATATTTTTGTGAGAACACTAGCAGAGAAGCCAATATGAGTATTTAGAAGTTTATAGTTTTATATAATATACTGAAAGATGGTATCAAGCACACATACAGTCAGAATGTTACTGGCAGCATCAGAACTAGAACTCTTCACTTGCTGCTGAAGATCAGGACCGAGTGTTTATGGAAAGGTCCAGGGTGTTGTGATGTCAATTCTCAATTGAACATTCAATAATATATTGACATTTACAGTTTTATGTAATGTACAGAAATCATTGTAATAGGATTCATGATGAAAATAATTAATATCCTTAAAAAATAATTTATCATGCAAAATAATGTAGATTCTCTTTGTTTTATATAACTATTTTTTGTTCATTACCTAAATGTTCTTAAACTGTTATTTTTCAGTCTACTTTATGTTCACAATTGTAGATGCTGGCATTGTATTTTCCCCTCCACCATTGTAGATGCTGATATTATATTTTACTTCCACCATTTTAGATGCTGGCGTCCAACTGAGAAAAAAATTTAATGCTGTTGAGAAGCAAAAACTTGAAATAATAGCACGCACAAATGAAGAGGTAGGCTTTTATTTTTTGACAATTGAAAACAAATTACTGAGATATTTTGTGTTATTATGAAGGATGTTTAAATATGTACTCAAATAAGACCATAAATACTCTTCTCCTCCAGTAGAAGTCAAAGGATATGAGTGCCAGCCATGCCTTTCACACTCTGGGTAACTTCTTCTTCTTAAAGTCTATGCCGTGTGGTGATGGTAGTCATGTCTATCCACAACCTTCTGTCTCGTGTACTTTCATTCAGCTCTGACACAGATGATCCTCCTTGCTACGATGTCAAACTGTCCAGTATCTTTTCTCTCGACTCCCTCTGCCCCTCCTCCCCTCCAGCTTTCATACTGTCATGATGTATTCCATTTTTCTCTTTTTCTCCACATGACGAAAGAATGTAGATTTTCTCTGTCTGATGTGGGCAATCAGTTCTCTCAAGGAGTCAGTTTTTTTTTTTACAAGATCTTTATTACTCTTTTATCTGTCCAGGGTATTCTCATCATTCATCTATAAAACCACATCTCTTCAGCATCCAAATAGGTTTTCACTAAATTTACCAACTGTCCATGATTCACTTCCATATTTCAAGATAGGATTTAAATAGCTTTTAAGAATTCTTTCTCTCTGACAAAGAAAGATTGCATAGAATATTCTTAATTTGGTAAAATTTTGCCTTTGCTTGAGCTATTCTACATTTAACTTCTTTAATACATCTTCCTTCTGATGTTATTAGGGTACTCAACATATCAGCTTGCTAGAGGTTTGTCCCATTTACTTTATGATGCATTTTGGAGGGTCAGTTTTCTTTGTAATTACTAATAATTCTGTTTTTCTGCTGTTCAAACTAAGACCCCATGTCAAGTGCAATTTCTATATGTTTTCTACTGCCTATTTTGATTTTCTGAAGCTAGTTATTGCCTGGGAAAATCTGCTAACTTAATCATCCAAGACAAATTTAGAAAATCTAATTGTCAGACAGACTGTAGGAACAACACCATGCAGCAAATTCATTGAGAAACAGAATATCGAATGGTTTGGTCGTTTAGTAAGAATGCAGCCAGAAAAATTACCAACACAGACGCTACATTTGAAAAGATCTAAAGAGAAAGCAAGAGGCACCTCTAGGACAAATGGATTGATGAAATTAAAGAGCTTCTACATCGACACAGAATGACAATAGTCATTACTGCCCATCAAACAACAGATCACAAACTGTTCCTGCCCACAACGCTTAATAGCAGATGGGAACATTGATGATGATGATGATGAGTTATTGTGAGATAGTCTATGACTCACATCCTCATATTGCTGCACAAAAGATGCATGCTTTTAATATTTTGACTTTTGTTTGCTTGCTGGCACTTAGCCATGGGCTTGTGATGCTGTTTAATCTTTGCAGTACTATGACAATCTCTATTGTAGAACAATCTCCATTGTTCTTTTTTATGGAGACTAGACATTCAGTGATGCTGTTTAATCTTTGCAGTACTATAACAATCTCTATTGTAGAACAGTCTCCATTGTTCTTTTTTATGGAGACTAGATATTCAGTGATGCTGTTTAATCTTTGCAATACTTTAACAGTCTCCATTGTTCTTTATTATGGAGACTAGATATTCAAAATTTATTTTGATTTTCAAATTATTTGACATTTATTTATTTCTTCATCCTTGATTGTTATCCATTTTTCAAATGTTAGCTTATTATTATCTCCTAGATTGGTTCACTGGAGTCTCAGCTAGCTAAAGCTCACCTGCAGGTTGAAAAAGTGGAAGCTACCAGACGCAACCTAGAATATGAGCTTACAAAAAGTCAGCAGGAAATACATAGGATCAGGGAAACATCTAAACACAAGGAAGATATTCTTTTAGAAGGAACAGAAGATTTGAAAAGTAATGTTATTGTTTTTAGTCATTTAAGAAAAATAATAACAACAGCACAGAATTTTAGTATCACGTAGCCATGATAACTAAAGAACACACATTTTTTAGTTAAATGATGTGAGTAAATAAAATAACATTACACAAAATTACCAGAGAAATAGTTACCCGAATAAAACCAGAAATATTTTGATTTTATTTTTCATGATGCTGGGATATAGTATGAAAGTAAATATATGTCTCCGAAGAATAATCTTACATTTTTCTATATATTTTTGATGGTTTATCCAGACACGATAACTTCCTAGAAATACTTACGCAATTAATATCCTGTTATCCCAAATTGTATTGATTTTATGAGTGCAATTTAACATCTGTTTTTTGCATACTGTGAAAAACATCACCAGCTAAATTGCCTTCATAATGTTTAAAATAATTTGTTAGCAACTATCATTCCTTTATCACTGAGGCCCTATTGTCTGTCAGAGCATAGTTTCAATACCTATACTGTATACACATATTTAAGTGAATATTTGAAATTCTTGATAACTTTCTCAGAAAAATCTATTATGTTAGCAGAGTTGGGAGTTTACACATTTTCAATACACTGGGATGTAAAGGTGGCACTCTTCAAGTGCTGATTGGCCTATAAAAATATGGGTCGAGCACAAGGTACCATATGTGCAAATGGCATGACAAGGGAGCCTGCTGTCTACTGCTATGCTGGAACATCTTCCATCAATAAGACTTCTGTAACTGCTTTGCCTAAAATGTTCATTACGTAAAATAACGTATGTGCAGCTTTCTGATAAATGTAATAGAATTTATTTATAGAAACATGAAAGCATGATGCTTTTTTTAAAGTAAAGGACCCTTTTCCTCATCCTTAGCCATATTGGGTATATAGTGCTAGACACATATTTTTTAACCAATAGGCACTTGGTTGTTGATGTAGTTAATATCACGCCAGCCACCTTTACTTCCAAGGACTTTACTTGGTCACCATTTTAGGCTGGATCAACCTGTGAACCAAAGTCATTTGTGATAAAAATCTGGCTTGATGCGGATCTGAACCCACAGTGGCTCCTGCTTTAAAAAAAAATAGCACCTTCTTTTCTAGAGAAATAATCCCTGGGTTCCAGGAGACGTTATGGAAGTAAAAGCAACTACCAACAGTAGTTGTCATCAGTGCCAGACGTGGACAGTTCTTGAAAAACATAAATGCTGCAGTACTACAACATGATAGCTGAGGCGTATAAGAAATGTGGTAGGAAAAACAAGAAGAAACAGAGCCACCAATGAAGAACAAAACACAATCTTGGGCCAGTAAATGATTTCATAGAACATCAGAGAATCAAATGGTTTGCTCGTTTGGTCAGAACTGGGCAGCAGCTAGAGTGTACTACATGAGAACAGCAGGCTACAGGGCAACTGCTGGGCCAAGAATGAGATGGTGGAGGGAGTAAAAGAGATACTACAGAGACACAATATGACATTAACACAAGCTAAAGAACTAGTAAAAGACAGGAAGCTATGTCTAACTCCTCTCTGTGACACTTTATGGCAGAAGCAGTAGAACAAAAGAAGAAAGAAGTTTAAAGTGGCTACTGTAATATTTACTACATAATCCATAGAATTCTTATTGATATATAAGAATTTGCAACTTAAGGTATGGAAACATGTTGTTTGCTTAACAAACATACTGTTTACTTAGTTAAGAATGAAAGTGTAATTATGAGACTCACGCTGTACCTACTGCGCTATCGAGGCACATGTGTGTATTGCAGCAAACATAAAAAATCTCTTGGCAGTGGAAATTGAAAAAAGTAGCCTAACAGCGCTGCCCAGGCAAAAATTGGAGTTAAAAATCTACCCAAAGTATTTCAGGATCCTCGCTGGTGCTGCTGAGCTCATGCACTGCTCTGAGCTTCTTCGGACTCAGGCTTGATTTAGAAGAAGAATAGAGCACTTATGGTGGGTTACTGCTAGACAGAAAAAGAGAGTGTGTGTGTGCATGTGGGCGGGCGGGTGGATATATCAGCACATCGACATTTAATTTTACTAAACTCTTGTAATTGTTTTCCCTCTATTTATGAACGTAGTTTATTTACAGGCTAAGATAAGTAATTGTATAAAAACTCTTGTTGTCACAGATAAACTAGAAGACCTCAGTGAAGAGATCAAACAATTGCATAAATCATTGCAAACTTGCAAAATTAGTTCCCAAGAAAAAGAAGAAAAGCTGAAGCAACACCTTGAGGATAAAACTGAACAGATATTGAAATACAGAGCTGAATTAGAAGTAGTCTGCACTGAGAGGGACAAGTTAAATGAAGTTTGCCAGCAGCATCTGAGGTAAAATCTGATAAAATTAAATGTATTTTTCCTTTTTTATCCCTTCATTTACTACTGGACGTAAATTTGCCTAGAAAAACCACACAACAGCCGGGAGCTGTTGGGGTTGGTTCGGCAATGTCCTGTAAAGGATACGCAGCTAACCTATTCCTTCATTTACTTGTTTGTTTGTTCATTCAATGGATCAACATCATGGCACACAGGTGTATCCCATAAGTGCTCTGTTATACTTTCTAACTCAAGCCTGAGTCTGAAGAATCTCAGCGCAGTGCACAAAATCCGTTGCACCGGCGAGGATCCTGAAATACTTTAGGTAGATTTTTAACTCTAAATTTTGCCCCGGCAGTGCCAGTTGGCTACTCTTTTTCGATTTCCAACTGCCAAAGGATTTTTTTTTACTTGTGTAACAATACACACGAGCGTCTGATCTTACTACCCAGAGACCAGGGGAAATTACTAGAAGTCCAAGTGAAAAAAATCCAAGCTTTTACTGGTGTTTGAATCCGGGACCTCCAGCACTGGAGGCAGATGCCATACCTTGAGACCACTCCCTGAAGAGGAGTGAATATGGCACAATCATATCTGCTAATATTTTGCACTGAGTATGGTATATATGTATTTATTTTTTCAACATGTTGTCCCGCTGTGGTGCATGGTGCATTCCCCCTTGATTACTTGATCTGCTGCTCTATTTTTTTTATATTTTGTAGAACAATGCATAATAATTTTTAGTTGCAATCATTTCCACATGAAGTTACATATTTGGAATTCTTTTGTTTTTAAATTTTAGTAGAGCTGCACTGGAACATTCTTTTAGTAGTTGTAAAATGGAATTTTTTTTTTAAAATAAAAGAGAAATAATTGTTTCTAGTGGATAAAAAAAACGATATGAAAAGTCTGCAGTATTTATTCATATTAGAAATCGTATACATCTATGTCAACCAAGGCAAATCTCATAAGAACAGTTTTTTGCCCGACATTGTGCTAACAATGCCAAACATGGACCCTTCTTCTTCTGCCTTTCTATCCCCCAATGGAGCATAGGCCCTCAACCAACTCACGCCAAGTCCTTCTATCCTTCGCCATTGCATAGAGCTCTCCCCATGTCCTCCCAATCTTTCAACCCTCGTTCTCCAGCTCTCTTCTCCATGTAGTTTTGGCCTTCCTTTATTCCTATAGCCCCTTGGGTTCCAATGCAAAGACATTCTAGTAATGCTGTTCTCCTTTTTTCTCAGTGTGTGCCCTATCCAACGCCAGCGTCTTTTCCTCACTGCCTTCCACTGGAGCCTGTTTAGTTCTCTCCCAAAGTTCTACATTAGTTATTCTATCATACCATTTTATTCCCTCTATTCTGCGCAGGCACCAGTTAATGAATGTCTGTAATTTATTAGTAATTGCCTTGGTTGTTCTCCATGTTTCCACCCCATACAATAGTACTGTTTTGACATTAGAATTAAAAATTTTTAGTTAGTATTTCCCCCCCTTTTGACCCCCCAAATTCCTAGTGCTATGAAAGCCCCTCTTGCCTTTTGTATTCTTATTTTAATATCTCTATCAGTTCCCCATCTTTATCTACATTACTGCTAAAATAGCATGTATACACTCCACGTCGCTTGAGTTGGGTGCCATTAAGAGAAACCACATACTATTTGCCTGATTTATTCTCATTATCTTTGTCTTTTCCTTTATGGATTTTCAGACCATGCTTTGATTTTTAAGTATATTTAATTTATCTTGCATCTGATTCCGTGAATGGGACAGAAGAGCAATATCATCAGCGAAGTCCAGTCATCAAGCTGTTTGTAGGGGTCCACTGAATTCCATTTTGGTTTAGCAGTTACTGTTTTCATAGTCCAGTCTATAGCCAGTGTAAATAAGAGGGGCGACAAAAGACATCCTTGTCGCACACCTGTTTTTATTTCAAATGCATCTGTTTAGTTTTCCCTCATGAAGAACTCGACATTTCATGTCTTTATATGTTTGCCTTTACTAAGTTGATAATTTTCTGTGGGATTCCATAGTGCCCCATCAATTTCCAGAGAGATTCCCTATCTATGCTGTCAAATGCTTTTTCATAGTCTATAAATCCAATGTAAAGTGGTGAGTTCAGTTCAATGCTTTGCTCTATTATAATACGTAATGTGGCTATCTGATCAGTACAGGATCTGTTTGACCGAAAACTGCCTGCTCATCTCTTAGCATTTTTATCAATAGCATCTTTTAATCTTTCCAAAATAATTCTACTTAATTTTTTTTCCAGAACTGACAGCAACATAATTCCTCTATAGTTTTCACACTCCTGTAGATCACCTTTTTTTGGGACAAGATATCCTTCTCTCCAGTCTGCTGGTATTTCTTCGGTCTCCCAGACTTTACTGAAATCTATGGTCCTGTTGATGTGTTTATGTTGGCCCTGATGGCTTCAGCTGGGATACCCTCTGGGCCTGTCGCCTTTCCTTCCTTGAGAAGATTTATAGCTTTCCTAATTTCCTCTTGGATGGTATCTTGCAGTTGATATCCAGTTCCAAAAGTATATCTGTGGGGAACCTGGGCCTGGTCTATTTAGAAGCATAAAATATTCTACCCATTGTACATTTGATCTTAGTGTTACAAGTACCTTTCCTTGACTATTTTTGATTGATCCAGTTGGCTGACATATTTACCTACTATTTTCTTGTGTTACTGTAAAGTTTTCTGAGGTTTCCTTTTGCTGCCGCTGTCTCTGCTTCTTGTGCTAGATCATTTAGATATTTCACTTTATCTGCCCTTGTATGCCTCCAACTTCCTTGTTGGCTTCTGTGTATTTCTCTTGAGCTCTAGCTTAGCAGCTCTAGTTTTGCTATGTTTAATTTGCCTTTTTACTTTTCCTATCTTCAATCAGTTTAATGGTTTCTGGTGTTATCCAGCTGCTTTATGTTTCCTTTCTTTGCCAAGAACTTCTACGCAAGATTCATTCCAGATTCCTTTGATCTGATCCCAGCAGACTTCCGTGTTGACATCTTCAGCTAGCTGCTGCAACACCTGGTACACTGAGAGACCGTAACTGAGAACTGTTCCTTACTTTCTTTATCTCTGAGAAAGCCTACATTATATTGGTTTCTATGATTATAAGATGTTATATATCTTTTTAGTTTCAACTTGATTTTACTTACCACCAGGAAATGGTAGTAAATACATCGGTACCTCTGAAAGCCCTAACATCGTAAAGGGATGATCTAAACTTTTTGTTAATACATATGTGGTCATTTGATTGTTGTCTTATGGTCTGGTGATTCCCATGTTGCCTTGTGTATACTTTTATGGGAAAAAATAATTCCACCAATAACATACTGGTTACCTGCACAAAAGTTTCTGAACAATTCTCCATTTTCATTCATTACTCCTAGACCTGTCTGAGCCCTTCATAACTGTTTGTCTGATCCTATCTTAGATATCACCCACAAAATGTTTAAGTTGCCCCTTCTTTCATCTTTCTATTTTAAAGCATGTAAAATTCTTCCTTAACAGATGCATCTTTATCAGTTGTTGGTGGCATAACACTGTATTACCGAGATGTTCACCTTCTGTTTAACTGTTCTAAAAGATGCTCTTATTATTCTGGGACTCCAGCTTCCCATTCTTGTGCCCTGTCTGCCTTTTGATAGCATGGTCACTCCCTCACTTGCGGCATCTTCCTCTGTGTGTCCTGACAAAATAGTTTCTCCTGAATTAGAATACTTTTCCCTGCCCCCGTCCATCTAGTTTCACATAACCCTAAAATACTAATTCTATAATTTTCATTTCCTTTGCTATTCCATTGTTCTCCCTATATCTTAGAGAGTTTTTTCCAGGTGCAATTCTGAGTTTTCTAGCTGATTAGGAATACGTCAACGGTCCGGACTCGTTACGGCTTTCTCACACCGTGTCATTTCTTCTATTTGAAGAGCCTTCCCTCATCTTGTATTTTATTGCTTCTCTTTTTGACTTATCCATGGTTGGTTGGTTTTTGTGGCTATGGTTTTTACAGGATGAGGTAGCCAACCTCAAGCCCAACCCTACCCTTAGTCACCTCTTACGACATGCCTGGAAGGGTGCAGTGTCACTATTCTTTGCTTCCCGTGAGGGCCCCGGTGACACACGGGCGAACATGGACCCTTGCTACGACTAATGAGCAGAAAATCATAGCAGAAATGAGATGTCAGTGTGACAAGAAGAAATAAAATCAGCAATGAAGAAATTAGAAAAAGACTAGGACTGAAACCAGTCATATAGTTCATTAAAGAACAACAAATGAGATGGTTTAGCCACCTGGCGAAAATGCCTTGGTACCAACTGCCACAGAAAGCCACGCTGAAGAAATATAATGAACACAGAGCAAGGGGAAGACCACACAAGTGCACAGAGATCCTTACATCTCCCTCCAACACCTCGCTGAGGTAAATGGTGGAAGAGAAGAAGAAGAAGAAATTGTAAACTATATTTGTTAAATGACTATGCTGTGGCAGATGATGACCTTGAGTCATGGTTTGTTGTGTCAGAGATTTGTCATTATTCACTAGCCCAGTCCCTTTATGTTGTTGTTGTTTGCGTTCACAGTGTTGATGATATCTGCTCTGTTTGTTCCTTGCTGTCAGGCAGATACACTCTGACTTTGAAGGACTCTTATGACATGCATGTTTGGGAGGCAGTGGGTCTAGTTTTCCATCACAATGGGTCCTGAAACCCACAAAGGGGCACTATATGTAACTCCCTCCCCTTGCTGCCTTGCGATGGAGTTAAAAGTATACACAAACTGGTGGAAGGTAAGGGGAAACCTGTTGTACCTGCTTAGTACATTATGCTTTGACAGCTCATAATATTTACTGTGTACAATACCGGCCTTCGTAATTGACTGTTTGCATCAACAGTGAGCTGCAATTTTTGTGTGGGATTGGTAATGTTGGCACATCTGCCAGCTGCCTTAGGAATTTACTTTGCTTGTGCGAGATTCAGATTTTTGCTGAGCTTGACATGTTTGTCACTAGTTTTTGAATGGGACACTGAAGGACACTGTGTGATTTCCACTGGCACATGATTGGAGCAGTTAAGGGGCAACCTGCCTGTAAGTGAAGTCTAAACCTTGACTAATGACTAATGAGCTCATACAATTGCAGCATGATCCAGGACTCCATCGATTGTGGGAGGTGGTGATCTGTAATCACCCACAATTATTGCCATGTCTGATGGTGAATATTTATACACTAATCTAAAATGACTGTTCTTCTTTTTCTTCTTCTTTAGCCTTCTGAGCCCTTGACGTTCATTGCTGCAGATATCACCCACCTCCCTTCATCTCTCTGGTTAGCCTTCTCTTTTCAGTTGGTGACACCAAGTGTTTGCAGGTTTGTCTGGACATTATCTCTCCATCGTCTTCTTGGTCTGCCTCATGGTCTATGATCATTCATCTCCCTTTTGTGTATACAGTTGACTTGCTTTTTTTAGTAATAATTTTTTTTTTTTAATTCAGTTTTTATTGATCTGACCTTCTTATTTTTTCAGAGTTATCTCTGATTTAAATAACAGACTTCAAGGTTTTGAAGGTAAGTGCCTTCTTGCTGTTATTTTATTACAATTAAGGTCACTACACATTGGGCATTCCCATGTGTGCTTAGTTCTCCGATGCAGCAGCCACTCCAAGGTACTTCTACTAATTGTTCCTATGAGAGGTTGGTTATAATGTCTCCTCAAAGTTAGCATAGATGTTCTTCACCATGCTTTACTTCCATATCATGTAATCATGGCAGTGTCAAAGATTTGTCATTATTCACTAGCCCAGTCCATATAGTGTTGATGATATCTGCTCTGTCCATGCTTCTTCCCACATGCGTTTGTGCATTGCTTGCCAGTTGGTCCACTCACTCATTACCCTTTAGGCCAGCATAACCAGGTGTATAGATCCAGGTGAGGGAGGTTAAGTGCGATTTTCTAATGCTTTCTGCCCATTCAGAGGAAACATTGCCTGTTGCTATTTTCTGAAGCATGTTCATGGAGTTAGATACAATTACTGCATATGTGGCTTTGCTCTGCTGACCATGCTAGTGCTCTAGAAGCAGCAGTTATCTCCATGGTCATGCTTGACTTAGTTGCCTGGTAAGCGCTGCTGTCTGTTTTATTGTTTTTCCCATCCTTTGTGTTGTGTACGTCTGTGCTGACCTTGATCCGCGTTTCACAGACCCAGCTGTGTAGATGATGATATCTTGTGGGTGTGAATGCTGATCTACAGGTGCCCTTGCTGTCTCGGCTGCAGGAATCTAATCCCTGCAGTACCTTCCCTTCTGTGATGCATTGTGGTCAAAATTATTTTTTCACTTGTTTTGTGCTAACCATTTGAAACCAAAACTGTTTTATTGCTTTCAGTCCTGTTTTGTCTTCTGTTATGCAAATATTTGCTAATTATAAGAGCTTGGCAGGTTAGGATTTGATTTTGTGTGTCTGTGATAGAAAAATATTCACAACCTTATTGAGGTTTTAAACCAGTCTCTTCGATAAGAGCTCAGCGCTTTTAACTATTTGGCGGACTGAATATGGCACAATCATATCTGCTAATATTTGCACTGAGTATGGTGTATATTTATTTTTTTTTTTCAACATGTTGTCCAGCTGTGATGCATGGTGCATTCCCCCTTGATCACTTGATTTGCTGCTACATTTTTTCAGAAAAGGGGACAAATCAGACAAAGAATTTTTTTTCTTTTTCCAAATCCTAAAACAAAACACACACAAAAATTGAAAGTAAGGATCTGGACTGAGATGAAAAAGCTATAATGAAACGTAACAATTGGTTTATTTATAAAAGTAAATTGTTCTGTTCCATAGACTTATTCAAAGTTAAGTAGAAGTGACAAAGGGCATCAGTTCAAACTGAACAGGAACACTACACACTCTACACAAGTTGCAATTTTCTGTGGCATTTCCCTCTTAGTCAGGAACTAGCACATCTGATGGAAAAAATAAGCCCTGCGCGCTAGCTAAGTTGGTTAACCCAGCTGCGCGGTGATCGGGTGACAAACTCCTTGTAGTTTGAGTTCACGCTTGGGGGTACGCAGAAAGCCACACATTTACCAGATGTACAGTATCTGTCATAGAATCAAGGCCGAAGGGTTGTGATATTCATAGTACCCAGCCAAAGGGTTTGCAACTTGGTTTCTGGATTTAAAAAAATAAAAAAAAAAGCAAAAACAACATGCATATTTTTTATTTGTTATTACAGATGAGAAGAGAAATGTTCTGGACAGCCTGAGGCAGGCTACAAATGAATTGAAGTATGCAAAGGACAGAGAAGAAAGGCTTAAATGTGATCTAGAGGTAAGTGTCAGTATACAATAATTTAAATGGTATGACAGAATTCTAATGTAGAGCTTTGGGAGAGAAACAATTCTACTGAATTAAGACGTGAGAGAAAAAAAAAAAACCAAAAGTGTTGGATAGTTTTTAAACCATATTACCTGCAATGGTACCTCGTGTCACAAACTTAATTCTTTCTTTGACTCAGTTCGTGAACTGAAACAATTTTTTATCCAGTCCTCCCCATGTGGGATGAATTTTTTTTGTTATTTGAAGCGCGACACTGGCTTTTCCTGGGGCCCTGAATATAGCAGGGCCATAAAATGGCCTAACGGCTGAAAAGGTTTTCTGGGTCCTCTCCATGGGTGATTCTCATCCACATGGTGGCACTTTGTGTCACCGGGTGTCTCTCGCTTTGTGTGATGTCCTAGTCGGGTACAACTTAGAATAGAATAGAATAGAAATGACTTTTCCCATTGAAATGAATGCAAATCCAATTATTTCATTCGCCCTACCCAAAAACATATTTTGTTTGACTTTTTTGTATGGATTTATGTGTTGCTAAAATATATATGTGGTTGATAGTTGCTGGCACATACAAATGGTAAAGGAGGAGGAGGAGGCAGAAGACTACTCCTTTGAAAGAGTCACATTCTATTATAACATTAGGCAACTGTAAATTCTGACTTAGTGACCAGTTTTTTTTTAACGAGACAACGATCCAGAGACATTTGTCTTTTTCTTTGTGGATAATTTTCCAAAAAGGGGATATCATGTTGTCCTTTAAAATGTCCACTGCTCTGATGTCACATTTGTTATTATTTTTTTTTTTAGTGTGGTGCTTCTCAATGAACTCCTGCACATCACTGCAGTTGCTACATATTTCTTTGATCTAAGCACTTGAAGCATGTACCACCTCTTCCCCCTCCTCTCCTGAGTGCTGCTCTTGTATACCTGTCATCTGTTCATGTTGCAACTCAGCAGGTTCTTTCTGAGTACAAACCTAAGTACAGTTGATAGTGTTCGCAATCTGAAAACATGACGCCAAAGCCATGTTTGTGCTTTCATGCATGGAGACATTATTCATGGGTTGAGTCAAAATTTGTTCAGAAGTTATGTTCATGGGCCGATAGATTTGTGCCGTATTTTCAGTTGTAATGTTATTTCCATTTTAACAAATGCTAGTGAAAGTTCGAGAACCACTAAAGACATGGAAGAAAGTAAAATGCATTTGAAAACAAATTCCTGAGGAAAATGCTGAATGTAAAATGAAAAGAATTCCGGAAGGGTGAAGATATAAAACAAAATGTGTGAGCAACCACCGGTAGCAATAGTTATAAAACAAATAAAATGGTCCTATATTGGGCTCATTCTGAGAAGAAATGAACAGAGAATCATCAAACAGGCACTAAAATGGAAAACAAAGGGACTGGGGATGTGCGTTCATATGTCCAAACAAACTGAAACGAATATAGATGTGAGAGGACAAAAGTGCTGTATTGGATTCCATCCATGACATCAAAGTGACTGTACAGGACAGAACTAAATGGAGAAATAGACTGCGAATGCTCAGTCACGTATAATGGCACAGGAGGCCAATGAATGAATGAAAAAGGTGAAGAACACTTTTCACGCTATTGACACATCAGGCATCGACCCATATTTTTATAGACAAGTCAGCACTTGATGGGTTAGCATCATGGTGGCCACTTTACCTGCTAGGACAGTTCCTGGTACCCAGGTCAGCCTGGGAGACAAGATTAGTTATAAAAATTTGCCTTGGTGCAGTGTTGATTCATGCATTGATTTTTTTGTTGCATGCCACAATGAAAGGTTCTCAAATTGACAAATGTTGACATTTGAATTAAAAATTACTCCTTTCAAAGTTGGAGTGCGTCTGCCTGGGAGGCAAGGAACCAGCAGTCTGCATACAAAGGAGTCAGATCTGTAAAAAGGATGCACACTCAGGTTCTGGAACAGGGCTGCAGTCCAGAAGTGGATGACAAACCAGAACTTTCCGCCAGAGTTGACAGCTAATGAACGTGAAGAAGAAGAAGAAGAATTAAAAATTAACATCATAACACTCAGGACATTCCGATATGTGCTATGTCCTCATTTTCAGCAGTGAGCACTAAATCATATGGTGCCAGCAACAGTTTGATTGTATGTCCATCTCGCTTTTCCCTTGAGTGTTGAGTGTCAGGAAGATCTATTGTTACTGTTCGTAGCACCATTTTCCTCAGACCTTGATGATCTATGTGTACTTCCACACTGTTCACTTGCTTCTGACGAACCATTACAAAATCTAGTTTGTTATGCATCAGTTCACCACCAAATAGTGCAGAACCTGCCAGTTATCAGTCTGTTTTCTTCCTTTTTATTTTCATATGTCTTTCCAGTTTTTACAGCGTCTACTACTTTTTTACTTTCTCATAATGTGATGACTAATTGATGCTTAAAAGGTTAGACGTTGTCAAGGCCCCTTGGGAATGTGTGTGGACAGAGTCACAGATGGATCATCTTGGTTTGAAGAGAATGGTGCAGCGGGGGAGTGGCCAGTAGATCTGCATGACACTCAACACTCAGGGAGGAGACAAGATGGACATACAAAATTAGACTGCTACTGTTACCATTGGAATTTGAACTCTGATCTGGCTGCTGAAGATGGGGATGGATCACTTATGGGAATATCCTGAGTGCTGCGATGTCAGTTCTTAACTTAACTGTAGTTAAAAAATGTTGACTGTCTGACTCTAAATTATGTGATAAATTGTCTTAGTCTCTTTAAAATATTTCGAGTATTCAGTTTTTACTGGCCAAAGTATTTTAGCCTTTTTCAGTAAAACCATATTTTTGGGATTTTTATTCCTCATTATGTGCTTACTTTATGTACATATACTAAAACTGCTGACTTATGTACAGAAAAAAATGTAATCTATTGAATTTGAATTGAAAATTGCAGGTGGCTCAGTCAAGAATCAAGACACTCGAGGATAGTGTAGAAAATGAGCGAGCTTCTCACTTGGAAACCAAGTTTACTTCTGAAATTGTGCATGTAAATGAAGCACATCTATCATTTATATATAAAGATTGATTATTCATTACTTTTTAATAAAATTAAAATCATAGCTGTGCGAGAAGCAAACGTCTGATGTATAGAAAATAATTGTTTTTGTCATAAAGATACACCTGTGGAAAGTTTATATAGCATAAACAAGGATAAGGGAATTTTAGGAAAGCACTGGGGTGATAAATGATCTAAAAATTCAAATTACCTCCAGTCTGTTCATGAATTATTTAAACTGCAAAGGATACAAAAGCTTGGCATGAGATGGTTGAGACCCATTTTTCCTTTTTTATGAACTAAAAAAAGAGAAGAAGAAAGATTTGTGGGTTACATGGGTTATATGATAACATTATCAGCACTTTGTGTAGGGTAACATTCACAGTATTTTCTAAGGCAAGATTCTTTAAACAGTTCCCAATTGTTTACATCTATACTTCTGCATTCATCAAAAGACTTAAATGCGTTGTGACTGTTTACATCATGTCTGAAATATTTGAGCATTTTGGCTGACACATCCAATTTCTTCAGGCATTTGTTGCCCGGTTAGCCTTCCCGGTTAGGTTTGTGGGACATTGCAGTCTCATTGCTGTGTTTTCATCACTTAGTTCGTTCTCAAGCCAGTGAAAAGGCTGCAGTGATTGCCTCCACATCTATTCTCCAGCTAGATGTTCCCCATGTAGGTTCTGGGCGCCGGTTGTGGGGAAAACCAGATTAGACACACTGCCTCCCCAACTAGTATGTTGTAAGAGTCAACTAACTGGGGGAGGGGGAGGGGCTTCCTTTGAAGTTAGAATGCATCTGCCTGAGAGGCAAGGAACCAACAGTCTGCATACAAATAAGCTAGATCAAAACGGATGTACACGCAACACTCAGGTATTGCACAAAAACTAAAGTCCAGAGGTGGGCAAACGACCAGAACTTTCCACCGAAGTTTACAGCCCGGTAAACACAAAGAAGAAGAAGATTGTTACTGGTACCATCAGAATTGGAACTCTGCACTTGCTGCTGAATATGAGGATGAAGCCCTTATTGGAATGTCCTGAGTGATATGATGTTGGTCAAAAACCACTCTGGAGGGAGACCAAGCTATATGTGATAAAACACAGCACTATGATGTCAAACTGAAGCCTTTAAATGCCCTTATAGAATACCATAAGAATATGTTAATTTTTTTTGTCATTGTAAAATGTAAGTCTTTATCAGCTTTCTGTTATGGGAAAAACTAAGAATTTTAGTTCTTAAAGCATAAGTACTGTGGGAAATATTTGAAGAGGGAGAAAATAAAACACATTTCAGTGTAGATAAATTGATGTACCGGTAGAAAAATACCAGCACACAGTTATATTTAACATCTCTTTCCATTGTGGTTGCAGTTACTGAAAGAACCATCATGATGCCAAAGCTGTGTAAAATCATCAAGTGTAGACAAATGCTTAACTTTGATCTCACTGGTCCTTATTAAGGATCCCATGATAAAGGGACTGCATTTTGTAACTGCTGATTTTGTCGATTTTTTTTTCTTAAATATCCAGAAACCATGAGTTGGTAACCCTTTGGCTTGATACTATGGATATCGCAACCCTTCAGCTTTGATTCCATGATAGGTACCGTAAATCTGGGAGGAAATGTGGCTTTTCTGCCTACCCCCTGGAGTGAACCCGGACCACAAAGAGTTCATCACCCTGTCACCACACAGTCCGGTTTAGCCAACTATGCTAGAGAGCCGGGCTGATTTTATTGATAAGAATGAGACAAAATTCTTGCTCAGGGTTTTAGGTACTGATGTTATGCATAGAGTTTATGTGTCTTTTTATGATACATGAAGCTTTGCAGCTATGAAAAACTGATGATCCGACACCAAATGGAAGTGACTGGCCTTCATGTTATTGATGGTATATATTCATTTTGACAATTTTTATACACTACTTTCATTCTGTGATTATTTTTTATACCATGTGATTTCAGCTAAGAGTGAGAGACCTTGAAGGTGCTACTGAAGTAGGGAAATCTACAAATATGGAAGCAAACAAAGCAATAGAAAGATTAACTCAACAAAACAGGTTTCTTATTTTTAATATTTTTGACTAGTTTTTTGCATTGTATTACAACATTTCTGAGAAATTAGTTATTATTAAAACAGTGATTTTAATAGATGGTTTTTAATATTTATTACTATTGTTATCTTCTTTTTTGTTGTCACCATCTTTGCTAATATTATAGCAATTGCACTATTATTATAACAAGTTGTGTTGCTTTAAAAAATATACAGCCTTGACATTTATTTTAATAGTATCTAGCATTTATTCAACAATTTGCTTTCTTGATATACTATAGGTCAGGGCTATTCAACTAGCGGCCTGCAGGCCAAATGTGGCCTGCCGAGGCCTAGCAAGTAGCCCGCTGATCGTTGCCAAAATAGCGAAATGTAGTTATTGAAAAGAACAAAAATTAAATCAATCAATGTTTCTGTATATTCTTCAAAAACCAGAGGTGTCAAATGTGTCAATTGGAAGTGTTTGTCATGAATCTGTAAGTACGAAGGTACAAGGGAACCGGTATAGGAACAGAAAAAGTAATTAGATCAGGGTAAAAGTTGGTTCCCAGTTCGCGCAAATAGCAAAACTCGCCTGTTTGAAGCCAAAGGTAATACGATAGGCTGGAAAGAACCAAGTAACAAGCGGGAAGGCCATCGCTGCACTGGACATTCAATGAAGGTGAGATGTTTATTGGACATGAGGCGTAGGGAAATACCAGCACAGTCCTGACAGTTAGAGCTTAGATTACAGAGAATCTCTCCTTAATGGGTGCCACTACTACCCACAAACTAATGACATTGGATGCAGCAGAACATCAGACACTGGACACGGCAGAATACCTGCTGGTGATCTTGTTATCAGATCATAACGTCCAGAAGAACGTTCAGTCACATTCAGAGTCACAGTCATCAGACGTAGATTGTTGGACGTGATTGTACATTAACAAACTGAATCAATAAAAGTGTTTTAAATTATTTAACTTTTAATAATTTAGTTTAATACTTGATGCCATGGCTAGCACTAGTAAGTGGGAATGTGAAAAATCGTGCTTTCAGCAGTGACTGGATACTGAAATATTTATTTATATCACCAACTCTGGCTTATTCGAAACCTGGGGGTGCCTGGTTAACCATGCTCTTAGTGCACTTGTATTCATGGCGAGGCGCAGACGCCGTCTGGAGGTGCCTGGTTAACCATGTTCTTAGTGCACTTGTATTCATGGCGAGGCGCAGACCCGTCTGGAGGTGACAGGTTCAATTCCCAGCATGGTAACTATAGCTTTCAATTTTTATGTTGTCTATTGTGTTCTTCTATCTTTCTACTTCTTTCTATGAGTGCCGATCAGTACACTTTCTGTTACTTGATTAATTCTAATTCGAAACCAGTATGCTTGCCATTTTATTTCTTCAACACTGGGCTCGACAATCTTAACCGATCGAATGATATAAATATTTTAAAAAGCTTCAGAATAATTTAAACAACAGATTTGACGACTTCAATATCCCAAACAATGTAATGTTATTTGTTCGAGATCCTTTTAAAATCCCTCCTGCGTGTGATTTTTGTTCCAATGCTAAGAAGTTGATATCCCATGTTGATGAAGGTTCTCTACAGTTAGAACTTGTGGATATCCAAAGTTCCAGCGCAGTGAATGAAGATTTTCAAGAAAGTGGTACCGCCAAGTTTTGGTACGAGATTATTCAACAGGAGCAGTTCCCTAATGCTAGAAAACGTTGTATTCATACTCAGCATGTCTGGCTCAACTTACACTTGTGAATCAAGCTTCTCACATATGAATGTCATCAAGACAAACAGTCGAAGCTCCCTGAGCAATGATAGGCTGCAGGATTGCATGAGAATTGCTCTGACTTCTCACAAGCCAAATTTGGCAAAATTAGCTCAAAAACGAAAATGCAACATTTCCCATTAATTACATTTTGCATCGTTATACCTTTCGGTTTCTTCTGCAGAACATGAAACCAACTGTGGACAGTTATTATTATTATTGTGACAATGGTAACGTTTATTTATGATCCCAACGACAAGTTGGAAATAGGTGTATTTCAATTAAAAATGATCCCCGTGTGGGTTCCGTCGCCCTATTGTGGGGAAACGAGAATAGTCCCACTGCCTACCCAAAAGAATGTCGCAAGAGTCGACTAATTAGGAGCTTTCTTCGAAGTCGGAGTATATCTGCCTGAGAGCCAAGGAACCTAGTCTGCATGCAAATGAGTAAGACGTGTAAAACGGATCTGTACGCAACACTCAATTTCTGCAACAGGACTAGAGTCCCAAAGTAGATCTACAGCCAGAACTTTCCGCTGGAGTTTACAGCCAGTGAATACGAAGAAGAGGAAGAATTAAAAGTGAGTATTAATTAGTCATTACAGAAGATTGTAGTAAACTTTACATTATAATGGTTTACAACACTACTTCATTTATATAGGCTATGTCCTAGGCGTAATAGTTTTCGAGTGTATTAAATCTAGAGATTGAAAATGTTGTCAATTGTAGTGTGGGCTCGGGCCACTGGCCCGCGACGTTTCAACATTTTGGCCCGTGAACAAACTTAGTTGAATAGCCCTGCTATAGGTTCATAAAACAAAATAAAAATTACTGTAAAGTGTGTCTGCTTTTCACTCTGAATACACCATTATATATTTCTTTATTGTTTGAATGTATGCAGTTTACCTGATAGTTATGTAATTAATTACTTGCTTGTTGCTGTCACCTAGGGAGCTAGAACAGGTTTATGAAGAGGAAAGAAAGAACAGAAAGGAACTCAGCAAACAGCTAGATAAGTAAGTATAAATAAAAAAAAAAATTTACCTTTACTTGAGTTGAAGAAAATTGTTATGTTATGTTATCACAATTGATGTCACTATACTTTTGGCATTTTCGTGTGTGCTCAGTCCTTCGATGCAGCAGCCACTCCAAGGTACTTCTACCAGTCGTTCCCATGAGGAGCTGGTTATGTCTCCTATACTGGCCTTAAAGGTGGCACAGATGTGTTTCATCATGCTTTATTCCATGTCGCGCAATCGTGTTAGCATCAGAGATTTGCCATTACCCACTAGCCCTGTCCATACAGCGTTGATGATATACCTGTGTCCATGCCTCTTCCCACATGCATTGGTGCAATGCTTGCCAGTTGGTCCATGCACTCATTATCCTTTATGCCAGCATGACCAGGTTTATTTGAGAACAATTCTGATAATAGGGGACAGACATGATTCGCTATTTGAAAACCAGTCTTTAGACTCACTAGATAATTACAGGTGTATGCATGGATACTTGTGCATAGACTCACTCACTTACTCTCTCACCCATTCATTCACTCACTCACTCACTCACTCATTCACTCACATCTGTTTGCTGACTCACCGATTCACTCACTCACTCACTCAGGCTCACCTGTTGTCTCACTCACTCACTCACTCACTCACTCACCACTCACTCACTCACTCACTCACCCGCCTACTCACTCACTCACTCACTCACTCACTCACTCACTCACTCACTCACTCAAACTCACTCACTCTTTCATACATAAGTTAACTATTTCATTAATGTTTTTATCACTCACTTACTCACTCACTTACTCACTCATTCACTGCCATCTGTTTGCTGACTCACCGATTCACTCACTCATTAACAATCATCAGGCTCACCTGTTGACTCTCACTCACTCTTAAATGTCCTGTCACTCACCCACCTACTCACTTTTATTTCACTCACTTACAAAACTCACTGGACCACAGCTTTCACTCACTTTAAGGGGATTGATGGCTCACTCACTCACTCGTTCAGATCAATTCACTGACAGTTGATTTCATCACTCACATCTGCAATATCAGGAAAAAAACTCACTCACTCACTCATTCACTCACTCACTCACTCACTCACTCACTCACTCACTCACTTACTCACTCATTCACTGCCATCTGTTTGCTGACTCACCGATTCACTCACTCATTAACAATCATCAGGCTCACCTGTTGACTCTCACTCACTCTTAAATGTCCTGTCACTCACCCACCCACTCACTTACTCACTCGCCTACTCACTCACTCGCCTACTCACTCACTCTTTCACTCACTCATTCACTCACTCACTCACTCACTCAAACTCACTTACTCTTTTATAGGGATAAGTTAACTATTTCGTTAATGTTTGTATTATTTAATAGGATTGAGAAAGAGCACATGACAGTCAGAAAGCAATTGAGTATCGAGATAGATGACAAGAAAGCAGTGATTGACAGTTTATCTAAAGAGCTAGAGACACATCAGAAGAACTTCAATGATCTCAAATCTGAACTAAATAAGGTATACATTTTTATTTCATTTTAGACTTACAAAATGCAGCTGGACCAATAGCTTTCACAACTTTAAGGGGATTGATGGCTTTTTTAATTTCTTCTTTAGATAATTTCTGACAGTTGATTTTCATCCTGACATCTGAAATATCAGGAAAAAAAAAGGGAATGGAGGATGTTGAGGGAGGATAGGACTGGTCGATTCAGAATTTGCTAATAGTATTCAACAGTTTGTTCGTTTTGTATTTATGATTACCTTCTCATTGCTGTTTTGTTGTCTTCTTAGTTCATAATATTTTCCTGTTTTTTCCTTGTGATCTTTTGAAGGTCTGCCACGATTAATTTTAATGCTGTTACTTCTGCCTCTTTCTGCCTCTGCAACCAGGCCATCCATCTAAATATTACCTTTTAATTGCTCTTCTTTACTTTCTAACTTCTTTATTAACTTCTGTGTAGTCTTCTCATGCTGTGACCTAAGTATGTCTGATGTGCTGTTGTTTCTCCGTTCTTATATTATATATGTTGTTAATGGTTTCAGGTGCGGTCCATGATTTAAGTTTATGCTCTCTTTTTCCAAGTACCTCTCATCCTCATTATCATCATCATCTTCAATTCTTTCCTTCAATACACAATTTAGTGTTATCTTCTTCTATGATATAACCATTATTTCTGTTTTCTTAATATTCAAGGAAAGTCCTTTCTTAGCATTCTCCATCCCCACAATATTCAGCAGTTGTTGTAAATAAGTTGCGTTTTTTGTTAGCAAACCCTCTGTAGATGATAATTCCAAATGCTTTTAACCTGCTGTCAGCGGGGCTATTTATTAAAGATTTGACTTTTTATTTTTTCTTAGCTTCTTAATTTCTGAGATAACACACATTAAACAAGGTTCGACAATAAAGTAATGAGACTAATTCCATAAAAATTAAAATAATCAACTGTTGAAGATATAACCTGTATTTTATTCAAAGTAAGCCTCTTGTTCATTGATGCAGCAAGTGGAATGATCTAACAAACACTGGAACGACCACTGTAGTTCTTTTATCATTATGGCCTTAAAGTCAATGTACAACCCTTTGGATGCCAACAATATTGTCAAAGAAGCGTCCTTTCAATGGCAACATTAATTTTGGGAATAGAAAATAGTCACAGGGAGACAAATCTGGGAAAAAGGGTGGATGGTTAAGAACATGCATCTGTTTTTGAGCCAAAAATTCCTGTACAGTTACCGCCCTTTGAGCTGGTGCATTGTCATGAAGAAGGAAAAAAATTGCCAGGTGTTGAATACAAACCGACAAGCAACTTTTTTCTTGCCCAAATCTTCCATTAAAATTTTACAAATAGTCGCTGTATTAACACCAAATTCATCTACCATCATCCTCACAGTAGAACAACGATCTTCTTGTATCTGTTCTCAGAATTTTGCAATGAGTTCCTTACTAAAAACAGAAATTGTTCGCCCAGGTCTAGTTGCATTAGTAATCATTTCCACACCTCTTTTAAATTGTGAATACCAGCTGAAATTCTGTGCACGAGATAAACAATTATCCCCATAAACTTATCACATCAATTCAACTGTCGCAATGGCGCTTTTTCTGAGAATTATAAAGAATTTAATGTAAGCTTTTTTGCTCCATGCTGATTACCTAAAAATGCACCGCTGACTAGGTTAACAAAATGGCGGCTTGTTTGTTGTCTGGTTATTGGAGGGCGATGAAAAGTTGCCAGATCATAGATGAAGGTTGCCTCTTTGGATTCCATGCTTTGATTCATAGATGGCATTTTTGTCCTGGCCATTACTAAATTGTCGGACCTTGTATTGTTTTTTACATTTACAAGAAGTTATGCATCTGTTGAGTTTCAGCTTCATTGTACTTATCAGCAGATGGTGTCTGAACAAACATGTTTCACATCTGAAAAACATTTACAAGCTATAGAGATGTCTAATTTGTCTTATTGAAGTAAATATGATCAATTTGTTTTGAATGTTGTGGTCTGCGTTGTGTATTAATTTAAGTTTTTTTTTAAAGCACTCCCATTTATGCCATATTAATTTACTCAACATAAGTGTGAATTTTCCATTTTAATTGCACCAGTTGCATGTTCCCTGTTATTCATTATTCATAACCGGTGTTATAACTTCCTGTCTTGGCATTCATGACAGTGATCAGAATGTTCATTTTGTCATTCTTTTATTATTTTTATGCAAAATATTCCTTCTCAGCCACTTCACCCTTATCATTTATTGGCATGGCAAAGGATAATATTCATGTTTATTTTCCTGTTCTGGGTTTTTTCTTTGGTTCTAAATGTTATTGTGCTAGAACTCACTACTTTCCAGGTTGTTAGATAGCATTAAGGTCACTTCTTCACAAATGCAATGTTTACATAGATCTATTAAGATTGAAGCTGGAGTTATGGAGGTTGTGCTTTATGCAATGCTGTTGGCTAGTTACCAGCAGAGAAACAGTGCACAGAGAAACCATTTCATGTATGGTTCAGTCCTGTTTTGCATAATTCCAAAAGGCTTATTTGATAAAATTTTATTTCTTATACCACCTGTGTTGTCCTTCCTTGCTCATACATAATTATAACAAAGTTCTAGACATTTTCTTAAAGAAAAAGAAATACAGTCACCAATCCAGACCAATCCATGATGTTGATCCGTTGTTTAACTTAAGCCCATTGAAACATTGTGTGCTTGATTACAAATATAAATACATGCCTCTTCTGTTTGCTTACAGACAAAGAAGCGACAACAGCAACTGGAAGAAATTTATAATGGATCTATTAAAGAGCTAGAACTTCTTCCCCAGACCTTCCATTTTGATGATAAAAAGAGCAGTAAATATCATTTCTGAACTTTGGTTTGTATTTTATTGGATTGTGTTATTTGCCTGTCATGTCTGAATGCACAACTTGGAGAGGACCGAAGGCAAAGGATCCCATTTCCATGACATTACAGCATACTGGAAAAATGGTGCACAGTTCATGTGAGGACACTTGATGGGTGATGTGATCATTATCTTGCAGGCATTTTACCTTTCATCAAATTATCTGGCACTAATTTGATTTACTAAGTGTGATGCAGAGGTGCTGAAGTGTCACTTTTGCATTACATGCTGACCAAAATCTGCCTTCACTTTTCAAAGGAGCATCTTGAATCTTGAACAGACACTCAACTGACTAGCAAAGGAAGGATAAATCATAACTTCTTATATTGTGAAACCTGCAAGGGCTACAGACTTTTAACACTGCAAGAGTCACTACACCCAGGTCACATTAATCCCATTAAAAAATGTATCACATGTTTAACTATCAAGTTTCCTCTCCATTTATATCACCTCTTGCACTGTCTTTCAAGTGTGATACCATGTAATGGCCATTGGTCCTTGTGTTGATAAATCATCATTGTATGATATTGTGATAAGCATAGGCATAATTATAATTGATCACCATCTTACATGATCATCAACTCTGAACTCTTGCCGTGTCTATGCACTGTGGTCAGTCCATTCAGATATTTATCTCATTCCCTTCTCATATTAAAAATATTTTATTGGCCTTTGCATAATTTCTCCAATTAAGTTAAGATTCTCAGTTGTCTTGGAAGATTACCTCATTTTTGTGTTTGTGTCCCCAAAAATCAAATTTTTGCAACCATTAGATGTTTCTTGGTTTGTCTACTTACTTTCTGTGTTTCTCATGCAGACAATATGTTTTCTGCATAGTACTTGAAATTTTGGCACTCGAGTTGATTTAATTTATTTGGGAGTATGTTTTTTCTCCATTTAGCAAAGGGCAAAATCTGCCGTGGGGATAAAAGTAAAAGAGAGGACCCTTTTCCACCCCTTTAGGCATACTGAGCATGTAGGGCTAGATTTATATGATGCTTGTTCTAATCTAGGATATATAGCTAATATTTATTGTTTTGTAATATAATATAATATATATCATTTAGCTTGTTTCATTGGAATTTCTGTTATAGTTTTCTCAGGGTGAAATTTCATGTACAGATCACAATATATATCTAATAATAATGTATTCCAGGAATGTCCAGAAAGGAAGATGGCAGTGAAACCAACAAAGGAAAAAAGATCATAAACCCAACTGCAGTGGTAGAAAATTTCAAACATGTGTTTGCCCAGTTGAAAAGAAAATTGGATTCTCAGACAGAAGAGGTAAATGACTGGTTTTAATGTGTGTTATAATATTAGGTAAGCTGGAATATTATGAGCGTTATAATGACCATGCATGGATTTTCATAGAAGTTTTATATTAATGATATAAATTTATATCATGTAATTGTCATTTTCATGTGTCTGGCATACATTCGTATTTCTCCATATCTCATGGTCTTTGGTGTACTGGATCAGTTCTGTTGAAGGAGTCTTTGTGGCAGAGTGGTCAAGCCCTTTGCCCTGTGCTCTTCTTCATCCCGTTAAAAAGCTGTAAACTCTGGTGGAAAGGTTCTTGTTGTTGGTCCACTTCTGGACTTTTGTCTTGTTTCAGAACTTGAGTTTTGCATGCACATCCATTTTACATATATGACATATTTGTGTTTAGACTTTTGGTTCCTCACCTTTCAGGCAGATGCACTCTGACTTTGAAGGATACACCCCTAAATAGTTTACTTTTACAACATGCTTTTTGGGGGCAATGAGCCTATTCTCCCCCCCTCTCCTCCCCCTTTCCCCTGAAATGGGGCCTCAGAACTCACACTGGGAGGAGATCATGTGTTTATTTCAAGTTCCTGAGTGCAGAGATCCTGGGGATCATCACCGGAGCTTTGGAGTTTGTGATTTGTGTAACACTTTCAGTGGTCAGCTAGTTATTTTGAAAAGAGAGGGAGAGGATAAAGCCTAGTGCAGTGAAATCAATTTTCCCAACTTTAGCTGTAACTTTAACTTTTATTCTGTTGATATTTTTCTGTGCTGACATCTTAGATTGTCAGCACCATTTCTCATGGTTTGCCTCCGCATCTCCTGCCACTGATCTTCCAATGCTTCTCTTCTCATGGCATAATTGGAGTACAGTGCTTGTCTCTTACTTTTAGCTGTTTTACTTTCATTCGCCTTAGTTACTCTGGTTGTCTGAGATTACTGTTCATTACTCTAGCTGTCCATGGTTACTGTTTGTTACTCTGGCTGTCCAAAGATTCTGTTTGTTACTCTGGCTGTCCAAAGATTCTGTTTGTTACTCTGGCTATCCATGGTTACTGTTTGTCACTCTGACTGTCCAACATTTCTTATGGTTACTCTGCTGTCCAAGGTTGCTGTTAGTAACTCTAGTTGCCCAGGGTTGCTGTTAGTTAATGTGGCTGTCCAAGGATGCTGTTGTTTACTATGGTTGTCCAGGGTTACTATTTGTTACTCTGGCTTTCCATGGTTGCTGTTTGTTACTATTTCTGTCCAAGGTTGCTGTTTGTTATTCTGACTCTCCACGGTTGCTGTTAGTCACTCTCTCTGTCTAAGAATGCTGCTAGTTACTCTGGCTAACCAAGGTTGCTACTAGTTGCTCTGGCTAACCAATGTTGTTGCTGTTTGTTACAGCATATAATATTTCAGTATTCTTCAATTGGCAAACATTCTTAATTGAAACAACCTAACTGGTTAATAAGGCAAACTGCAAACATATTTTGTCTTTACTGTGAATGTCTATCTTGTTTCTCTGTTCTTCAGAATTCTGATCTTTCACAAGCATTTCCTCATTGTTCTTCCATTATCCTCTTTGTCATCTCTTCTCTCTAGTGATTTCATATTTTGTATGACGCACATCTGTATCTATTAGTTTATTGTGGTAGTTGAACTATAGTGGCCAATGGTTAGAGCACTTGATTACCAAATAGGCTCTAGGTAGGTTCATTTCTAGTTGTGGTAGGTTTCCTTGTATCGTTTATAACTGGAGATATAATATTTTTTCGAACATATATCACCATACACAGTGTATAAAATAATTAATTAATCCTATTTTTAATGATTTTCTTTGATACCTAGAAACTAAAAATTTAAAAACTTGCTGACTTAAATATAGTTGATTTTTTTTTTAGCTATTCAAAACGAAGAAAACTGTAGAAAGACTGACGAAAGATCTAGATGCAAGCAAGGAACTCATCAAAACCAAGGATAAAACCATTGAGGTTATAAAAAAATAAAACCTTATTATTTTATCCTGTGTGTCAATGGGTGTCTTGTCTTGTCTTGTCTTGTCCACAATTGCCTCACAGCGTAGTGGGGAGTCGCAGTTTTCTATCCTGGGCCAGGTGTGTTGCACGTGTTGTTGTTAGTCTGTGTTGCCTCAGGATCTCTGATATATTGTCTATCCATAGTACTCTCATTCTGCCTCTTGCTCTAGGGCAGTAATGTCAATGGGTGTATGTGCATATAATTGTTTGTGTGCGTGTGTATGTTTTAATTTTACATTTTTATTTCTATAGTATATAATGAACAAAAATCTCAGTTTTTCATTGGGCACAAATTGGGCACACAGGCCTGTCTTATATTGGGCTTTTCCAGATACTCGTCTATCACAAATCAATTTTTTTTTAAATCTACAAGCATATTTTATTAATTTAACAAAACACATACATGAGTGTAGAGTAAAAAAAATTCAAAAGCATGAGTGGCAAATACATACATCTTAATATACATACATGAATACATACATGAATACATACATCTTAATATACATACATGAATACATACATGAATACATACATGAATACATACATCTTAATATACATACATGAATACATACATGAATACATACATCTTAATATACATACATGAATACATACATGAATACTTACACAAACACAATTAATATATACATGCACACCTATATACACCTGATTTATATAAACACACTCATACATACATAAACAAGCATTTATATACATATTGCTCCAAGATGGACACATACACATGCAGACCTCTACATACACACATACGCATACACATAGATACTCATACTTACACACATCAATACATACAAAAACACTTATGCATATCCTATGTGCTTACTTATAGCCATACACTCTACATGTTACATAGTATATTTTCGCAGAATCTCATAAGACCGACACATATAGAAAGTCTTTACCTCCTGTTATTTACCAAATTTTGTTTTAGGACTGTGTGGGACAAGGGAATCTTAAGCTGAAAGTTTAGGGCTGTGTGGGACAAGGGAATCTTAAGCTGAAAGTTTAGGGCTGTGTGGGTCAAGGGAATTTTAAGCTGAAGGTTTAGGGCTGTGTGGGACAAGGGAATCTTAAGCTGAAAGTTTAGGACTGTGTGGGGCAAGGGAATCTTAAGCTGAAGGTTTAGGGCTGTGTGGGACAAGGGCATCTTAAGCTGAAGGTTTAGGGCTGTGTGGGACAAGGGAATCTTAAGCTGAAGGTTTAGGACTGTGTGGGACAAGGGAATCTTAAGCTGAAGGTTTATAACTGTGTGGGACAAGGGAATCTTAAGCTGAAAGTTTAGGGCTGTGTGGGACAAGGGAATCTTAAGCTGAAAGTTTAGGACTGTGTGGGACAATGGAATCTTAAGCTGAAGGTTTAGGACTGTGTGGGACAAGGGAATCTTAAGCTGAAGGTTTAGGCCTGTGTGGAACAAGGGAATCTTAAGCTGAAAGTTTAGGACTGTGTGGGACAAGGGAATCTTAAGCTGAAGGTTTAGGACTGTGTGGGACAAGGGAATCTTAAGCTGAAGGTTTAGGCCTGTGTGGGACAAGGAAATCTTAAGCTGAAGGTTTAGGACTGTGTGGGACAAGGGAATCTTAAGCTGTAGGTTTAGGACTGTGGGGGACAAGGGGAATCTTAAGCTGAAGGTTTAGGGCTGTGTGGCTAGAGTATTTGCCATGAACTTATGCAGTTGAGAATATTTATGTGTGCCCCTGACAGAAAATACTGCCACCATTTTACTGAGGATTTGAACCAGGTCACTCACAGGTCACACCCCAGCTGTCTAGCCACTCAGCCAGCTGCTCCTCAAAGAATGATAACACTGTAACATGGGTGCATTATGTAGGAACCATAAAGAAAGTTGGCAGGAGACTGGCTACATTATCACATTGAATACTTTAACTGAAAAATCCACCCAGTGATGGATAAGTTGAAAAGCGGCTGGTTGAGTGGTTACAGCATCAGGCTGTCATGCGTGAGATTTGGGTTTGATCACCGGTAAGGTGATGGAGTTTTTTTTTGTTGGGGGCAGAAATAAACACCCTAACTTTCACAGTCCGTGGAGACAGCACTAGCCCTAAATCCTCAGGCTCAGGGCCTCCCTGTCTACATCGCCCTAAAAAGTGGTAAATACAGACGGTTCTGGCAGATGAATAAGTTAATGAGTCTACAAAGCATGAGTTGGTTGAGGGATTATAATCTACTAGGTGATAAAAACAGAAGAAGAAGAATGGTAGGGAGACATAGAAGGGCAAAAGAAGAAGTGTAAACTGTTTTATTAGCTTCTCTTGGAATGCTATTTCTGTTCTTCTGTTTCTTCTAATAGTGCATGCTGTGTGGTCCGGTCATCCTGTATGTCCAGAAACTTCTGTCTCATGTACAGCAATCTGTTTCTGATACAGGTGTTCCCTCATCCAACGAGATTTAGCATCTTTTCTTGTGTAATCAAGTTGTCACTGGCACCATTAATGTGGGTGCTCTTCATTACCTGAAGAAAAAAAAAGGGGGATAGATAGAGCAGATATCCTGAGTGCCATGTCAACTCTTGATTATTTAACTGATTCATGCACTCCGCGGGTCTTCTTCTGACTTTCTTCCCCTTAAAGTTTCCTATAATCATTGTACCTTCCACTTTAAACTTTTTGGGAGGCCAAATGTGTGCAAAGGATGTGCATTGCTTTTATCTAAAGTAAACAACCATTGACTGCGGCTCTGGTATGTAAATATTTGCTGTGAGGCTGAGCAGCAAAAGCAACTATTTGTCTGTGATTGTCAATGTTATCCCTATATTTTAAATGGCTCGATGTAGCTGAAACATTTTTTTCTCACTTTTATTGCTTTTCCATATGATATAAATTTAAATTTAGTATATTTAGTAACTTCATTACGAGAATTCAAATATCTAGGAAACATATTTACAGAAACTGGCGGACTTGATGGAGAGAAAGAAGCTAGTGTGCAGAAGGCCAAGGCTGTCACCTACCAGTTAGCCACACTGCTGAGACACCAAAATATCTCCATTCCAGCTAAACAACAATGATTAACAACATCTTCATTCACACTTTATGACAGCAGTGCCAAATGTGGACAATGAATAGGCCATTAGAACAGAAAATAACTACCTGTAAAATATACCATCTCTGTACGGTCACTAACAACACAAGAAAAGACAGCGTTATAATTACCAGTATTAGAGAAAAAGTTGGAATAAGACCATGTTTGAATTATATTGACAGAAAAATAATGAAATGGTTTGGCCATCTAGTGAGAATACAGCCAGAACAAACTGCATATGAGACTTTTACAGCAGAACATCTAGGAGGAAGGTGAGAGGAAGACCGAGAAAGATATGCATAAATGATGTAGCTGAAACCTGCAAAAAGATAAACAAATATATCACCCAAGCTATCCGAGAAATACAAGACAAATAAATACAGAAGGACACGTCACTGCTACAACCTGGTATCAGTGAGATGACAAAGAAGAAGAAGTTACTTCTTGTTTTTACTTCTTACACTGAGTGTCAAGTTCCCTTTATCCATTTGAGTGTTAATTATAGAAGATATATATAGTATACTTTCAATAACTCATGAAGTGAGCAATCTATTTATCAACATAAATATTTATGTTATTGTGTACTTTAAATAAAACTACAGGAAACACAGAAGGCCCACACAAAAACAATTAAAGATCTGAACAAAGCAAGATCTAATTGTGTTGAGCTGGAAGCAACCATTGGCAAGCTGAAAACAAATCTTCAGCACAGTGCAGACAACCAAGAAAAGGACAGAATTCGTATTCAGGAGCTAAGTGAAGAGGTAGGTCATCATTATATAGCAGTTTTTTTATTTTACAGAAGTCACAGCATGCTTAAAAAAACTCGGTTCCTTATCAGCTCTTCTGCCTCATGAACGTTTTACAGAAGTCACAGCATGCTTAACAAAACTCGGTTCCTTATCAGCTCTTCTGCCTCATGAACTTTCCTGCACAAGATATCTCTTATCTCCTGTAGCCATCTTCATGCTTGGCAGTTACGTTATGTTATTACAATCGACATCACTGCACATTGGGCATTTCCATGCATGTTCAGTCCTCCGATGCAGCAGCCACTCCAAGGTAAGCATGCCAAGTCCATAATCTATCACCGACAGGATCACATGCTGGAACATTGTGATCAACATTCTTTGTTCCATGTCCATTGCTGCCATAATCTTGAGAGCATTGATTCCTTTTTGGCATTCTACTGCAACTGCATCCACATGATCCCTGAAGGACAGGCTTCTATCAAAAATGATACCCAGGTATCTCAGATTGCTTTCTCTTTTAATGTTACCATAATGAACCGTATGGTTTGGAACGCCAGCTTTTTCAATTCTATTGTCACAAAATAGCTGACTTTTCTGAGTTGATGATAACACCATTTTCGGCACACCAGTCAGTCACTTTGTCCACAGTTGCCTGTAGCTCGTGAGCTATCTGTCGCCTATCTGTCCCCTGCCTATAGGCAAGAACATCGTCGACAAATGTCAATATTCTTCCAACTCGTTGTGATTCAAGTTCTGCAAACTTGCTTGTATACACATTAAAGAGCACTGGTTAAATTGCAGAACCCTGGGTTAGTCCTGAGGCGATATTACATGGCAAAGGGCTACCATACGTGAATGCGGGACAGCTGCTATCCAGTTCACAAGCCAGGGACAAACTCCCTTCTCCATGAGTGCAGATATCAAAATATCATATTTAACTCTATTGTAGGCATCCTCAGGATCAAGTTTTTATTTTCTATGGATTTTATATTAAATAATACAGAGTTTTTTCCATAAAGTCAGATTGAATAGCATAGAGGCTATTTACCTACCTCAGAAATAGCAGGAAATTTTCTGACAAACTCATAAAAACTAACAACAAAATTTGCCAAGTGTGATGTGCAGCAGCTTCCTTGTGATGAGTGGCGTATCAATGATGAAATAGGGCGTTGATAACGTAACCAATATGGTATCCAACAAAGAATATAAGTGCCACCAGCCTAGTGTGGCAGAACAATATAACTTCAATGCTTCCAAACGCAGTTGAACGATGAACGCTCTTAAAAGATTACATTGGTGTATTGACATACACAATGATCAACAGAAGGAGAAAATGTACAATTAATAAAACTTCCAGACTTATACAAACACGCCAACACAAGCAACCGCTTCGTACATCAACTGACTTCACATTACAAACGATGGGTCGCAGTCCGACCTTTGAAATCCGGACAGTCACATTAATCACAGTCCGACCTTGAAAATCCTAACAGTCACATTGATCACAGTCCGACCTTGGAAATCCGGACAGTCACATCGATCTCAGTCTGACCTTGGAAATCCGAACACACATCGATCTCAGTCTGACCTTGGAAACCAGTGCGGTCACATCGATCTCAGTCCGACCTTGAAAATCAGGACGGTCACATCGATCTCAGTCCGACCTTGGAAATCAGGACAGTCGTCTCGATCTTCTCTTCTGCAGTCTGAACAAGGTAGTATAAGTATACCGGCTCCCTGCCGAGTGCAATAGATAATATACCAGCTTTCCGCTGAGGTTTCTAGTGAAGTCCCGGGGTAGAGCGTCCTCAAGGATCCAACTTTATACAATGACTGCTTCCAGTGGCATCCCGGGGTATAATGTCCTCAAAAATCCACACGTCTGTCTCCTTCAGACTGTAAACATCGAATGCTTTTGACAACAATCCCATAACAACATTACATATTGTTTTGACGTCCTATTTGCTCACTCAGTACTGGTGCGTTCTAGTGCATATCCGCACGCGACACTAAGAAATGATGAGATATTATATATATTGCGTCATTTTATAATTATACTTAGACTGATATGTATAATATTGAAATTAAAACCTGCTATCTCATTTGCAATATCTGTTTCCTCCTTAGATCATGAAATTGGTGAAGAGATATTGTGTAGAAGAAGAGGTAAATACATATGACTTTAAAATAAAAGGTATTGTAATAACATTATTTATTTGTGTATGTGTGTGCATATGTAAAATATTATAATGTATATACCTGTAAGAGGTAGCTTCAGAAAGTTCCTGGAATTTTTGTATTGTGTAGAAATAAGACAACACAATTATTTCCATTACATTTCCTTCAAAACAGTTCCCTTCAGCAATTAGACACTTTTACTAACTTTCATACAGTTTTTAGAAACATTCTAGAAACCCATTCTTTGACACCTCTCTCAGTGCTTGTTTGTTTTGGTGACAACGTCTGCTGCATCCTTGAATCGTTGCCTTTTCAGTGCCTGATTTTGGATGTAGGAGCAAGAAAAAACTCAGCCAGTGCTAGGTTGTGAGAGTATGGAGGATGTTCATGGGCAGCCACATTTTGCGTTGCGAGGTACTGCTTCACTAGTTAGGATCGATGGGATGGCCCATTGTCTAAACATTATATAGTGCATACCAGCTCCCTCCCCAAAAACCCTCACTAGGTACTAGAACACCGCTGCAAGCCACTAGTTTTGGTGCAATTAACATTTCTTAGCCAGCATAACTGGCACAAAGAAACCAGACCACAGTTATAACCGGTACAGTAGGTTAAACTGGTCAGTTTTTGCTTTTGTTTTTCAAAAATGGATGGATAGAGGACATTGGCTGTTCAGTGATTCTCTGTTCATCTCTTCTCAGAATGTGTCCAGTATAGTGCCATCTTCTCTGTTCATCTCTTCTCAGAATGTGTCCAGTATAGAGCCATCGTCTCTGTTCATCTCTTCTCAGAATGTGTCCAGTATAGTTCCATCTTCTCTGTTCATCTCTTCTCAGAATGTGTCCAGTATAGTGCCATCTTCTCTGTTCATCTCTTCTCAGAATGTGTCCAGTATAGTGCCATCTTCTCTGTTTATCTCTTCTCAGAATGTGTCCAGTATAGTGCCATCTTCTCTGTTCATCTCTTCTCAGAATGTGTCCAGTATAGTGCCATCTTCTCTGTCTTATAACTGTTTAACCTACTGTGTATGTCATAATATTTTACCGGTTGAGTCAAGAATTGACATCACAGCACTTAGGGCATTCTCCGTGTGTGCTCTGTCCTCATCTTCAGCAGCCAGCGCAAAGTTCCAATACTGATGGTACCGGTCACAATATGGTTATATGTCCGTCTTGCCTTTCTTCTGAGTGCAGTGAGCCGGCCAGACCCTCTGGTTACACCCAGGTGCCTCATTCTCTCCAAGCCACAATAATCTTCTTTCTCTACTGATTCCATTGTTTGTTCCCAAAGAGCCTTGAAAACATCTGCCTTGACTAAAGGTTGGCATATATCTGACCACCCCATCTTGTTGGAAATTTTGGCTGCAAAATTCAGCTGATCAAGAACATCCAAAAACGCTTGGCATGAATTGGTCAATGGCTTATGCTTCACTGGTAGATAAAAAGTAGAAGAAGAAAAGGTGAAGATGCTATAACATTTGCTACTGTTTGATGGAGCTGATTAAATAACATGATAATTGGTACACTTGAATAATACCCAGTCATACATAACGCTTGAGACAGAAATAATTAAAGCACAAGCAATTTTGTTTGGTTAAAGCACAGGCAATTTTGTTTGGTTAAAGCACAGGCATTTTTTTTGGTTATAGCACAGGTAATTTTATTTGGTTAAAGCACAGACAATTTTGTTTGTTAAATAAAGCACAGGCAATTTTGTTTGGTTAAAGCACAGGCAATTTTGTTTGGTTTGTTTGGTTAAATAAAGCACAGACAATTTTGTTTGGTTAATGCACAGGCAATTTGATGCTTTTAATGTTTCTTCCATCAAGGTAAGGATCACATTTCTCCATGAGCTTCACCAGAAGTTACTCTCCTGTCATGTGAACATTCCTAACAAAGACAGGGTAATCAATGACATTTCTTGGGCAGATTTAGCGGAGGTTATCTATGAACAGGTCTCTCTGGTTGTGGAATCACTGCAGGATACACAGCAGAAGGTCAGCTATTTTGATTTATGATATTTTGTTTTTGTTTTTTTGTTTTTTTAAAATTTTGGTTTTCTTGACCTGAATGTGAATGTTCATTAGTTTCTTTTGATCTTAACAACTATATTTTTCTTTCTGAATTCTCAGAATCCGTGAATCCTTCTTTTTTTTGGTTTCATATATGGCGTAATTGTTGCCCAACCTAGCATCCCATTATTGGTAGTACTTCTCTATTATAATAGAAGAAAAACATACCATGCTGTCTTCTTCATGCATTTAAATGATCTTTTCAAGTGACGTTGTTGATTGAAAATGTATTGTTTCCTTTCTTCCTCTTTTGTCTTTCATTTCCTAATAGAGCGTTGACCCTGTCAACTCACACAAAGCCTTATCAGTAGAGAAAGAAGATTATTATGGCCTGGAAAGAATGAGGCATCAGGGTATAACCAAAAGGTCTTGCTGGCTATTTCACTCAGAGGAAAGGCAAGATGGACACATAACCAGATTGTGACCGGTACCATCAGTATTGGAACTCTGTGCTGGCTGCTGAGGATGAGGACAGAGTACACATGGGAATGCCCCAATTGCTGTGATGTCAATTCTTGACTCAACTCAACAAAGCCTTTCGTAGATGTGTTCGTGACCTGTTAAAATTTTGTTCCAAAGTATTCTATGGGATGAGGTTGCCAACCTCATACCAACACTACTTGGTTGTCTCTTATGACATCTTTGGCTGGTTACAATGTTACTATTCTTTTACTACTTTGTTACGGTAAAGCATAAATAATTTAAAAAATTTACATCTATCTCAAAATTCTCTCTATTTCATATATAATACATGGGGCAGTGATATTGCTCACAGGCATGAGGGAAAGTTAAGGCTGTTGTGATGTGTATAAGGAGATTGTTCCATACCTCACCTCAGGCCCCAGTTTGCTTTGTGTTGGTTTTACGGATCCTCATGCAAAACTCCTGCCACATGTCTCCATTGTATGCCAGCATAGTGGCTCATTTGAGCATAAACCAAGCTGGCAGGGGATCTCAGAGTTGGTGGCTGCCAGTGATGCAGTGCCTAGAAATTCTCTGGTTCCCATCAGCCCATGCCCGATGCATGAGTGATAACGTCATAACAAAGCTCATTTAGAACATGAGTAAAGCTCACTAGCTAAATATACTACTAAAGGCAACCCTTGATTAAAACGTGTGTAGAATGGGGGGGGGGGGGGGGGGGGGGGGGGGGGAACTAACAACAAAATAGTACTGAACTCCTGAGACCTAGACCTAGAGATTTGCTCACGGCTTAGATGAGCAATATCTCCTGCAGGTGGTATCTCACAAAACAGTTGTGTCTCCTACATCCTTTGCTGACCCTTAACATCATCATCACTGTATTGAAGTATATCATGACAATATTCCAATGTCAGCAAGTTGAACAGGCTCAAATGTCCATCTGACACATGTCCTGTTTTAAATGTGTGACCATCAAAAGTCCTACTGTTTTGGCAAAAAGGTTCAGATGTCTGTTACCATTGGCCCCACTTGTCAGAGTGTCCTGACAAAATTAGGGGAAGCATGCCTGATGCATGCTTTTTCCATACTGTTGTGCGTTGTGTCTAGATAAGACAACATTAAAGGTGTCTAACAATCTAAAAAAGACTGTACCTATTTGTGTGGTCATCAAAGTCCTGGACCTGTGGGCTGCACCCTGCTTTTCTCCTGAAGGCACAGCCCGTGATCAGCGGGAAGCTCAACATTTGGATGTGAGGCTACCTAGTCATGTTCAGGACATGATGTGGGTGAGCCAAGGACCAGAGCAATTATGGCAGCCTCCTTAGATGGTGGAGAATGCCCATGATCTGTCTGGACCTTCCCTTGAGGGCTGACCAGTCTACACATGGTCGCCCTGAGTGGCTTATCCAAGGGCAACACCTGTAGATAAGGAGAACTCAAAACAAATAAGGTTACGTCATGTTCCACAAACCTATCCAGGAAGTTATTCTGGTTCCGGCAACAAATGCTCCATGATGTCGGATGTGTTTCGGCCGAAAAGCGCAAATATCACTTCTGTGCAGTAAACAGGCACAATGCACTTATGTCACTCGGACGAATGAAAAGAAGAAGAGACCATAATACATTTCCTTACACCCTATTCAGTTATGCAATTAATTTAATCTCCCTAACCAAGACAATTATTGGTAAGTTAGTATTGTAACTCTTTATGCCCAAGACTGTAAAGGTGTTCATTTAACTATATCTAAGACAATTGTTGCTTAACTCTGTTGTCCCGATAATGCTATAGAAAAATCAAAGGGCCATGACCCAGTGGGAATTACCGACAAATCCTTTACCCAAAAAAACCAAGAGTTTAACATAGATCAACAATACATTACAAAAATATTTGTGTCTACATGTTTAATTAAAAAAAAAATGAATTTATCGATGAGCAGGAACAGACTAAAGCATTAAATGGAATAAATTTGCCTGGGATCTTTGAAACCAATATTCATCAGGTGACCCCAAAACCTCTACCACTGAGCTTACAATAAAAATGATGTGGAGTTAGCTTTAAAAAAATCATTTGCTTTACAGAAAATCCACCTGAATGCTGCTTTAAGCTAACATATTCACACTGTGACTTCTTAAACGTTTTTTGCAGGTGTGTATTCAGCCAACAGCATTAACTATGCATTTTGTAAACTTGTCACTGTAGACAAGTTGGAAATGTTACATTTACTGGGAGTTGGACCCAGGCAGAAGTTTTGGTTTTGAGGCTTCTCAGGGTGATAGGATTGATCTCTTCTGTCCTTGATATTAACCATTTTAAATCTGTCTAAACCAAATATTTTTTAGCTTGTAATTAAGTTTTAAACAGAAAAGTCATCGAACAGTTTTTTAATTTGTTGTGAACCAAAATATACAAATTATATGTATTTGTTTTAATTTTTTCCTTCAGCTGCAAGCCAGCTACAATTTGTCACGTGAAAAGCAAAACTCAGTGACTTCTTTGAAACAGAAACATGCAGAACAAATCACTAAACTGACTAATACACTCAAAGAAAAAGAAGCAACTTGGCAACAGCAAAGAAAAGATATGGAGCAACACTACACAAAAATGTTAAGTGATATGCAGCTGCTGTCTAAGGTAAAGTTTATAACTGTGTTATAGAAGATTATGATACATGACACATTTTACATAATATATGTACATCATTAACGCCATTAGAGAGGTAGGACGTTTGGAGGATTTTGGCAGCAACACTTTCACATCTTTGATAAGAGTTTAAAAATTGGGAATAAAGATCGGCACAGCCAGGCACGAGAAGCACACGGGATGCACGAGAGGTCTTGTCAACTAGCCAAGACTGGGACTATCAACCGTGGGATGCTGTTGTATATGTTTAAAGGGGAATCTGAGCACCTATGGCCGTGTCCGGAGTGTCATGGAGATAACCCAAATCATAACTCGTAACTCATTTTTACACATACAGTTCTTTCTTATTTTCTCTAGATCCTATTCTGCCTTTTAGCACCAGGTTTTAAAGAGGCATCTGGTGCGTTAATGTGTGCTACACAGATTATGGTGTTCATGGTCTCAGAAATTCCATCCAGTCATCACTTGTTTGGGCTATCTCTAGCTCTGCTTCCAGTTTGTCTTAGTGACAGTGCTCTCTGTGGCACACTATGTTGCGATGGTCTTGATGGTATATGTAAACTTCTATTGTAAGTAGGATCCTTCTTCTACTTTTCATCTCCCAAATTGATTATAGCCAAGAGTCTGCTCAGACCAGTTATTTTCTTAACTTTACCATTCTAGAGGAAGAAAAGGAAGACAAGTGAGCAACAACAAAAACAGATAGTGATATCAAGAGATGGACAAATATCAACCTGAGTGAGAGTACGACCTGGGTGTGGTGGAGATCCATTGCAGCCAGTCTATATTCTGGAGAGGGCTCCTGACTGATCAATATAAGTATTCCCCGTGTGGCTTCTGGAGACCCAATGTGGAGGAAGAGAAGAATAAACCTATTTCCACCTCCAGCAAGCATGTCCTAAAAGTTGACTAACTAGGGGTGTTTCCTTCAAAGTTGAAGTGCAGTCTGCCTGAGAGGGAAGAACCAATCAGTCTATATACAAATAAGTCAGATCTGTAAATAAATGTACATGCAAAACTCATGTTTTGGAAGAAGACTAGAAGTCCAGAAGTGGGCAAACAGGCAGAACTTGTTGCTGGAGTTAACAGCCAGTGAATGCAAAGAAGAAGGATGTATGTATGATAATTCTTCTGTCTTTCATTAACCAATAGATTATAACCACCGCTTAAAAAATATTCATATCAAACCCATAGTAGACAAGCGCGTGATTGGACGAGGCAGCCAGTCTCATAATAACCCTCATTAGTCAATTGTTACAACATGCACGATTAGATACCATGTAAAGGTGGTGTCCTGTAAGTTTCTATTCAGAGAAAACAGAAACATTGTTTATGAAAACTATATGTATTTTTATAATATGGTCTACATGACTACCATTGTTTATGAAAACCATTTGTATTTATATAATATGGTCTACATGACTACCATTGTTTATGAAAACCATTTGTATTTATATAATATGGTCTACATGACTACTGTTGTTTTGAAAACACATGTTTGATGCATGACCTCCACTGCTGAAGAACGTATATAAGCACAGCTGGAGGTATACTTGTAATAGCATTGGAAATATGATTATTTTTCTAATTGTAAAAACTTATGGAGCACCCCTCTTTGTCTTCTTTATGAGCCCCAGCAATATGTGACTACCAACCCAACTTAGTCACCTCTTATGACATGTATGGTAATTTACAGTCAGAGTCCCCCCCCCCCCCTCTCCGCGCCCCCCCCCCCCAAAAAAAAAAAAAATAAGTGTCAAGACTTGCAACAAAGTTTCTGTTAAGTAAAACAAAAACAAAGGCCCATACTGTGTGTACTGTCAGGAAAATGAAGCTGTGGTTACAATGTTCATCATCATCATATAGCAGGTCCTTTGCAGAACGTCGCTCTCATCACAGTCTGCCTGAAAGAAACTGGGTCTCTCGCCAGCTCTCCTGCCTCAAGCACTTTCATACTCAAGGAGTCACTTATATCCTGTGCCCATCTTCGTGTTGGTCGGCCCCTGCCCCTCCTTCCTGGTACCATGCCTTCTGCTACTATTTCTTCCAATATGTTGTGGCGCTTGATATGACCAAAATATTTCAGTTTCCGAGACAGGATGCTTTTTATTAGCCAATCTTCCTTGATGTTCATATCTTTCAGGATGTCAGTATTTCTCCTCTTCTTTGTCCAAGATATTTTGAGAATCTTTCTATAGCATTTCAGCTCAAAAGCCCATATTCTCTTTCTTAAGGACTGGGATATAGTCCACGACTCACTTTCGTTATGTTGTTACAGGGAAGATGCATGCTCTCAAAATTCTAATTTTGATCTCCTTGCTGGTGTTTAATCATAAACTTTTAATGCTGTTTAATCTTTGCATTGCTATGGCCATCCTCCTTTTAATTTCTGTCAAACAGTCTCCATTGCTATTTATTATAGAGCCTAGATATTCAAAGTTTGTGACATTTTCATTTCTTCATCATTTATTGTTATTTTTGGGTGACAACCAGTTTTATCTGTGGACATTATTTTATTGTCTTTAAATTCGAGAACAGATTTTGATCTTCACTGTGCTTTTGGACAGACAATATTACATTTTCTATTCCCTTTACGCTGTTCGAAAGGAAGACTGTCATCTGCGTAGTGAAAATCCGGAATATGGTTGACACCAATTTTGAGCGGATCATAACTGTCACAAATCTGGTCGTTTTTTACATTTTTTTTTATATTTTCTGTGTATATATTGAATAGGTATAGTGAGAGAATGCACCCGGTTACAATGTTACCTTAACAAAATAAAAAAAACAATTTTTTCTTTGGGCCCTGGTAAGATGTGTATTATATATATAGGATAAAGAGGGTTTTTACTGACCAGGATCTCTTTTAACTTCCACATAAAATCCTGGGCAGACAATAGCCTACAATAGTTGAATCCAGGTGGGGACTTCAAACCTTACACACTGCAGGACTGCAAGAGAGTCATGGCATTTCTCTACAATTATTTGTGACATACATCTTTGTGTTGTTGCGTGAAGCAAAGAATAGAAACATACCATGCTACTGTGGGTTCTCCTTAGTGTTTAAAGAAAGTGCATGCTTGATATGCTGGTCAAACCCCCCCCCACCCCCTCCGCCCCCCCCCCCCAAAAAAAAAAGGCTAGGGTGTCAGTTGTATGTATGTGTGTGAGTGTGCACGTGCATGCATATGTGAGTGTGTGTTACATCAACTCAGACTGTTGTATTAACACAATAACTCCAATATGTTCGTTGTCAGCAAAAATGATTTTATTGAGAGGTTTCTACTGACCTTGATTGCTGTAATGAACAGATATCTTTATGTTATGTTATCACAATCAGCATCTTTGCAAATTGGTCATCCATATGTGTGCTCAGTCCTCTGATGCAGCAGCCACTCCAGTGGTTCCTCTACTTACTGTTCCCATGAGGAGTTGGTTCTAGTATCTCTTGTCTTTACCCTGAAAACAACATAGATGTGCTTCACCAATCTTAACTCCTTGGTCACGCAGTAATGTTAGCATAAGAAAAACACCATTATTAAGAAAACGTATCTTTCCTCCAAGATACTACACTTGCAATGTCATAGGAGCTGACTAAAGAAGGTTGTTGTGAATTTTATTCCTTAGAATTTTAGATGTAAAATCTAATCAGTATGAATAAGTCTACAAAGAGCTTTGGTGTGAAAGGTACCACAGTAGGTAGCACACTTGCCTGGTGGTAATGGGTTTAATTTTCCTTCGCAATACATATTTCCAGGTTTAATTCTCAGCAGTGACAGGATTCTTTTTGTGTGTGACCAGTACAGCTGTGGGGATGATGGTGGTTTAAAAAATGGACACTAAATAACTTTCACAATATTCTCAATATTGTTTTGGAAGGAATGGCAGTTGGTAAAATACTGGCCACCTCAACTTTTCCTTTAAAAATGACTTTCAAAGGTGACATTACTTCGTAGCATGATACCAAAGTTTCTTATTACCTATAACTCAGATTAAAGGTTATGTTTCTAATTTTTTTTTTAAACAGAAAACTCAGGCCATAGCTGATGAAACTTGGGAGAAACTTCGGGCAACAGGAAATTTACAGCTGGGTTTAGAGACTGAGGTGGTAGAGCTGAGACATAGCTTGGCAGAAAGTCAGGTTTGTGCAGTCACAGATTAAAGGTTAAAGTCGAGAGGATTGGCTTCATTGGACCAGGTTTTATCCCACATGACCCGGCCTCTCTCTGTAGAACAACTAGCTGCCTGCCGAGAGTGGCACACAGAGCACGAACTCCATAGCTCTGGTGATGATCCCCAGGAATCGTGTGAAAATTGCACTTGTGAACTGAACGGCGCAACCATAAAGCGAACACATGTCCTTTAGAGCTTGAGTCAAGAGGTTTGACCACTTCTCCACAGCGACTCCCAGTCAAAGTTTGATAATATAACTAAGTAATCAGTTGTTTAATCTCACATGATGTGTCTATCATTTACCTTTCCTTGGGAGTAAACAAGGCAGGCAGAGAAGAGCTCATGCTGCATGGACAACTCATGGTCTCTACATTACTGCCACTGATTTGTACTATGGATTTGATTTGATTTGATTCAAGAACCAACAACACAGCACTCGGGGCATTCCCATGAGCGCTCCGTCCCCATCTTTAGCAGCCAGTGAAGAGTTCCGATACTAATGGTGCCAGTAGCATTCTGATTAAACGTTTGTCCTGCCTTTCCTCTGCACCTCGAGCATCTGTCAGAACCTCTCGTCACTCCCCCCCCCTCCCTTGCATCAATCTCACCAGACTGTGGTGATCCATCTGCTCCTCTGAACTGTACACGCTCTCCCACAAGGCACTAATCACGTCTGCCTTATCATGTAGCAGTATTCCACCAAGTTGTGCAGAGCCAGCCAGTCTGTCCGCCTGTTCATTTCCCAACACACCGGCGTACCCCGTTGAAAAAACCCCAGACAATACTCCTCACCCGTGTCCTCTGCAGCGAAGCATGCCACTCTGCACGAAGCATGCTTGTCCTGATCTCCCTCAGCATGCTTTCTGAGTCAGTTACAATCATGATGTGTGTGTGTGTGTGTCATGTTCTCTAGTCAGCGGAAAGCTGCAATGACCCCCTCCACCTCCATTCTTAAGCTGGATGTTGTGGTTTCATATGCTAGGCTCTCCTGCACCAAACGTCGTCGACCATTCCATGGAAAAAGGAACTTTATCCCTGGCTCTTATTTCCTTTTGTAGTGGAGTGATTTTGAAAATGGTCTTGAGGAGAAAGTAAAAGCCATTGGGTTGTGTATAAGGGAATACCCTATACCTCACCGCTGGCACCAGCGTACTCTATGCTGGTTTTATGGAACCTCATGCAGGACTTCTTCCTCAAGTCCACATCATAAGCCATACTAATGTCTTATATCAGCCTAAACCAAGCAGGCAGGGGATCTCAGAGTTGGTGCTCCCCAGAGATGCAGTGTCCAGACAACCTTGAGCATTCATCAGCTCACCCCAACTGCATGGGTGATAACATATTGAGAACTCACTGTAAAGTTAATGAAGTCCATGGAGCGGGCCTCCTACTAAATGTCAAACAGTGAATGGTTCACGGGTGTCTTTTGATTTAGAGTCATACTAACTGGCAACATCATACTTGATGATTCAAAAGGACAGTTTAGCCACAGTCATCCTAGAGGTAGGATCAGTGTTTCCTTTGAAGTTGGAGTTCATCTTCCTGCATAGACAAAGAAACAACAGAATGCGTAGTCTTTTGATTTCCCTGCCTCCATATATCACAGTGTAGTATTATTGTTTGGAAAGATTGGAAAGTGCCATGGTTTATGTGTGTTTTTTGGGGGCAGGGTGGAGTGGATTACCTGCCAATATATTTGTTGATGAAGATTTATGTTAAAACATTATGGAAAACGTGGGGGGGGGGGGGGGGGGGAATTTTTTTGTCATCATATTTGTTGGTAAAGATTTTAGGTCAAAACATGGGGGGGGGGGGGGGGTGGATTTCTTGTCATTATATTTGTTGATAAAGATTTAGGTTAAATTGGGGAGGGGGAGTGTGGATCTTAATCCTGTTTTTGTAACAAGATACTTTTGTACCCTAATAGCTTGTCAATCTCTTGCCCTGGATGACAAGGGTGCTAGCTTGGTCTGACCCTTCTCAAGACCTGTCGGACTTGGTTAAACCTGCCAGAGGCACAATCATAACTCTGAGAATCATTAAAGCAAACAAGCCATCCCACTATTTTAAGGCCTGAACCACCATTGGGTGGGAAAATACTATTTATTGTATATAGGAAATTGCATATGATATGTTGACTTTTTTGTGAAGGACAGTCAAATGTTATGAAGCTGTTCTATTATTATTTTATTACAAAATAACCTGTAATTTTTGTTGTGAAACCTCAGGTGCATGTATCATCCCTTCTGTCTGCTTGTGCACTTCTGAGTGGGGCTGTGTATCCCCTGTATACCCGGGTACTCATGCTGGCTTCAGAGAGACACATTCTTGAGGACATTTACACAACATGGGAAAGCTGCAGAGAGAGAGCCCTTTACCTCAGCAGTGTCCTTAGATCAGGAAAAGACAGCGATCAGGACAGGCCGGAAAGAGATTCAAAGTTACATCGCAAAATAAGGCCAGTACTTAGGTTCAGAGTTGGTGTAATTGTCGTGTTGGCTGCCAACCGCCTGCTGAACCTGGCTCACACATCAGCCAGATGCTTCTTGTCTAGTACATCATCCTCTGCAAGCATCAGCTTAAGTGTGAATGTTGGAGGCTTTTATCCGGGAGCAAGAACATTTACAGGTATGTTGTATAGAATGTCATCATGTCTTTATCTGCCTTTTATTTCCCAATGGTAGCTGAGCCCAAGCCCAACCCTATCCTACCCTTAGCTGCTTCTTACACTGAGCATGGCATAGTGCAGTACAGTGGGTACTTCAGAATTCAGGTACCTCGGAATTCAGACACCTCAAAACTCATCTTGGAATCTGAATGTAATTTTCAAGTAAATTTTGTCTCAGAACTTGTCTCAGACCTTAAATGCTGCCTTGGAAACTGAATGCCTGGAACATGCCAATCACCTCACTGACAATGCCAAATCTTCAGCATCTTTACCAGCAGCAAAAGAAAGAAATTGCAGAATAAATTTCTTCTGGTGAGGAAGAGGGGGAAGCTGGAAGGATTAGCACTGCTGAAATCCAAGATCTTTTGACCGTGTGGTCAAAAACATAAGAAGTTGAAGAGAAGTGGCACGCTAAAAAAGCCCTATTTAACAAGGTATGTTAACTTATTCAGTGATAACATTATTTCATGGTTTTGATACAGTAAATACAGTGGTTTGCTTTCCTGGCACGGCACATATTGATGATGTAAACAGGTTATCACAAGCATCCGAAAGAATCAATTGTCGCTTTTTGGCATAATAAAAATAAAAAATAAAATAAAGTTAGCTGCTTGGCTTTTCAAGAATGATGCTGAACCAACCCAGCATTGTTTGGCCATTTGTTATTTCACTAGGCAATTTTTTTTAAACTCTTATTAGTTTGCCATTGCTTCCTGAATAGTCAGCTGTTGAAACCAATAAAAAAGTTGGTTTCTTGGTCACATTAGAAATAAAATACTGAATTTGTTGGTCGTGACAACTAGATTTCTGCAAAGATAAATAGAGGAAGATAAGAGATTCTTGACATCCTTTTGTCACGGCATGGAATGTTGTCGTGCCTTTTGAGACCACAGGATGTAAAGAAACATGATTGCTTTCACCAGTAGACAAGACACTTGATGATGATACAGAGGCACTGATATGCTTGGGTTGAGCTTAATACCCATAAGTCCCCTTTTCAAATAATAATGCAACCCTAACAGAAATCATGAGTGTGAGCAGATAACACAACAGAACTATTGACATCAAGATTAAAGACTAATGTGTGAAACAAGTGCACAAATTTAAATATTAAGGGTGCATCTTTACATATAATGGTGAGACTAGACAGAGTGATAGAAACTAGAATCCAAGAAGCCAGTAGCGTTATGCATAAAACTACCCTATTTAAAAAAAAAAAAAAAGTATACATGCAATATATATTCCAAAATTAATGTTACCTATTTATTCACCTGTTCCCCACATCCTTTTGTATCCCTAACCTCCCCCCCCCCCCCCCCCCACCCCCTTCCATGTGACGTATCATCATCTGATTTATTTAAAGTGAGCAGTTGGTTTAAAATAAGGGTACTAATAACGGAATTCACCCCATCTTGCTGGTCGCAAGATTTCAGGGCCGTTCCCATGAACTGTCCTATACTCTAGGGGTGTTAAGACATGCCTTCCTTCGTCATGGCAAAAACTGGCTCTAATTCATTCGACACGGTTAGCACACTGTCGCCCAGACAAAACTGCGCAGCTTTCTTGTTTCTTGTCACAAATGTTTTTTGTTTTTTTTCTGTGACCGACTGTCGTTTCTCGAATGTGTTGTTGGTGTGAGTAGCTCAGGTACCTCAGGTGCCTGTGTACAAAGGGGAAAACGTTGAAGGAGCGATGGTTCATGAGTATCAAATCATTTATGTTTTTGTATTGCTTCGCACATTGGCAGTGACTGTCATTGGTGGTGGATGTGCTTAAAATATTCAAAACAACCAACACTTGACACCCCTAAAATATAGGACAGCCCTTAGGAAAGAATACAAAATCGTGGTGGCGAGCAAGATTCGTGACTTGTACCAAAATAAATAATATAACATTTTATTTACACTTGAATCAAAAGGTGCTGGTGGTGCAGTGGATCAGTGCGACAGTTTCAGTTCATCAGCAGATGCCCAGAAAAACCTGAGATCATGGTTGGAAAGTCCAGCACTTCTGCAGGCTGTGGTTAAAAGTATGGTTGAGCTGCAGGAGTGTCTGCATGAGGAGAAAGATTCCTGTAAGGAAAATGTGTAATCAGTCTTTAAATTATTTTAAAATTATATAATCTTATTTCTGGTAACAAAATTGTGTAATAAAAATACAACTAACAATAAATGTGGGTATAAGTTGTGGTGTCCTGTAGAGAACAAGCAACTTACGTTATATGTTGTTATCAGTTTATATTTAATTTATCAGCTTTATAACTTAATGGAATACTGAATTGTGCTTCCATGAGTCGTGGACTACTTCGTAGTCATTAAGGAAAAAAATAGTGGCTTTTGAACTTAAAATGCTATTGAAATATTCTCAGAAGATCTGAGCAACAAAGAAGATTGGCTATTAAATGCACCTTGTCTCGGAAACTAAAATATTTTGGTCATGTCAAATGCCATGGGGGATTGTAAAGAACATAGCAGAAGACATGTTGCCAGGAAGGAGTGGCAGGGCTGACCAGTATGAAAATGGCCCAGGATATAAAAGATACCTTGAGTAGAAAATGCATGAGGCAGGAGGTCTGGCTAGAGGGCCGAGATTCTTTCATGCAGGCTGTGATGAGAGCGACATTCCTCAAAGGACTTCCTATATGATATTGATGAATATCGATTATATTTTTTCTTTGTTTTAATTCTTCTGACATTTTTTAAATTATTGCATGGCTGCTTGCAGTGTTACTTTATTTTTCCCTTGTGGGTCACACACAAGCAGAATAAGATTTTTTTTTGGTAGCTGAAATTGTGAGATAATTTAGACGATGATACAAGTGAAAAGATAACATCAGGAGATAAATGGACAGTAGTCTTACAGAGTGTACTATCAGTAAAAGGCAGAGTTTTGTAGATCCATTATCATCAGCCTTCACTGTAGAAACATCACCTGAGTGATTGATAGCAGGTAATTGATAAATAGGGCTTACTATAATAATGTTTTTCAATTGTGTACATGAAAAAGCTTTCAGGTTACATGTTAAATATTATTAGTTCATTAAATCCTGTAGTTTTTAATTGTTGAGAACCAGTGTCATGCAGGAAACAACCTAGTCACTCATCCGCCTACTGTTTCATTTGTCTTTTAAATACAGGAAATGACATTTGACCAGAGTACAGAAGGCAAATGCATTCACCTACCTGCTAGCTCCACTGCCTTAGACACACAAATGTCTCCCTTTCAGCAAAATAGCAAATTATTAATAGTGTCTTTATCCCTACTTAATGTTATCAGTGCCAAACATGGACAGTGAATAGGGCACTGGAACAGAAAATAACTACATGTGAAATGTGCTGTTTCAGCAAAGTCACTCTAACCGCACTAGATGAAACAGGGTTACGAATATTAACATTAGAGAGCAAGTTGGAATAAGACCATGTCTGGATTATATTGACAGACAAAGAATGAAATGGTTCAGTCGTCTAGTGAGAATGCAGCCAGACCAGACTGAGACTTTTTACAGTAGAACATCTGGGAGGAAGGCGAGAGGAAGACCAAGAAAAATATGGATAAATGGTGTCGCTGAAACCTGCAAAAAGTTGAACAAACCCAATCTCTCAAGCCACCGGAGAAGCACAAGAAAAATACAGAAAATCACGACACTGGGTTACAACCTAGTATCAGTGAGACAACAAAAGAAGAAGAACAAGCTTTTATCTTTTTTATCCTTTTTTTTTTTAGTGAACCAAAGAAATACAATGGTAGTGTCTGCTGCAAGGTCCTCCTTTAACAGATTCCTTGACCACCTGTCTCAGTTCTTCCCATTTCCTGCACACTCGCCACAGTACTCATTCAGGGATGGGTCTTCACTAGTAAACAAGCTAGAGAAACGCTTGTCTCAAACTCTCAGCAAAACTAATGTGCAGCTCAAGGGAAATCTCGTATCATCCCAGGTAATGTGGCTGTTGTAACTGTTTGTTTGGTCTGGGAAGTAGACATCAGCAGTGAAGACTAATTTTGGAAACAAAAACAAATTCAGAGGCTTTGAAAAGATTTGGAACGAAAAAAGAATTGCTGAAAAAAAAACATTTTTAAACACCATACTGGAGGGAAAGTAAAGGCAGTAGATCAAGAGGTAGACAGCAATACAAAATCAGGAGATGGATGGACAGCAGAAACAGATGTTTTGCCAGGTGTGTTTAGATATGCTTTTATATTGAAACCTTTGTTTATTTCTTCTTTTTCTGCCTCCTGTGCCTTTTATCTCTCAGTGGAGCATAGAACCTCAACTAACCCATGCCAGGTCTTTCTATCCTTCACTACTGCATGCAGCTCACCCCTTGTCCTCCCCGTCTTTTTAGCTCCACTTTCTTTTTGATTGGGATCGTTCCGTCTTTCCAGAGGATAGTGTTATATTGCGCTATGAGGAGGCATGGGCTCACAGCCCATGGTGATGGTGAGTGTGACTAGCAAACCCCGCCTACGTTAAGAAACGTCTTCCACAGTTATAGCATGGGATTTCAGGACCGTTGTTGTCAACATTTGTGTTTAGTCTGTTTCTTCCCAGACGCTTAACTCAACTTCACTCCTTAGCACCCTTCTGAACGTATTTTTGTGGGTCTGTCTTTATTTCTATGCCCCTGTGGGTTCCACTACAAAGACTTTCTCGTTGAATTATTCTAATGTTTTCTCAACATCCTTCCTTTATACATATATGTTATTTCATATTAAATCAGTAAAGGACCCTTTCATGTATTCAACCCATTGGGCATATGATGCTTGAGCTATATTTTTTTAAACATAAATCAATTGATGAGCAATGTGGTCAACATCATGTCAGCCATAATTTATTTTCTAGGTCATTTCCTAGTACACATTTTAGGCTAGATTGATTTTATATTTAGATTTTGGGTTAAATATTATCCGCAATCAGACAGTATGTCAAGATTTTGATACCCAGGCCTTACAGACCTGAGTGGATCAGCCACAGTTATGATGGTTTGGACATGTGTGCAGAATGGGAGAATATCAGCCAGGCATGGGAGGCTGAAAACCAAGAAACCAGCCCTCCAGGGGCACCCCAGGGTCTGCTGGGAAGACAACATCCGACAGTCCCTAACTGACAGAGGTCTTGAATGGAACAAAGCCAGAATGAAAACTTATAGAAAAGTCTGGCGATCTCTCTGACAAACATCTACACCCCAAGGTAGAAGAGGAGCGACTAAGTAAGTAAGTATAAATATTATAATAGTGTAGGTTTGTATCATAGATAACAGTAATGCTACTACTGATACTGCAGTACTGTTACAAATGCTGTGAATTTTATATATGCTAGTTTAATATTGAATGCAAAAGTTGCTTATATACATTAATATTTTCACTGTGTTTAGGACCTTATGTGTAACTTGCAAAATCACATCCTGGACTTGACTCAGAGACTTCATACAGCAGAGAAGGAACGGAGGCACCTTCTAACAGAACTCAACATGTTGAAAGAGCAGATAGGAGAAACCAGTTTATCTCCTGGAGACACTGAGAGCATGTCCAGAAAGGTAGTGTTTAAAGAAAGCCTCATTTTGTAAACTGATGGGTTTTTTTTCTGTTGGGAACAAAAATTAACGTCCTAACCTGCGCAGTTTGTAGTGACTGCACTAGTCAGGTGTCCTAAACCATCAGGCTCAAGACCCCTATGTTTTACACTGCCCTTCTTCTTCATCTCTACATGTGGTAATTGCAACAGACTCTGAAGGCATGTTGAGAAAGGGGAAGAGAGGGATGCTTCAAGCAGTGGCAAGCTTCACTGGGAAGGTCATGGGTGGTGAGCATACTTTAGATCTTTTCTCCAGGCTATGCCGGCTTAGTGGGTAATGAACAGGCAGACAGATTGGCAGGATCTGCACCACTAGGTGGTGAATTGATACATGACAAGGCAGATGTGGTCCAAGCCCTTTGGGAACAAGCAACAGAATCGTAGAGAAACAAGATTATTATGGCCTGGAGAAAATGAGGCACCTGGGTGACACCAGAGGGTCTGGCTGGCTCACTACACTCAGAGGAAAGGCAAGATGGACAAATAACCAGATTGTGACCGGCACCCTCAGTTTTGGAACTCTGCGCTGGCTGCTGAAAATGAGGACGGAGCGTGCATGGGAATGCCCCGAGTGCTGTGATGTCAATTCTTGACTCAACTCAACTCTTCTTCATCTCTAGTCCTGTTCTGCTTTCAGGGTCAGATTTTGAAGAGCTATCGGGTGCAAGCCTTGGTATGTGCAACACTGATGTTGGCATCTATGGCCTCTGATATTCCAGCTATCCATAACTTACATGGCCAACCTCCAGCTCTGCTTTCCATTATGTCAAAGTGGTAGTCTTGACACATGTCTGAATAATTAAATCTGTTGTCTCTTGTTGTAGTTTTGTACCTCTCCATCCCAGCTTGTTCCAGAACCCGAGTGTTGTTTGCACATTCGTTTCACCAGTCTGGTTTATTTGTATGCAGACTTTTGGCTCCTTGCCTCTCAGGCAGATGTACTCTGACTTTGAAGGGCGCCCCTTAAATAGTCGACTCTTACATGATGCTTGTTGGGGAGGCAGTGGGTCTATTCTTGTTTTCCCCATAATGGGGTCCTGGAACCCACAAGGAGAATGCATATTTAAATACTTACATTGACTTAAAAAGAGGAAAATCAGTGTTGTGAAGATATCTCAAATATTCCAGATCTTAGATGGAGCTATTGCATTCCTCTTACATGCTTGTCTTCTGCTTTTTGCATCAATACATTTTTTATATGTTTGCCTCTTTGCATCTCTATAGGGCCAGCCTACCCAAATTAGCTTAACTGAACGTCATTTGGTAGTTTAGGATTCTTCAACAGTATAGAATTTTTCAAAAATTCTCCAACCCTGGTTTTCATAATATTTGTTTGTTTTCTTTTCTTGTCTAATGTCTTCCCATTGCTCCTTTTCCTTAATTGTGCAAGTATTGCTTAATTTGCAAGTATATTTTTGCTGACACGCGGCAAGCAAAACTTGACTATCCATGTATAATTTGCCTAATTAATTCATGACTATTATTTATTTTCTTTTAAGGAACTACCTCATTCATATTTATGTCTGTTCTTGGTGTCTTTATAATTTGCCTTAGAAGTCACATTTCAACTTATAATACATACTGTGAATTCATTGATTTACATTTTTCAATCAGAGCTATGCTTGTTTTTTAATCTGTAGCTCATCAAATCTGAATATATCTTTTCTTGTATTATATTAAAAATATTGAAGTGTAACTGACTATTTGGAATTTTTTTCCAAGTTCATGACACATAGTGCTTAAGGTAGTTAATAAGTTAGCTTGTAACCACAATAATATTCATTATGTTAATTATAAATAAGTTTGTTTACTTCTGAAACTTGTTATAGTTAATTATTATTATTTATATCCATAGCAAACAAAATATGTTCCAATGTCAAAATTTGAGCAAGTATGTTTGGAACTGAGTAATTCTCTGAGCCGAGAGCAGAAAGCTCAAGAGTTGCTGCAAGAACAGAACAGCCAGTTGTTAGAATTAACCTCGAGGCTGGATCATTGTGCATCCGATGGCATGCACAAGCAGACAAACCTGGTTCAGATACAAGAGGTAAATTATGTGTTCTTTGTGTCTGTAGATTTAAGTTGGCATCTGTGGCTGAGGGTTTACAAACAAGGTTCATAACTTTAAAATACTTGGTTTGATTAAGCTGCAAGAGATTTGGCAGCTAACCACTTTCTGTTGATTTTATTAGTATTATGGGACCTCAGCCATTCAGAAGGTAGTGGCAAACTACTGAATGTTTACTGACTGCAGCACACCAGGCATACCCATAGATGCTCCGTCTCCCACAACAAATGTTTTAAAGTTTAGATGCTAACTGTTTCCATAGCACACTAATTATATACGTGTCGTTCTCTTTCTTTCCATCCTTGCTGGATCCACACTTAATAATTGTATTAAATATTATTTCCCATGCCGATCCTTAACTACACTCTTAGTTCAGAGTCCTATAGAGGCCATCCTACAAGCATCTCTGTCTTAGGCTTTTAGTCCAATGCTCTGTGCTTTTCAAGCTTTCTATAGATTATGAGTATATTGGCCTACAAAGATTCTGTTTTCCTAGCATTGTTGAGTTCTTGTATCTCTTTGTATTGTCAACTCTTTAGTCAGTGCCCTCAGGGTTGTTGTGTTTTCTTAGTAGAACTCTTTACTACAATGACTACTGTCACAGTATGCTTTGAATGGTATGGCATCATAAGGCATTCTCTTTAAGTTGATCACTTATTAGCTGTCTTTGTGTAATTTAGAATTAGTTCTATGCTGACTTTTTATCTTACAACCTAATTCCTTATTTTTCTCTCCTGGTCACTCCTGCAGCTCTTCTCAGACATCTCATTTCCATAGTTACCAATTTTCTGTTGTGGTTTATTATTTTAAAAAAATAATAAATTACTGTTTAATTAATTGCAATGACTATATTTTTATTTAAAAACTTTGTTATGGGCCCCTGGATGTTGTGATAAGACCATATAATGTTGCTCACTTCACATTTCATTTATTTTGCAGCACTTGACAGAAACTCAGAAAGAGTTGAAGCATAAAGAACAGTTTATAAGACAATATAACCAACAACTCGGGCAGGTCCAGCATGAAAGGGATTCTCTTCATAGTAACCTAGAAGATGCAGAAAATACTTTGAGGATTATCCAAAGGTAGTGTTATATTTGCAACGAGTTTCTCTGTTGTATTTGAATATCCTCTTTTTCTGGTGCTTCAGCTTTCCAGAAGCTTGTTATTTTCTATCTCTGTGTGTTTGTACTTTATAAAAACAGTCTTTGAGCCTGAATGCGGTAGATCAGTGTTTCTCTTATGGTGGACCAGGAGATTTGCAGAACAAATTATATGGAGCTTGATATAATTTACACACAATCACACCCCCACGTCCAACATTAAAATGAAACCCTTTTTTTTTTTTGTTATTTTAATATTTATACATGTGGCAGAATGAGTTGAATATTGACTGGAATAAAAAAGGTTTAACATAAAAGAAGAATGGGACTGAAGGAATTTAGAAATGTATACAATTTAAAATGAAACTCATAAATAAATAGTGATCTGCAAGGTACTGAAATTGTAAAGTTAGTGTATTTTGTTGTCATTGCATATTTCTTGATATGACAAGTGCATTGCTTTTCTAATTTTGGCTCAGCAAGTATACTTTGAAACTACAGTTTAAAACATTTAGCTCCATGCAAACTGTACATGTTTTACTTACTTTTCTCATTGAATCTCTACCAGCGCACAATTTAATTTCATACCTGTTACATTTGGCCACAGCGAACTAAAAAAATCTGGCTTTTCCAGTGGTCATTTCCATTATGAATGTAATCTCGCGAAAAAACAAATATTTTTCTTTTTTTTTCTCTCTTCTTCTGCTTTATTGTTAAAAAGGAATGTGGCCAGACAAGAGCAAAATGCAGGAAGCCAAAAAAAAGAAGAAAAAACCAACACAGAACTGGTGTCATAAGCCTCTACACGCTGCGGGTTTACTAAGTAGGGGATTCGAGCACTTATGGACTGAATGGTTTGATGTGCAATGAGGATAATATGTCCACTAACTAACTAACTGTCTGTATGATGAGGGGACCCGTTTCATGACAGCCTTTCATAAAACAAAGTCGTATAAACATGTTTAAAAAACTAGAATTAGCGAAACAGTCTTTTGTTTTCCAAGTCTGACATTGTGATTTGATTAGTTTATGATTTGTTTTAAATTTTTTGAGTGGGACACCATTTTGTGTGATTTTTCCAGACCAAATGATGGGGGAAAAGGTCTAGAACTGTTCTTACTACTCTGTCGTTGATGAATCTCAGCTAGATAATGACAATAATCTTGATATTATGCCTGATAATGCAAATGACAAACCTATTACTGGTCATATAGGCTAGGATGAAGTTGAATAAAATATTTCAGTAGGATCATCCCTGTTTCAATCAGCTGTTTTCTCGATTTGGGCTGTTGTGAAATTTGACATGTCATACAAAAGTGGTCATAAAATCGTGTTTAAATTAATTGTTTGAAATAAAGACAGGCTGAGGCATAATTGAATAGAGAACGCACATGAACTCTTAGAAATGATATATTTTGTGGTTCTAACATTACTACATTCAGTTCATATCTGGTGGTGGTGGTAGTGGTCTTCCCTGTGTGGGTACTTGCTCCCAAAGCGCCCTTACAACGTCTAGCTTGCCTTGTATCACTTTACCACCAAGTTTTGCAAAACCAGCCAGTCTAATTGACTGTTTATTTCTCAACATACCAGCATGCCCTAAATCTTCTTCTTCTTCTTCGCGTTCACCAGCTGTACACTCTTGCGGAAAGTTCTGGTTGCTCGTCCACTACTGAACTGCAGTCCTGCTCCAGAACCTGAGTGTTGCGTGTGCATCAGTTTTACAGATCTCATTCTCTTGAATACAGACTGTTGGTTCCTTGCCTCTCTGGCAGATGCACTCCGACTTCAAAGGAAGCTCCCCAATTAGTCGACTCTTACGAACTCTTACGACATGCTTTTTGGGGAGGCAGTGGGTCTATTCTTGTTTTCCCCACAATGGGGCCCCGGAACCCACACGGGGGGATGCCCTAAATAAAATATTCAAAGAACTAAACTGCCTAGTACCCCTAAAGCAATGCTTGCTACTCTTTATGAAGCAGACTTGTCTCCATCTTTCTCAACATGCACTGTGAGTTGCTAAACTGCCTAACCTCCTCTTTTTTGGTCACTCCTTGCTTCTCTTCCCCTTCAACTTTTTTGTTGATATTGTGCACTCTAGTTGTCCCCCAACTACATCACCCACTAACTGTTGTTTGGTCTATAAAATTTAGAGCTATCTCTGTAAACCAAATATGCTTGGAAACATAGGGGGCTGAGTGGTCTTGAGGCATGGCATGCGCCTTGAGTGCTGGAGGTCCCAGGTTCAGGCCCCGGTGAAGGCTAGGATATTTTCCCATTGACTTCTAGTAATTTCTCCTAGTCTCTGGGTAGTAAGATTAGATGCCCGTGTGTATTGTTGTTGTTGTTGTTGTTGTTGTTGTTATTGATTCAGTGGAGATTGAGCTTTTGCCCTTTGGCCCAATGCCATGTAGTGGAATTTACATGTTTTCACAAGCTCTTCTTTTCTTCCGTACAAGGTGTTCCACCTGTCTGGTCTTGGAGGGAGTAGCATTCTTCTAGTCTCGTTGAGTTTTTGGCACTCAAAGAGATGGTGTACAACAGTTTCATAGGGGTAGTTACATAGCTGGCACTCTGGGGAGTGTTCTGGCTGTATTCTGTTTAGGTGTCCATTGAGTGGAGTATGTTGTATTCTGAGTCTGAAGATGGTGGCCTGGTCCCTTCTTGTTAAGTGTGATTTGTTACACATGTTAAAAAAAAAAATCCCTTGGCAGTTGGAAATCGAAAAGAAACTTTGGACTCAGGCTTGAGTTAGAAGTAGAATGGAGGACTTATGGGTTACTACCCTTGTGCCATGATGTTGATCCTTTCTTCAAACCTTCATGGAAATTAAACATCTAGTTTTTAAAATTAATGATGTGTTAGATTGTCTCAGTCTCTTGCATGGTGCAACTCTCTTACTAATATCTGTAAACCCTGATAATGAATTGTTTGTTTGTTTTATATGTCTGCCACCAAAATTAACACTTGGTACTCCAGGATCAGGAAATTGTTGTATTGGATTGAGGTCCCTATAATTACAAACAGTTTACAACTGGCACATTTTTTCAATACTCTACGGAAACTGTAAAGCATTAATACCATTTACCATTTACTCCCCCCCCCCCCCCCCAGGGATAAGGACATGCTGGTTATGTATGTCAAACATGTTGAAAGTGCCCTTGAAGTGGTAAGTACTGCCTGTTTCTTGATTGATTCCTATGTATCCATCTATTTATGCATCAAAGTACAACCTGGGTTTGGATTTACCAAAGTCAGATGGGATAAGGTTGAATTTGTCAAGGTTGGGTGTGACAAGATTTGGGTTTGTAAAGAATTTATGTGACAAGACTGGGTTTGTAAAGATTGTATGGGACAAGGTGGGGTTTGTAAAGACTGGCTGTAACAAGACTGGGTTGGTAAAGATTGGGCTTAACTATTCTGGGTTTGTAAAAATTGGGTACAATGGCTTCGTTTGTAAATATTGGGTGTGACAACCTGGGTTTGCAAAGATTGTGTGTAGCAAGAGTGTTGTTGTAAAGACTGGGCTTGACAAGGCTGGCTTTATAAACATTATGTTTAACCGGAGGGGGTTTGTAAAGAGGTGGGACAAGGCTGGGTTTGCAAATATTGGGTGTGACAAAGCAGGGTTTATAACGATTGTATGTAACAAGAGTGGGGTTGTAAAGACAGGCTTGACAAGGCTGGATTTATAAAGATTAGGTTTAACCAGAGGGGGTTTGCAAAGAGGTGGGACAAGGCTGGGTTTGTAAATATTGGGTGTGACAAGGCTGGGTTTCTCAATATTAAGTGTGACAACCCTGGGTTTGGAAAGATTGTATGTAACAAGAATGGGGTTGTAAAGACTGGGCTTGACAAGGCTGGGGTTATAAAGATTAGGTTTAACCAGAGGGGGTTTGTAAAGACTATGTGGGTCAAGGCTGGGTTTGTAAAAATTTGGTGTGACTAAATGGATTTGGATAAAGTAGGTGTAACAAGACTGGGTTTGTGAAAAGTAAATACAACAAAAGTGAGTTTGTAAAGATTAGGTGTGGTGTGCTGAGCTTGACACGGTTTTGATAAGGTTAGGCTTGCCAATGTTGAATTTGACAATGTTGGTTTTAAAAAATATTGAATTTGTCCATTAAGTGTTACTGAACAAACATCTGTTAGATATTTGACCAGGATCACTGTGAATATCAGCATCACCCAATCAGAAATTCTGAAAATAAGTAGAACACCTAATATACTAACTATTCAAGTTAACAACGAACAACTCAAACAAGTGCAGCAATTTAAATACTTGGGGAGCATCTTCACAGATGATGGAAGAATTGATAGGGAACTTGAGGCAAGATGTCAAAAGGCGAACGCAGTAACTTACCAACTCTCCCCACTGCTAAAACACCCAAGCATCACTATGGCACTAAAACGACAACTGATAAATTGCATGTTTATACCAACCCTCTGCTACCAATGCCAAACCTGGTCCCTAACAAGAGCACAGGAGAAAAAGATCGCGACGTGCGAAATGAGATGCTTACGTAAGGCTGCAAATGTCACAAGGAGAGACAGAGTTCGAAACGAGAACATTAGAGCAATTGTAGGAACCACACCATGCCTGCAATACATAAAGAAGAAACAAATAGAGTGGTTTGGCCACTTGATGCGAATGCAAACCGACCAACTGCCTCTACGAGCATACAACGAACAGCACTACTGCCCTAGAGCAAGAGGCAGACCGAGAGTACGATGGATAGACAATATATCAGAGATTCTGAGGCAACACGGACTAACAACAACACGTGCAACACACCTGGCCAAGGATAGAAAACTGCGACTCCCCACTACGTTGTGAGGCAATTGTGGACAAGACAAGACAAGACACTGTGAATTAACCAGTGCACAGTTACCTTGGAGAAGGATATAAACACAGACATTGTTTTTTCAAAGAGTTGGGGCTCAGGGACACATGTCTGTTATGTTCAGCTCTTCCTACCAACCACGTGTTGCTAATTAATTATTTATTTAGCTTATTTCATGTTACATCCATCTGGTAGCAAACAAACTTTCAGACAAGATGAGAACTGCCTGGTAGGCAACACTTATTCAAGCAGGATAGTGCATGTTAGATTCATTTGGCTGTTTAAAAAAAAAAATTTTACACAGGAGTTGACTGTTTCTGTCAAGCTAGTGTGTGTAAACAATGCTCTAAACCAAGGCTATTCAACTAAGTTTGCTTAGTTAGCCAATATTTTAAAAATAGAGGTCAACACAGGCCAGAGACCTGAGCCCAGCATTTAGAGATCATTAACACAGTACACCTGGCAATGATCCTGTGGCCACCATTTCAACAGCCCAGCTCTAAATATTTCTTATAGGCCACATCATATGGTATCGGGTATCATGGCCATCCAAAACCGCGTGTCTTGTATATATCAGTCATTTCTGATGCGGATCTGGCTCCATGCTAAGGATTCCAAATTAACATCTTCTCTCTTGATCTCCTCCACCTCTTTTCCCCTCCAACTTGTCATGATGTACTTACTACATAAGGTAATTTTAAGAAAAACCTATTGTGCAGGAAGCTTCTATCGCAGTCCCTAGTAATACATGGCAACTCTTGTTTATTCTTCTTCTTCTCTTCTCTCTGCTCCTGGAATGCCTCGCAGCATCAGGGCAGGATGAGATCTCTGGAACCAGTGCTTCTGTTCACCTCAGATAAAGTACTTTTCAGTATCTCTGATATTTCAGCAGTCCATCTTCTGCATGGTCGAACTCTGGCTCTAATACCATTTATTTAGATTTATTTATAGCGATTATATTTCTTCTTGGACATCTGCTACAAAACTTTCTGCAACTGACAGAATTAACAATTGCTCAATCAGTTTATTAACATCCTTTATAATTCTAACATGAGCTGTTCAAATTCAGATATATTTGCAACTGATAATTTGTTTTAATATTTCCTTCCACCACCCCCCCCCCCTCCCCCTCCCCCTTTTTCCTTTTTGTTGATTTCAATCTTATAAGTCTATTAGCTTTTTAATCTGAATTCTTCATCATTAATTACAGTGTAGCTAAAGATGGGGGAACTGATAGAGATATTAAAATGAAAATATAAAAGTCAAGAGGAGCTTTCATAGCACTAGGAAATTTGTAGAGGTCAAAAGAAATGAAAAGAAATACTAAACTTAAATTTTTAAATTCTAATGTCAAATTGGTACTTTTTATGGGGCGAAAACATGGAGAACAACTACGGCAATTACTTATTAACTACAGACATTCATTAACTGGTGCTTACGCAGAATAGAGGGAATTAAATGGTATGATAGAATCACTAATGTAAAGTTTTGGGAGAGAACTAAGCAAGCTCCAGAGGACCAAGCAGTGAAGAAAAGATGCTGGCGTTGGATAGGACACACATTGAGAAAACTGGAGAACAATATAGCTAGAATGTCTTTGCATTGGAACCTACAGGGGCATAGGAATAAAGGAAGGCCAAAAACACATGGAGAAGTAAGCCGGAGAATAAAGGTAGAAAGATGGGGAGGACATGGGGAAAGCTGCATGCGTTAGCACAGGATAGAATACCTGGCGTGAGTTGGTTGAGGGCCTATGCTCCATTGGGGGCTAGAAAGTCAGAAGAAAAAGAAGAAAAATTGATAGATCTATTGCATTGGTTCTCAACCTGTTGGTCACTACCCTATTGTGGTTCGAATGACCCTTTCACAAGGGTCACCGAAGACCAAAGGAAAACACATATTCACTGAAGTTATGAAGTAGCAACAAAAATAATGGTATGGTTGGGGGTCACCACAACATGAGGAACTATTAAAGTGTTGCCGCATTAGGAAGGTTGAGAGCTACTCATCTAGCATGACATGCCCAATAGATTTTAGTGTTACCCAGTGCTTTTTTTCTAGAAAAAAATATCATAGTACAGACCACACAGTGTCTTAACTCTTTGAGTACCAGGGGGTTTTGCATCAGAGGCCCAAGGGGAGGGGTAATATGATTTTGACTTTTAACAAATGCAGCACTTTAAAACAAACCAAACAACTGCAGCTGATGTCCAACATACACATATCATTCATGAAAATAAACATAAATGGATAAGGATTAATATTAGCTTACTGCTACAACAAACAAATGTACTGTTAGTTAGTATTTATTATAGAAAACAGTGACTTAGTTTGAGAGGTGAGCAAATTATAAACAAGTTTTTTCCACTTACGCAGGAGCTGATCCCAAAATTCTTGATATAGTATATCCAAAATGCATCACAAAGGAAGGTACACCACTTACAAGTATGCACAGCCAATATTAAAGCAAAATGTGCAATAGTTGTTGTTCCATAGCAATTTGAATAACACTATCAAAACACGTCAAAATATATTCTCCAGTGGCACAAACAGTGACTTTTCTAAAAACAATTGAATTCCCCACATAGAAAAAGCTGTAAAGGCACTGTAAACATGTCAACCTGTTCATAGATATATATCTATGGTTTTAGACGATATGGATAGTAGTACTAGAAGCGCTGACATTTGGACTAGCTGGTTTCGCGTTACGAGGTGCTTCTCTTGTGTTGCCATGGCAGAATTAGTCAGTTTTGTCCTCTTAGCAGGAGATAAATTACGCACACATCCTCATCAAAACTTGACTCGTCAACGGTTTGGGGAAATTTCACGTCGCTACTATCATTATCCAACTCCACATTACTTTAATCGATCCACTGTTTTATCAAATTTGATGATTCTAAAGCAGTAAATCGCTTTGATGGGCGTGAAGACGATGACTGATCGGACATATTGTTTTCAGACAATTGTTTGGTAAATAGTAGACCACACAAATATCGATTTAAAGCATTAAAAACTCACCAGACCCAAACGAATGCACTTCACGTGTGTTCACTACACACTTGAGAACCGGAAAGGAAGTTTAAATTGAGCGGTTCGCGCGTAATTACCGATGAGTGGTAAATTAAAAACCGTCACACGTCATGCGCTGTTTGGGCTGCTAGGTAGTAACAAATTAGGGCGTGACACGCTCCTTGGGACTCAAAGAGTTAAACAAGGTGGCGGTACTCACTGCAATATTAGTGCTGACAAAAAAAAAATGCCTTAAATATCATCGCATTCCAACCTTTAAAAAAAAAAAAAAATTCTATAACCCACTTTTTAAATGGATAGAGATTTATAATTGTAAGGTAATGTCTTTAGAAATATCTTCATTAAGCTGCTTATCTGCCCCTGATTCTTTTTTTTAATACATTAATTACTTCTGATACATTTGAACAGACAAGGCGACGGTTTGTAATGCTGCATGAACCATGGACAGGTTCCGATGTATCCCTGACACAGCTGTTGCTGGATGCTGATCTCATTCCCCAGGACCTGATCATGCAGGGCCTGAGCTGGCAGCCGTACAGGTATTTCACTCACTGACTAGTTGTTTTTAAGAAGCCTGTGTATTATAGGGGCTTTTTGCATTAATTTCATCATTGATGTAGACAAGAAATGAACATTTCACTAACAGGACAAGACGTTCTCATTAACCAACACAGAACAGGCGTCATCAGTCGTTTTACACTTGTGGAGCTTTTGAGGAGGAGATCGGAGCACCTATGTATCTGTCCGGAGTGCTATGATGATAATCCTTTCTAATCACTAATCACTAACTGATGTAGACAGGCAGCCAGTCAGAAACTGGCAAACTAATGAATGTAAGATTGTATAGTAGAGCCACAAACAGGAAATGAATGCTGAGGTTTGTTTGCAGCGTCATCGAAAACATACATTATTAAGTTGAAAAAATATAGTAACACTATAACATCTTCATGTGGGAAGGGGTCCCATTTTCGGGGGGGGAAAAAGAATTGACCAACTGCAGAACCTTGCTCAAACCTTCTTTTTAAATATTCGTCCTCCCCTCAGGAATTGGGAGTCACTGTGGCAGAGTGGCTAGACGCTTGCCGCAGATCGGATAGTCGTGAGTTGGCTACCTGGTGGAGCCGAACTTTTTTTAGAATTGATCTTGGCTCCCAGTTGACCCAGCCTTAAGTGGGTACTGGGTGCAGTCCTGGGAAGTAAAGGTGGCTGGCATTATGTTGACCACATCACCCATCTTGTGCCGATTGGTCTATAAAATATAGGTCTAGCCCTAAAGACATGTATTTTTGTGGAACCTTTTTTTAAAACCTAAAAACTGGTTTATTTTGGGCACATTAATTGTATCTGTTACCAAGTATATATGATGTTTTGTATAGACAGGCAGAAAAACATGCATAAATTATGAGACAATATAAAATAATATAAGAAACTAAGATTGGATGATCAGTTTCAAACTACTGGAATATTTAGTTACAGAGAGAAATGACATATTTCTTTTTTCTCAGAATCTTGTTCATAGTTTTGTTGAGATTCAGCATCAAGCTGTGAAGAAGATCACATCGTTACATGAAGAAATAGTCTGCTATCGTGACCATATCGAGACACTGAAGAGGGAAATCAATAACGCAGTACACAGGGCATTTATTGATCAGGTGTGTTCATTATTGTTTTCTTTAATGTTGATTGTTAATTAATTGTTATCTGGTTATCCACTCTTTAATTATACTTCCCGTCCTTTTTAGGAGGAAATTTTTCGTTAAATGAAGCCCTACTCTGGCTCTTGCCAGGGGCTGCAATATAGCCTGGCCATAAATATGGCCTAAAGGCTGAACACGGTTTCTGGGACCTCTCAATGGTGATCCTCACCTGCATGGTGGCACATTGTGTCATCGGGTGTTTATAGTTTGTGTGATGTCCTGGTGGGGTAGAAAGTCAGTCAGTCAGTATCCACTCTTGACTAATTCTTTTCCAGATGTCAACAAGCAGTGTGACATTGTGACATCTAATGGCAGTAGAAATGTGGTTTCAAAAGAACTACAGAATGTGGATAGTCAAGATTCTTTCTGATGTGCTGTGAGCAGAAATAAATGTTAAAATACAGCTGGCAGACGAGAGAAAATAAGCAAGGGGAAGATAAAGCAATAAATACCTGGATGGTTTGGCCACATGAGGGCTAGAATAACAGAGGACATATCAAGGGTTCTGGTAATCCTGTTTGTTGATGAACTGTAAAAGCCTTTTAAATCAGCATACCCTATGATGATGTTAATATTGTTCCATATATGTTGGAAAAGCAGTGTATTAAATATTCTACAAATGTGAGTCTTGACATTGCAGTTTTTTTCTTTTCTAGTTTTTTTCTTTTTTTTTTATTTTAGTTTTGACAACAGTTTTTTTTCCTTCTCAGGTAGTGGATGCTTCAGGTGAAACAGTCACATCTCTTTTGGACCTGGATTTAAGTGAGAGAGAAGTGATTGTTGCCCCCAGGTTAGTTACTACAGAATATTGAAAATATGTTTTATAAATGTAATTAGTGTCATTAGTCTCCTTTTACAGCATGCTTCAGCTTCTTAAGGGGCAGTCACTCTCTTCTCTGCCTAATCTCCCCCCCCCCTCCCCCATCAATCGTTTCCCAAATGGGTTCTCAGAAAACACCAAGAAGGTCTGATCATTCTGTGATGACTTTATCATCTTAATCTTGGTGGCACGTATATGCTCACTGTAAATTGTAATCCCCGTATGATGTTGTATAGTCACTTCACCTGTCAGCTTCTCCAAATAAACATGAATGGAGATAGCTTTCAGTTGATTTTGTGTTCTGTCTATTTCTCCCATCATCAACTTATAATAAACATGGATGGAGACAACTTTATCTTAACTGTTTCTGTTCTAGACAGGTGTGTCTTTATCTCCTATTTTCCTATGCCCATGTGGCTTAAAGTAATATGTGATTAGGTCTGAAAATGAGCAAATAATAACAGTTTGGGACAAAAGGAACATTAGTAACAATTGGGATATATTGGATTACAGCAGCTGCTGGGTGAGAAACAGGGAGCGTAGAAAAACATAGCATGCTAAGCATAAAAGTTAGTTGCGAATCCTTTACAGGACGTTGCAGAACCAACCCCAGCACTTTTTTTTAGCTGTTGTGGTTTTTGTAGGCAAATTGTACGTTCAGTAGTTTGTCATTGCTTTCTGAATGGTCAGCTCTCGTTACCACTGTCGAAACCAACACAAGATGGCCGTCTGCAGCTGGGACTGAACCCAACACCCTAGCATTACAAAATGCATCCGCAATGCCTATGCCCCAGACACCGACAACTCAAATAAATGCATGGTATTTTGTTAGGTACTGAACAAGTTAATACTACTGGTTGCACCATTATTCTCACATGACCTAGTTTTCTTATCACCTTTAATGTGAGAGATAAACAGTGGCTACCAGAACATTTCCAGAATTGCCTGGGGAGGAAAGGTGATGAGAAAGGGAACTGGCCGCTCCATTGAATATGCCATGACGTAGATTGTATGAAGACCAGATAGGCCACACCTTGTCTAGGGATTACCTTAATGGCCAAGAATATCAGAAGATCTAATACGTCACCTTATCTGGGGATTACCTTTACCCATTTAAAATACACCCCAAAAAAAAAAAAAAAAAAAAAGTAAATGACTCTTTTCACACATCAGGCATGTGTTGCTAAACTCATATTTGTATAGACCAGTCAGTGCTCAGTGGGTGGTGTTTGTCATCATCATGTTGGTGGTGATGTCGCCATCATGTGAGTGGTATTTGACACCATCATGTAGGTGGTGTTTGTCAACATCATGTGGGTGGTGTTTGTCACCATCATTTCAGTGGTGTTTGTCAACATCATGTGGGTGGTGATGTCAACATCATGTGGGTGGTGTTTGTCACCATCATTTGGGTGTTGATGTCAACATCATGTGGGTGGTGTTTGTCACCATCATATGGGTTGTGATGTCATCATCATGTGGGTTTTGTTTGTCACCATCAAGTGGGTGGTGATGTCACAATCATGTGGGTGGTGTTTGTCAGCAGCATGTAGGTGGTGGTGTCAACATCATGTGGGCATCATCAGGTGGGTGGTGTTTGTCACCATCATATGGGTGGTGTTTGTCACCATCATGTGGGTGGTGATGTCACCATCATGTGGGTGGTGTTTGTCACCATCATGTAGGTGGTGATGTCAACATCAGGTGAATGTTGATCTCACCATTATGCGGGTGGCGATGTCACCATCATGTGTGTGGTGATGTCATCATCATGTGGGTGGTGTTTGTCAACATCGTGTGGGTGGTGATGTCAACATCCTGCAGGCAGCCTCTACATCTCAGGACATCACCTCATACCCATTATAGGCTGAGTTGACCTGGGAGCCAAGATCAATTTTTTTTTAAACATCTGGCTGTGATGAACCCAGGTCTTTTCAGCTAGTAGCGGAATATCTAGTCACTACCCTACCACGGCTCCTATCCTCCCATTTTTTAAACATTTAAATTATGTAACTTTAATAGTCTTCATGCCTATGTTCATAGTGAAGAACAAACCAATGGCTGTGCTGCTGAAGTTTCCCTGAAGTCACCAGTAACTTCTCCTGTATATCAGAGTGAGAATTCTGCGTTTCATCCTGTGAAGTAAGTCAATATTTTAACAAATTGGGAGCATATTTTCTTTTAAAGAAAATTGTCAGCATGTTTATTGAGAAGCCACATCTGAGAGCTGCAGTATCATAGTGGCTAGACTCTTGCCTGCTAGCCCAAAGGTCAAGGGTTCAAATCTGCATAGAGACAGATGTTTTTTTTTTTTCAAAATTCACCTTGGCCCCAGGTCAATCCTCTTTAAATGGATACCAGGCAATGTCATGGGAAGTAAAAGCGGCCAACATGATGTTGCCCAGTAGGAATTTTGTCGCAGGTCGACCCAGCCTAAAATATGTACCAGGATGTATGTCCTCGGGAAGTAAAGACAGCCGGTTTAATGCTGACCAAATTTCTCCACCTAGTGCCGATTGGTCTGTAAAAATATTGGTGCTCTTCCCATATGTCTGTTGCGCTTGAAGGCGTCAAAAGGGATAATTAATTTACTTGTACTTTTTTACATTATCCAGCAAGTACTGACTGGTCTATTAAAATATAGATCTATCACTATTAGCCTAATGTGCCTACGGTATACGGTATGTAAAAGGTTGTTGACTTTAAATTTACATCTGAAGATTAGGCTTCCGTCTTTAATCTTCAAATGGAGCATAAACCCTGAACAAAAATGATTTCAAGATCTTTGTAGACTTTTTCATTATTGGTTGGATTTTGGAACTAAAATGTTAAATATGGGATTAGGTGGCCAATCTCATGCCTTCTTCTACTTCTTGTCCTACTGCCTGTGCTGTAAAATGCTGCAGAGAAAAACAGAAAAATAAACATGTTTGTGGAAACTAGCTGGGCAAAAATAATCTAAGCAACACCAGCTTCATTAAAATGCCAGATAAGAGAGGTTTAGAGGGTCTGTTCTCAGTGCCTGCTGCTGATGAGGCATCTAAAGAGGAAGGCAGTAAACAGCTAAAAGCTAGAATTGTTTGGTTAGAATAAATTCATGTTTTCATTACATTTTTTTTAATGCATTTTCATTCTGCAATTCCTATTCATTTTTCTCCATGAATCTTCAATTTTGTTTTGATTTTGCAGGTCCAGTTCTCAGCAAATGCCTAAAAAGTGACACCACCAAAACAGATGGTGAAAAAGAATTTAGATTCTCACTTTATTGCATTTTATTCAGATGTATTTTATATATATTCGTTCCGTCCAGGTCTTCATGATCAAGTAGTTATATTATCAAATGCAAAAATTGTCTATGCATCATGATGTCAGAAGTTTTCCTTTTATTTTACTACGTAAATAATATACTGTATTTTAAAATGTAAATTTTTATGTTTTGTACATGCATATATGTGATGTTTTCAAATATTGGCTTTAAACAAAATATATGTTGTCATTTACAGCAAAACAGAATAATTGAAATTATCATCATTATGTGCCATGCTCTGTGGCATTGGTGATCATGTTTCCACACAAAGATCCCTCATCAAAACCATAAGACATAGGCAAATTAAATTTTGTGGCATCCCAACAGAGGTGGAGTCAAGAAAATAGTCCTATGTAGATAAAATAAGATAGTAGACCAGAATTGCAGAGCTTAAAGGTGATGAATTTTAGAAGAGGATGAAATAAGAGAAATGTCTGGAAAACTGCCGGCATCAACAACTATACGATAAGAAGATGGCGATATATTGGACAAATCCTGAGAAACCAACAGAGACACATCCTGAGAAACCAACAAAGACACATCCTGAGAAACCAACAGAGATACATCCTGAAAAACCAACAGAGACACATCCTGAGAAACCAACAAAGACACATCCTGAGAAACCAACAAAGACACACCCTGAGAAACCAACAGAGACACATCCTGAGAAACCAACAGAGATACATCCTGAAAAACCAACAGAGACACATCCTGAGAAACCAACAAAGACACATCCTGAGAAACCAACAAAGACACATCCTGAGAAACCAACAGAGAATCGCCACATAGGCACTTAAATGGGAAATCAATGTATTGAGAAGGCGAGGATCTTCAAAAGAAATTTCCAGACAAATATTGATGAGAGAGGCCAAGTTGCTTATTATATTCCATCCATGATACTAAAACAATGGCACAGGATAGAGTCGAATCGAAGAAAATACTATGAGCCTTGTGAGGCATACAATGGCACACAAAGATGATGATGAATAAAGATTCAGAGCAGAGAATAATAACAATGTAGGTGTAAACTAGCTAGACAACAAGAAACCACAGATGCATATCAGTACAAACATTAAAACACACACAACTACCTAAGACAACACCACACTGGATACTCAGCAATGCTTTATTAAACAATGCAGACTGTGTACAATACATGACAGAACATATACTCACATACCCTATCAACATACTTACAACAAACATATCAGAATATTGGGATTGTTTCAAAGATGCTATCAGGCAGAACACAAAGACCTGCATACATAATACACAAAGAAAACGAAAAAGCAAATAATACAGAAAGCAATTAACGAAACACAAAAAATAAACAGACATAACACATATGCACATACACTAGAATCGCAAGTAGCAAATACATATATTATACCTAAATAGTTTACATAGCTACAGTAATAGACCCTTAACCCCAAATAATTAAAAAAAATATACAAAATGATTCTACCATTTATGTTTGGCAGTACCATCCATTCTATTAAACAGACAATGTTAAGAATAAATTACAAGGAGGGATAGCTGTACATGCTAATCTTACAAAAATTAAATCACTGAGATTAAAACACATAGGTAACATTATCAATCACCCAGAACAACACCAATTGACACTGCACTCAGACTACACCAGTTTAGGAAAATCGATAATAATACACCACACTACATGGGGGCCCTCCCGTTTATTTACAGAACATGCCTAAAATATTTAAAACAAGACGAAAACTAATCAAACAAACAAAGCAAATCTATAAACATCAAGTAGTTTTACAGGCAACCCCTTTAAATACAAGAATTATTAGAGGTCATAAATAATCTATACAAAACAACTCTATGTTTATCATTCACTTACACCAACCATATATCACACCAACAGCCAAAGAAAAAAAAAACATACAGAATAGTTTTTAACATGACACTTACTCGAAGAAAACAGACTACCATGAAAATTATGCACATTTAGCATACAAAAGGAACACATATATTATAAATGCCCCACAATACAAACAACACTTCAGAATTGAACAACACTATTTAACGCATACACCTCACAAACTTGTAGGTGTAAACTAGCTAGACAACAAGAAACCACAGATGCATATTACAAACATTAAAACACACACACAAAGAAAACACCACAGGATACTCACATGATTAAAACAATGCAGGACTAATACATGTTTACTCACATACCCTATCAACATACTTACAACAAACATATCAGAATACACAGAGCAATATTTTTTTTTAATACTATACCCAAAAATCTACTAAAGAAGACAGCCATGTGAAAATGGTGAAGGCGTTGGCTGAATTCTGCTGTTTGATTTGGAGATATAGATGTAACTCAGTAAATGAGGGCAAATGATACACCACAAACCACATATTACATCACTTCCAATACATAATAACACAAATTTTCGCATAAAACAGATAAATACTACTGGTCACTAAATATTTACCTGAAGGCATGGATAAGGGTCCTTTACTTTTTACTTGCTAATTATTTTCGCTTTTGGTCATCCAAAATAATTATTAATACAAATATTTTTATACAGCTCACTCTTTTCTCTTTTCCTCTTTCTCTCTGTCTACTGTCTCTCTCTCTCTCTATTTTTTCTTTCCCATATATGGCTGAAAGCCCCTGTTATTCATGAATAGATTACATATGTAAAATTAATAACATGCATTAAATGCATTAATTAAATTCAATAAAATATATATTTAATCTCAGTCTGCTGTCACTGTCAAACTAATTTTGCATTGTGTCTAACGCAGAAAAGCTTTATTATAAAAATTAATGTGCAGCTCACATTTAATTTTTTTCTCTTTTCCCCAAGCTCTATTTTAACCCCCCCCCCCCCCCCCCCCCCCCCCCATTACACTAAAGGTCCCTGTAATTCATGAACAGATGTATAATTGTTAAATTAATACTGTGCATGGCAATTTACACGTAACCTCAATCTATTACCACTGTCAAACTATTACTTTTTGCATTGCATACCTACAATTATACCAACACACAGAAACACTGTAAAGAACACTAAAGCATGCACACTGACAACATGCAGCATATGTAAATACACCTACAATACAGAAACAATTTAACAATGTATAGAGATCCAATTTAACATTCAATAAACAGTTTTGAAAGATGCAGAACAGACACAGGAACAAATGTATGTAGAAACTAGTCAGACAAGAAACAACCATAGATACAGAACAAAAAGATGGAAAAAAATATATGGGAAACTAGCTATTTAAGCAACCATAGATGCAGCTTATTTAAGCATGTATGTGGCCAAACTAGCTAAAACAACACCAGCTTCATTATAATGCAGATTTTTTTTTTTTTTTTTTTTTTAATAAGTATCCAGAAACCATGAGTTGTAAACCCTTTGGAGCGGTACTATGGATATCGCAACCCTTCGGCATGATTCCATTATAGTACCGGCCTGGGAGAACTTTTTTCTGCCTAGTGAACCCGGACCACAAGGAGTTCGTCACCCGGCCGCCGCAAAAATCAGGTTTAACCAACTTCGCTAGAGAGCCGGGCATAATGGCAGATAAAAGAGAGGTTTGGAGAGTCTTTCTCAGTGTCTGCTGCTGACAAGGCATCTGAAGCAGAAATCAATAAACAGCTAAAAGCCTTGATTTTTACTTTAAAAAATTCCCATTTCATATTTTTTTTTAACGATTTTTGCATATCCTGTTCATTTTTCTCCATGATTATTCTGTTTTTGTAATGATTTTGCAATCTAGTTCACAGCAAAAAAATGTTAATATAAAAAAAAACTTAAAACAAAACAAAAAGTGACACTGC